AACTTACTATATTTTCATCTTGCGCGATAGACAATAACTTATATTAAATTTATAAAAAATTGTTGGAACATGAACATAAGTTTTAAAAATAATATACTCGTATGTTATTTAATAACTACTCCAATCTCAAACGAAGTTCTATAGTATAATCCATTGGATATATTGAACCCTATCGATAGCATGTCAGGTTGATCCCATTTTAATTTTATCATATAGAGGTAGGTTTATATTTGTAGAACAAAATATTAATATCTCTAAAACTTCTGTAGACTAAAATACAATAGATTTACTATTACAATGTTTTGTTACTATATGTTCTATGTATAAGAAAACAGATATAAAGTTTAATAGATGAAATTCTTTTGCTGAAGTAGATTGAGATTACCACTTACCATCAGTTGGACTGTCAGCATGTATGATAATTAAAAAATGTAATACTAAAATATCAATATCCATAATCATGGTAAAGTGTCATTATCATTTAGTTAAAGATGGTTTACGAAGCCATAATGAATGGTTTACGATGCCATAATGAACAAAATTCACGTCACAATCAAATAACATTTGCAAATATTAATATGTCGTATATGATATATATTATAGATATATTGTATATATACATACCTGGTATTCAACAACATTGAACGGACACATTGTCCCAAAGGACAGAGTCACAGAAACAATTCTGAATCACTTGTAAAGTAATATCGATCCATATTCAGAGTTTATTCAACCCGTTCCCAGATATACCTATATCTACGTATAATACACCTTTTTGTATTAAAACTTCCGAGTTATAACGGTCTAATACAATTTCCTAATATTTTGGGCACATTTTCATATATCCTTTATTCGATTTGGAACTTTCCACTTAGAGCAATTACCCACAGTAATTTGTTATACCATGTACTACATAAAATACCGTAGAGTTTTCATTGCTAACACATATACACGTATCCGTTTAATTAGGAAAAAAAAATTATATTATTTCATAATTATTTATATTCGTTTGTCAATAAATGATAAACTTATCAAAGTATAGGTCGTTATTAAATTCCTTCAATATTATTTGACCAATTAATTTCTTTAACTATTATTACTCTCTTATGCCCTCCCTCTGGTACTATGATCCGATTTTGAAAATTCTTTTAGTGTTGGATAACTTATTCATCTAACCATACAATGGTGCATATTAAAGGCTAAATGCGGAGAATAGAGTCCAAATACATTTAGCTTATTTATCGAGAAATATCATGAATTTTATAACATCACGCTAAATACAACTAATAAGAGTGCTGCTGCAATAAAAATATTAGTTAGAAGTTAATTACTCTTATCCTTTCGCTACCGGTCGCTGCAATCGTTTTATTTTCTGTTGTATAATTTGATATAAGTGTAACACCGTAACATCCACATTACAACGCTTCATAATATGATACCTTTCTGAACCTTTCCTGAGAATGCATAATTTGGTTTTTGCCATTTCCTGGTTTTTGCCCCACGATCTGTTACATTTCCTAGAAAGGACAAAATAAGACTTGTGTGCGTATAGTGATGAAGGAAAATGTACGGCCCTTTCCCTAGCAGATTATCCCATCGTAATCGTAACTGTGCACGTGTTCAAAGTATATCCGAAATAAAGAAGGTTGTAAACAATATTTTGTATTTACTCTGCGTGATTTTTCACGATTGGGGGACAGGAGAAATACAAGCACCAAAAATATTTTTGACGATAGGTACGTCCTTGCTTTGATCTTTAAAAATCGATTTAAATAGGCTTATCGAAAGGCTGTGGTATTTCAAATGTCACGTTCACAATTACGCCCACAGTTGACAATACTTCTAGAATTACAGTTTTCAGAATTATTTTTGGAACTTTCGAAAATGTGATGACCTTAGAATCTGGTATTATTTACACTTTCTATATAATATATTTTATATAATTACAATGAAAAACAAACTGATGACCATCACTATCCATCACATATCCACGTGATAACCATTGCCTATGAACATGACCAGTACCACCGACATCCGTTGCCATGTGTCCAATACCTAGCCATTCTGAAGGACTAAGATGTCATGCCTCTTACCATGTACTTTCATTACCATATCCCACTCTTCAATTGAAACACAGATGCTTAGTGATATAAAATAGTACCCGGGCCAATGACTTTTTAAAAATGTAGGTTATAACCTACCTATATATACCTTTTTAAACATCAGGGAAATTAGAAAGTGAGTATCTATCTATCTATCAGTTCGGGCTCTATGGGGACTGCCGGATTCTTACCGGCTAAAAACCTGACGACTATTTCTCCTCAAACATATCGTTGAGGCCATGAGAACGCTTTCGCATTCTTCCAAAAAACTACATTGATATCTTTTTTTTAATTGAGTAAATTCAGAATATTTATTAATGGATGCTAATGGAATGGTGCACCCGCCTGCGTTAATTGTTTACACTGGTGGGGTATCAGTGGTGAATGATAAGTTGACTATGAAGTTAGGTCACATCATGAAAAATTCACCAAAATTTTAGTGGTTTACTGTGGTTTCCGGGGGAACCGCATATAGTCAGGTTGACCTGACATGGAACATGGTATCATCAGTCTATATTATTTGCAATCCGTTTCCCCACAAATTCAGCATGATACATAGGTTACTATAATTCTTAAAATTTTAAAATTATCCAGACTACAATAGACATTTCATAAGTCACGTCTCTGTCGCGGATATTTTCATATTGGAGCACGAAATGCGGTAAATGGCAGACTTGTCGCCGCCGCCAGTCGTTGTTGAATGGAATTGAGCCGGAGTATAATGGAACCATCTGGGTTACGAACGTCATGTTCCAGACTTTAGGTAAAAGGTTGGGATTTTAAAAATAAAAGCATTTTCCACCGAGTGTCTAACAATCGCTATGATCTACATAGCACTGTCCTATGTTTTATTACATGTCTACTATAAATTCGTTTATTGATTTTCGCTTTAGTCATTTTAGTTTCAATTATCTGAATTACTGGTATTATAACAATGTTTTTATTTTAAGCAAGCTGGGCCCGCGACTCAGTTCGCGTGGAGTAGTGACCTTGACCAAATAAAAAATATATATTTAGTTAGGTAGGAGTATTATACATAGATATTATAACCCAAAAAATATTAATTTTTACTTAAAATATGACGATCCTTTCATATAACCTTTCATCTCCGCTTTCAACCCCATTACAACCCTTTTTCGCAATAAAAAGTCTTACGTCCTTTCTTAGGGTCTGACTATCTGTGTACCAAATGTTTTTGTATAGCGAACTCAGTCTAATAAAGAATTTTGACGAATTTTGAGTTAAGAACCTTTTAGAAATTAGTTTAAAATTTTGTAAATATTCATAACGTAGCATAAGTACGCGTGTAGAGTCTAATAATTATACCAGCTAATTGTAATTATAGTGCTCAGTATTCAACACAATTGTTCTTCCTATTTGATGGCAATATATTGAAAAGGCACAAATAAGATTTTGTTGAAATACTATGTTTTTTGTTAGTAAGAGATGTAGTAGTATATTTTGTTGTAGTAGTATGTACATATTTGCTTAATCTTGTTATATTTGACTTCCACGAAGCGTATCGCAATGTCCTTGACCGTCAACCCTTTTGACGATCTTAATACTTAGTATTGTGACAATTAATTCAAGGACACAGAATATGAAAAAGACATACGCATGTCTTTTTAATGTTTTGTAAAATTTTAAAGGTAACATAGAAAAATTTAAGGTAATAAAATTTATTTAATCGCGAAGCTATATTTTACGCTGTCAAACTTAACTTCTTTAAGTAGGAAATAAAATAAGTACTAACAAGTACAACAGTCTTGTTATTGTTTAGTACTTAGATTTTTCGTTATATTTTTTAATGAAATTTATAAATTATATTTATTTTAGACTGTCTTCTTGAAAAACTATCAATATATAATAAAAATTGATTATTTTGGAATTCCAAAACATTGAATATACCTACATGTAATAGTTGTACATTAGTATAAAAATAATATACGTTGAATAATTTATATAATTGTATAATTTTGCAATTATACAAAATATAACTTATGTATATAAATATAAAGTTTAAAATGTATTCTGCACACATACACAAGTCCTTGGTACCAAGCAGTTCACGACAATGCAGAGACATTTAACTAGTTTAGCCACAATCGATCCACGCCAGTGTTAGTAGCAATGTTCATATTAGGAACTAGGATATACCCATTAGTTCTGTAACAAAAATGATATGTTTTAAGTTTCACTTTTACATAACACATCAAACCAAGAGTAAGTTCTGAAACACCAAGGGAAAAAGAGAAAGAGTTCAATTGTCAAAAATACTAAAACCCATAATTTCCTATACATGTCAACATTCTTGTCACTTAACTTTGCTAATACAATTCAAAGTTTATATTTATTTATTTGTAGTCTGTGTGTACTTCAGTCTCGCCTATTGTAGCTACCGAGTAGCTTGCTTTGTAAGCTATGTTCCGGTTGTATGGCGTAGTTTAGGTAGTGATACAGATATTGCGCGTGCTAGGACATTGGAGAGGGAACGCGTATATGTTTCCAGCACTTTTCGATAGGGCTGTGCAGTGCATATGTGACAAGCTTCATGTTGTGCTGTTGTAGGCGCAACTAGAGCGCCGATACAGATGTTGCGTGCGCTAGAACATTGGAAAAAGATCGCGTATAGGTTTTCAACACTCCGATAGGGCTATGCACAACACATATAACAAGCTTTAGGCATATGTTGTATTATAAGCGTAGCTAGAGTGCTGATACAGATATTGATCGCGCGAGGACATTGGAAAGGGAGTGCGTATATGTTTTCAACACTTTTCGACAGGGCTGTGCACTGCACATGTAACAAGCTTTATGTATGTGTTGTGTTGTTGTAGGCGCAGCTAGATCGCTGATGCAGATGTTGCGCGCGCGACGACATTGGAAAGAGGAGCGCGTGCGGCCTGTGGGCGACGCGGCCAACAACCCGCGCGCCCTCTAGAAACACCGATACACAGCCACTACATACGGTTAGTGATACATATACAACTAGCTGTTAGTCGCGACTTCCTTTGCTTTTGTAGCGTGATGGTTATCACCACTGTAATGTTATATATGTGATGAGGTGTCGGTACATAATTTATTTGTTTATTGTAGTATTTAGGTAATGGGCATACCGGTGAAATAATTGTGTCTATTTATTGAACAATTATTTCACCGGTATTTAAATTTTAATTAGTAAGTAGTAGTGTGTTACATGGCTTATTAGTAACGCGTACATTCGACGCGAAGTCGTAACGTGGACTGACTTTACACTTAAATCTATTTTATATGGAGAAATAACTAATAGGAGTGTGCCAAGTGTTGACAGTAATATTACAAGTGTAGGCACACTTTCTTTAATAATTATAATCCTTATTTCTCACAACGTCATCTAGTCACAAGCTAAGCGGAGCTGGTGTTATTGTAAACACTCAGACCAATAAAAACAATCATATACTCATGAAAGAGACACTTAGACACATTTGTTTTTCTAAATTCATACATAATATACCTAGAAAATACCTAGACCAAAAGACTCATATTAATGAATACCAAATGTTTTCGACGTGAGAGAATTCGTACCTGCGACAATCGGAAGTAAAGCTATGTGCTAAACCGCTAGACCACTTAGTACTCTATTAAATTATAATAACGTTATGTCAGAAGTGTCTATCAGTTGATGCACTCCTGGTTAATAGACGTGCACTAATACGTGCTACGCTTCAATAGATTGAATTGAAATTTAGGAAGCAGGTCAAGCAGGTACAAATAAGATGCAAGCCAGATAATTCTTAATCAAGTAAAGTGTAGTCTCTTATATAAATTTACGAGAAGCAAGCTTCTCTCTGTTATAGATCGACTTCGGCAACAAGCATTTACCTCTTCGAGTGTTTATTCTCCCTGGAGCAAACAGCAATCTGAAAAGTTGACGAAAAGAATAACAAACTCTATACACGTGAAATTGAAATAGTGAAATCTTTTTATTTCAGGTCGGTCATGAAAAATCTTGCCAATTTGCTGGCTGTCCCGATCAGCGAACACGTGGTAACTTTCATCTTCTTGATAGCCGCTGCCACACTGCTCAGGTGGACGACAGGTATGTTATATCATTGATAATACTAACACCTAAATGTCAGTTATACTTATAGATAGCTAAATAATTAATAAAAAAATTTAAATATTACATGGATAACACCCAGACCAATACAAAGAAACCTATTTATGAATACAAATGTTCGCATATTACGGGCAATCGAACTCACGACAATTGAAAGTAAGTTTAATTGCTAGACCACAAAGGCGCATTTGTCTCAACCAATTGTAACGTGGAATTGGTAATGCAGAAGGGCGTTGCGCCCGCTGGTGGTCAGCGGCGGGAGTTCGCGGGCGTAGAGCGTGTCGCGCGCGTTTTACTCACCACACACACCCGCCCATTCACTGTTAGCAGGTAAGCTTCATCATCATCATCATCGTCATTTACATTTCAGTCTGTATGAAACCACTAGTACTATGAAATAGACAAATGTATTTTAATAAAAATAAATAAAAATAATAAATATAAATATCAATAAAAATAAATAAATACGCATGTAGTGAACATAGTTACCAACCTAAAAAATGCCTTATACTCAGATATAAAAGATCTTATACATTGGATCAATTTGGCTCTTAAATCTCGTAACTCTTTGTCATTTGACGCAATTTAATCAAAATCTTGTACAAGTATGAAAATAGGCTCGTACTGAAAACAAAGAATATTATACCTGTGTGAGGATTCTTGTACGGTTGGTATACCTGATAAAAATAAGCCATATTTTGCCGCCACGCCATATTTTGCGTTATCATTCCTTAGTATTCAATTAAATTTACCAATACAATCTCCGCATACAATATTATCTTCACTGGTAGTAGGTACTTCTACAAATTATTAATTATTGCTTAGTTACCATACCGGTTTTGAATAAATTATGTAAGTTTAACGTTTTTCAAATCCACATTTTCATACCAATATTATAAATACAATAAGTGTCTTTCTATCTGTTATCTTTTTTCAACTAACCGGCTCATTGGATTCTAATGAAATAGTTATTTCGTTCGAGAAACTCATGGGATGTTTTGAGCGAAAAGTTGGATCCATTGAGCCATAGTGTCATGTTCACAGCTAAAGTACCTTGCTAGAGTGTATCACTAGAATAGACGTAGGTATTTTTATATATAAATAAAAGCACAGGATGTCGCGGATAACTACAAGTAGATTATAAAAGAAAATAACTGCATCAATCTCCGTACGTGGGCCAATAAAAGAAATTCGTGTCATATTACTATAATCGTTTTAGTAACCACATAAAAGCTATAAACATTATTTCTTGATGCCGCATTACATATCAGTTTTTTTACGACCGATAAAAGGAATATATCTTTAAAAAAGCGGTAGAAAATCAGACGTAGACCATTTTTGTAGTCGATTATGATGAGATACCACAACTGTGAGTGGAAAACACCAGCTAATCGCCATGGGACGTAAAGGAAACGTATAATTTTGAGGAAGGACCTCGACTCGGCCGTGACCTACTTTCTTTAGGATAAACATCATATAATCTACTTAGTTATACGTACTAAACATACAATTGCTACTGCAAATAAAATAAATACTGGATGAATGAAACAATTTCTTTATTTAATGTTATTGTAATTAAGTTAATATGGTATGGTTTATTGTCAATTGGTCAAAATGGAGGTCAATAAATTACTGTTTGTTTGTTCTTGCTATTCACTAAAATGGCTGGACTGATTTTAACGGTACTTTCACTCGCAGATAACTAATGTTATAAGAAGTTACCTAGGCTTTAATTTAGAAATTTGAAGAAAACCGAACGAAGTCTAATATCAAATCCTTTCTCTCTCAACGGGTATCTACAAAAAGGTCACCTACTCTACCCCTAATTATTATGATTACATAGATGTGACTTATGTACAAGCTGTGTTTAAATTAAAGGATGAAGTATAATAGTGAAATTACAAGGTAAAGGTAAATTTCATTAGGTAGGTTACACTTAATTCGATTATATTTTTCTATTACTTTTCAATAGTATAAAAAAAAAGATTTATAAATTTTAGATCTCAGAAACTCTTGGTTTTGCTAGTTGTCACTACCAATCAACGGAAAAACACAATTACTATCCTTGTTTTATGAATACCTCACCCTTAAGAATTTTATTCACTTATTAAAGAAGCATATTGTTATTATTTAATGCAATGTATTAAATGCATAGTTCTTGAGCAAATAATATTTTTATGTTATTTAGTAGGCAGTTCACTCGGGGGGAGTTCGATAGACAATGTCCGAGGACTTGGACTCGATCAGCGAGGAAGAACGAAGCTTGTTCCAACCTTTCACACGAGAGTCACTGGCCGCTATCGAAGCCCGCATAGCTGAAGAGCATGCCAAGCAAAAAGAACTCGAGAAAAAACGAGCGGAAGGCGAGGTGAGTCACAACTCGCTCGGACAAACTAATTTGTGTGTGTATTTTGTGTGTGTGTGTGTATAGTTTTGCAAAACATCAAACTCTATGATATAATACTTGTAGCTTTGACGCATATAATTATAAAGCAATTGTAATGGTCTTAACACTATTATACTATATAAAATAGAGAGATATGTACACTCAAGAATACTCACTTTTGCAACGAATATGTGGCATCTCCAAGTTATTAACACTTTACTGGTCTGACAGATAATTTTTAAACTATTACAGAACGATTTGGGGCGGACGAAAAAGAAAAAAGAAGTAAGATTGCTTGCTTGCCCCTTTTACCTTTTTACGGCTCATTTTTATTAGAGAAATATTGTTGAACAAGTTATCGCTGCAGTCAAAATTGATTTATAAATACAAAACAATTGCGACCTTAGTTGTATATTGGCGCCACATTATCCAAACGCGATAACTTGTAATGAATGCATTCTAATTTATACATATTGATCTCATTTAAAGCATTATTACTTGAACACATCGCTTTATCGGCAAAGTATTTGTAAAGACTGTGTTTACAAGTTTAGCTGTTACGTAATTTTATAACATGATACAAACAAACATAGGTTGTATGTTGTAACAGCTAATCTTAGTAGCTAATTAAATGAAGGCTTGTCATGTTTATTTGCATTTCAACGATGTAAATGATAAATATCCAATACCTGACATGCTATATTGAACGAGGCAAGAAAAAAATATTTTCTTGCCTCACAGAGAGCAAGTTTCTATTGCTCATATTGTAAGTAGTATAACAGAAACTGTCTATAATTCTCCCAGTAAAAAATTAGAAAATATATTTTGTCATTGATTAGATAGAAATTATCAGTTAATTCCCAAGATTAGCAAATAAAATCCTTTAGTGAAATTTCCTCCCAGATGAGAGCATCCAGAATTTCTGTAACTAGTTATAACTAACTATACATAAATGATTGTTTTTCAGTAGGAAACTTTATGGATTGAATCATCTAATTTCTTATTAGACTGTCTTATTTTGGCAATGACGTAATTGAACACTCATCGTAGAGCCACGTGGAGACTATAATTCGAAGTACAACAGCACATTCATATTCACCATTATCAAGCATTGCACAGGACTGGCTCATATTCGCCACATCATCATTGACTGCTGTCATTTAGGTCTAGCATGGTGACGACACCTAGCTAGCATATAGTGCATAATGGAAATATTAGTTGGAAGCAAATAAATTTGTGTATTAATATCGAAATTAAAATAAATATCATACAATTTTGTTGGTTATGACTTGTATTTTGTAACATTTGTCTGGGCTTGCGCTAGTCACACGTCACACCTCCTATTTTGGAACCTATTTCGAATTAAAACAAGAAAATGAGTAAACAAACTAATACAAAAATAATTAAAAAGATATCATACATATTCGTTAGGTAATTGGCGCTGCACATTATATGTTTAAAAACGATAGAATCTTGACATCTATCACTAGTACCAGTTCCTAAAAGTTGTTAACTCAATCTCATTAATATAATTAATTAGTGATTAAGTAATGGATTTAAATGCACCTGCTCCGTAAATAATACGGCTAACATTCGGAATGGTAACACAATAGCGAGGGACGATATATTCGAGCTTCTAGTTTGCCAGATATGCATCACAGTCACACAGACAGCAGCACCACACCAAATTGGGTTAGCTTTAAATGCCAAAACGCTATCACATTTGTAATAATACTTGATATTTTAACAATTAACAGTATTGTTGCAAAGTGCATTATGATCTGCTCGTGATATGGTATTTGGATTTAGGTATATAGTAGGTTGGCTTGCTACACTAAAATCAATATATTGGAAACTATCAACAGGTCCTTAAGTATATGGAGCGTAAGTAATGAAAATTTTTATAATTGGCACCGCAGTATTAAATGGCAACATGTAAAATATTAAGTTGGGTTTATAAGTTACAACATGAGAAACAACGAGAAGTATGTACATTTTTGTTTATAAATTTCATAGCTTGTTTAGCAGATAGACATGCCCATATACTAGTGTATGGCTATTTTTAAATAATGACGTTGTTTAGGTTCGCTATGATGACGAGGACGAAGATGAAGGTCCGCAACCTGACGCGACCCTGGAGCAGGGTTTGCCGTTGCCCGTGCGAATGCAGGGCTCCTTCCCTCTGGAGCTCGCCTCCACGCCCCTCGAGGACATTGACCCCTTCTATCATAACCAGAGAGTGAGTGATATCGTTATTCTACACAATTAGTGCTTCCACTTTTGGTACTTAATATTTATTTTTTATTTTTGTAATATCGGAAACTTATATATTTTTTTATTAATTTATTGTATATTTTCCAATTTGTTTACAGACCTTCGTAGTTATAAGCAAGGGTAAAGATATCTTCAGATTCTCGGCAACGAAGGCTTTTTGGTTTCTAGACCCCTTCAATCCAATAAGAAGAGTGGCGATATACATATTAGTACATCCTCTGTTCTCTTTGTTTATCATAACTACGATCTTAGTGAACTGCATTCTTATGATAATGCCTACAACGCCGACTGTCGAAAGTACTGAGTAAGTATTCCTTGAAAGTTGTTCAGTTATATATATTATTTTATTAGACCATAACATTCTACATACGCTCAATTAAATTATCATAGGCCAGAATATTTACTTCTTAGGAATTAGACCATCTCGTAGTTATGCACGTTAGTTTCAAAATTAATAGATATACAGTTAGTAATCGAATTTTGTCTATAGATATTATAATCAAAGTAATTTTTATAATTAGTGTTAACATACATTTATATAGTAAATTTTTGTAAGACTATATAATACTAGATTAAATTAACAACCTGTTACATTACATATATATATATATATATTTATGTGCAGCTACATCCTCGCTTGAAAAAGATTAGCAATGGTATTTCTTAAAAGTGTTACGTACATTTACTAATTATTTGTTTATTAATGAAACTACGTGGACACAAGTTTCAATAATATGATTATGACAACATAATTGTTACTGCAATATATACTTTTAATGCAAATTGTATTCTCATCCATCCTACTTTAGGTCAATTTAGAAAGCAACACATTTCAAACAAATATATTTATCGCCTACTAATATAATTGTACATATTTAGGTACTGTACATTTTTCCTTTGCCACATAATAGTATTGACTAATTATATTTTACTACTCATGTATGTAATGTATTTGCTTAGACAGTTGGTCTTGAAGTCTCGTTGATCCTCCCCCTTCATCTACATAACATATCACCTTATCCAAGTAATCAGATATTTAATTTACTTATCATTCCCTCAGATGTCTTGTTTATTTGATATGACATTATTATTTGTTATGTTGAGCGGCGGTCCTCAGTGGAGGTGAATTTTTCCAGAGTTATCTTTACCGGGATCTACACGTTTGAATCAGCGGTGAAAGTAATGGCCAGGGGTTTTATACTACAGCCATTCACCTACCTTAGAGATGCATGGAATTGGCTTGACTTCGTAGTTATAGCTTTAGCGTGAGTAGTAGACAATTTTAATGATATACGTAGAGTTATTCGAATACTTTGAATTGTAGATTTTATCGTTCATGTGTTATTGTTTAGTAATAGAAGGACTTTAGTGACGAATGATGAGGAATACTAATCACATATTCAAAGATCCATCAAATACAGAATCGTCAATAAATACGTAGATAAAAATCACGGTAGTTTTACAGGTAGTGGTGTAGTTATATGTATTAACCTAGCTGTTGTGTTTGTGGGTGTCTGTTTTCAGTTATGTGACGATGGGCATAGATCTCGGCAACTTGGCCGCGCTCAGAACGTTCAGAGTACTGCGTGCGCTGAAGACTGTGGCCATCGTACCGGGTAAAATCATATGTTCATTCATGTCTAGCAAACACTTTACTTATTAGATAATACGTTATAGGATAATTAGATTTCATAAGTGTTTTCTTATAAAGGTTATTAGATGAAATACTCATTTGTAATATATAAATATTAATTTATAGTTGTTTGAATTTTTTGTAGTAAGTAGTACCTATGTAATAACAGAAACAAGGATTTAATATTTATGGTGATAGTTTTCTTTTCATTTTCATTAAATATACCGACAGTTGACTCAAATTTGTCAGAATTTATTTATAAGTTACATCTTCGAGAAGTACATATTTTTTCCAAGTGGATATTTGGTGTATATATTAAGTATATTAAATTGTATATATTTAATTATATAAAAAATATGTCCAATACAACAGGTTTGAAAACCATCGTCGGAGCCGTAATAGAGTCAGTGAAGAATCTGCGGGATGTAATCATCCTGACAATGTTTTCACTGTCTGTGTTCGCGCTAATGGGCCTCCAGATCTACATGGGCGTGTTGACTCAGAAGTGCATCAAAGTATTCCCCGAAGATGGCTCCTGGGGCAACCTCACTGACGAGAACTGGGAGAGATTCTGTCAAAACGAAAGTATGATATATTGATATTTCGATAACATCCAACACTACAAATTTACATTACATACGAATAGTATTCATCAAACTTATATATATTAATACGTGAATCAAACACTTTATACTTTTACAAAAATTGCGCGGACGCAGGAGTATGAAATTTCGCACATTTATATTTTGTGTAAATTAAAAGAAATTTCTGCACAAGGAGTGCAGAATGCTAATATTTATTTAATTACGCATAAAAATACATTAAATCGATAAAAAACATTACACACAACATGTCTTTGACACTCATATACTCATTTGTTTATTGCCTGTGCGACTGCCAGTGCCAGTGATTATATAGTTAGAATATAGTATATATATTCTTTGGCAGTGGAACCTTAAGAATGGTCAAACTTATAATTTAAATTAATTATAGTCAAATTTTAACCACTAGGCGACCTCTAGTATATATAAAACTAAGAAGTTACGACTGCACGTCTATTGTTCATATACTTCAAAATTTGCAATTTAAACACACAGAGATCAGTTTTTAATTACTACTATTTTAATACTAGATCTGAAACATGTGTTAATTTACTTTATTATTTTAGCGAATTGGTTCGGCGACGCCGGAGAGTATCCGTTATGTGGAAACTCATCGGGAGCCGGGTAAGTTTGTTCAGTGGAATATAATTTGTTAAAATTTAAGTATACTAGACTATTAGATGAATAATAAAAGATGTAAATATTGTACGTAATTCCATGTAAACTTTCATCCCCTGTCTTGTTAAATTTTATATACTTTGTTACACCTTTTTTCATAATAACAGACAAACAGGGCATATCATAAATAAAAATATATATACATATGGCTAGTAGGTGTATGTGTGTGAGTGCCCATCCATTATTTTTTAAGTAACCCTTCTGAGATATATGTAAATAACCAGGAAGGATGAAATTTTGCATAAAATACACACTTACGGTGATGATGGAAATTCAAAGTCTATATTAACCCTGGTTTTTTAAAGCAGACCTAGCTTTTAAACCATTATAGAATTGGCTTTTTAAAAAAACCAAATTGAATTATATATACACATACATTTATTTTATAAACTGATGCTAAAAAAACAATGCGAATTAATTTACTGTGGTATTTAACTCTGTGCAGGCAATGTGAACCTGGTTACATATGCTTGCAAGGCTACGGTCCAAATCCTAACTACGGATATACGAGTTTTGATACTTTCGGATGGGCATTTCTATCAGCCTTTCGTCTCATGACTCAAGATTATTGGGAAAATCTATATCAATTGGTAAGTTATAGTGGATTAAATTTACTTAAACTTATTTAGCTAATTACTCGTAATATGCGTTTTATACTATGTACTGCGCTACCTTCAAGTAATAAACCAAAGACAATGTTATTTGAATTATATTTATATGAATTATATTTACTTGAATTAAAGAACATAAACTGTGTTGCAGGTGCTGAGGTCGGCGGGCTCATGGCATGTGTTGTTTTTCGTGGTGATCATTTTCTTGGGCTCATTCTATCTTGTAAATTTGATCTTGGCTATCGTCGCCATGTCGTACGATGAATTGCAAAAGAAAGCCGAAGAGGAAGAACAAGCAGAAGAGGAAGCACTACGAGTAAGATCTTATTTCGATGGATTTTATTTGATCTTTATTTCTAATTACTCTAAATGCATTTCTCAAATCAACAGGAAGCAGAACAAAAAGCAGCGGCAAGAGCGGACAAGCAAGAAGCTAGAGAAGCACACGCTAGGGCAGCCGCCGAAGCAGCGGCCTATGCTGAGGCTCACCCCGCGAAATCCCCGAGCGACTTCTCATGTCAAAGCTACGAGCTCTTCGTGAACCAGGAGCGAGGCAACCAAGACGATAATACTCGGGAGCGCATGTCCCTCCGAAGCGACCCCTTCGCGGATTCGGTGAGCACACAGCCCACGCACAAGCCCACCGCCATCGAACAGCACCACGACACGCGCCGGCAGAGGAAGGTCAGCATGGTGAGTATGCTCCGCTCTTCACGCAAATACCTCACTGACAATGATTCAACGCCTTTTGACCATCAATTACATTTTTCTAGTATCTACAACTACATTAACAGTACTACAAATAAGCATTTGAAGATTGCGAGTGACATTTTTATTAAATTTCAATGTGTAAAAAAAATTACGTAGGAGTGTTGATTGATAGTCAAAGGGTTATTTAACTCAATGAGTTAATTTATTTAATGAAATCACTACTTAAAAAAAATTAACTACTCAAAAGTAATATTGACTTTGTTAATTTACCTTCATATGACATTGACGCTTAGTTGAAATTTTTTAATAATTTAAAACTTTTTATTATAAGTCCATGACTTATGCAATTGCAATAAAATTTGATACAATTAGATTTGTTAACTTTTAGTTCCCATGAACATGTACATTTTAATTTTTAATATATTTTGAAGACTATCTATTTTCAGATAAATAGAAAGGCATAGATTCCATACCATGTATGTGCTATTCATTGAATCATTGACAGCTGAGTATTAGTTGTCTTTTCAACTTGATTAAAAAAAATATATCACGCTGCTTCAATACACGCTGAATAATGAAATCAGCTTTTGAATACTAACTTCATATTTTTATAATGCAGATACACTTGATAACACCCGTTCATCTTCATTCCAGCACAGTTCAAGTTGAAAAGAATAATTATATAAATACATTATTCTGTGTTTACTGCTATAAGCTTTAAGTTTATTCTGTATTGATGTACTACAATCTATGATTTCTATACAAGTGCAACTATACTGTCTGTTTAACTAGTGCATAAATATATTTTACTTTATTATATTTTTTTAAAGTTTCATTTATTAAACAATATATATAAATGTATTATTTGTAATTAATATTTGCATTTGTATTACTTATTTTATTTTTGTTATCATCTGTCCTTTATATCTTTAGCAAATTGTACCTATGATCGATTTTAGGAAATGACTAGTTGGCCTGAAGGAATGTTAGATGTTTATCTGCGATGCTGTATCACAGAATTGTTAAATAACTATTTATTTATATTAAGTTTACCATTTTTAATAAACATTCATCAATGCTGTGCAACGTTTCTTGTAGATATTATTTCCTCAATTAGATCTAGATAGTACCTTCCCTTAACCCAGACAACCTGTATGTGTGGAAGCACATCAATCATACTTCACATGTTTTTAAATTTAATTACTTCTTCCACCATTTATAAATTATAATTTTGGATTGAAGATATTTTTTAAAGATTGCGCATACTGCATGACTAAATTATAACAGTGAAAATAGTAGACATTTGACGTTCTCCAATAATATTTCTTCAACTACTACTTAACATAATACCCCAATGACAAAAAACATTAAAGACGGTATGAACGATAATCTTAATGTGATTTGTAATATTGTTAAAATCTTATTTTGGGATTAAAAATGTAATTACTAGCATTAAGAAGATGTAATTTATTTGATAATATAAACTGTAAGGAATACTATTGGAGAGAAAGAATCTATTGTCATGGTAGATTGTTTCTTTTGCAATGTGAGTGTTTACGAACGGGCCGGCCGAAACTGAACGTATCAACGATGAAGAGGTAGGTCAGTCAACTCTTATTATCCACGAATGGTAATAATTATAAATGAAACGTTGACTAATTTTAACATATCTACTTTCAATATAGATTCCTCAATTTTGATTTACCTACAACCTACAATAATGCGGAGGCTTGGATGTATTATGTATTCATAATATGTACAAAAGAACAGTCTTCATGACTTTAGATGTAGTTAAAAACAAGATAGCTAAGATAGGTCTTAGAAGTATGCAGATATGCATGTAATCTAACCCCATAATTACTTCATGTGTTTCTAAACAAAGTTACCTGACTAACTTTTGCTTTCGTACACTCATCGCTAGATATTTATTTTGGCATCTGAATTTTACAATAAGAATTTTAAAACTACATACCCAGGTTTATTTTGAGTTTTTCCGAAATTTCACAATAGGGAATGTAAATATATAAATTCTTATTGTATATTGTAAATTAGTTTTAATTTACCATTTGTCACTTTATCCGCAGCTGGACTACATCATCTTTATTTTACTCCATTTTGATTTCCTAAAGTTATCATTACGTAATCAAAAGTAAGAACTTATTGTATCCTCACATTAAGTGCTTTGACACCGCAACATTAATATTATTTATTATTTATATGCCTGATTTGGTTTGGTTTTCATTTATTAATTATTATTAACGTTTATCTTTATCCTTTCTATCCGATTTGGTGGTGCCAAGATTGAAGTATTTAAGCCGCTCGATTTGATGTAAATTCAAAATTTTGTTTGTATTAAAGGTCCCCCACCCTGATCGCATAAATAAATACACAGGCCCGTTGTCATATGGGCCACTGCGCGAGGGCTCACAGGTTTGTCCTTCTGTCCTCATTGATGTTTGTGCTCCCTTTCCTCTTCCTATTGTTATAAGTCTTATACCATTTTTATTTCATCTATGTATATTATTCAGCTATTGCTCTTCTTTATTCTTTTACTATCAATTTTCTTAATATCATATTGCAACAATATGTACTTTAGTTACCTAACATACCTTTTAATATTAAAATTATTGCTGCAGTATGATATTCTCCAGCACTTTCCTTTTACTTCTGTATTTACTGTCTTATCTTCTTTAAATATTACCTCAATGGTTGTAATTATTTGTCGTCAGTTTTGTTTATTAGCACATGAAAGTAAATGATCATTATTACTATTTAGGAAAGCTATAAGCCTCTGCAATAGGTTCCAGTATACATGAAAATACATTTTCTTGAGAATTTATAATGTAACGGAATATTTTTCTACTACTTGATCTGAATTGAGGAAAATTTACGAAATTATGCTATTAGCAGTATTGGTTAATCATTTTAAATATCAGTATTGGAGTATTTGTAAAATAAGAAGACAAAAGTAAATCCTTTATCAAATATAGAATGGTTTATATATTATAAGAGTCAGTTCGCTGAGACACAGATATGACACCGCAGGCTTCATTATCCCTGCCGGGCTCACCGTTCAATTTACGACGAGGATCGAGAGGTTCCCATCAGATGGCGCTGCGGCCGAATGCAAGAGCCCGATATCCGCCTGGAGCTGATCGGAAACCATTAGTATTATCCACATATTTGGATGCTCAAGAACATCTACCGTATGCTGATGACTCTAACGCTGTTACGCCAATGTCAGAAGAAAATGGTGCTATCATTATTCCGGTCTATTATGCTAACTTAGGTAAGGATTATATATATGATAAAATACTAGAAAATAATAAAAAACCCATTCAGCACTGGTACAGAGTAAAGAAGTAAAAACTCTGGGCACCTCAGTGTCACCTATTTCAGACAATCAGCTTGCTTTGTAAGCTCAGTCAATTGTATGATGCGATTAGGATGTTACATTATAGTATAAAAGCTAGACATCGCAGTTTTCTGGAATGGCAACGAATACTTATCACGCGTGTCACAGAATAACGTGATGAGGTTATTTATTATCTGATTTATCTAATGGAAAACGAATATTAAGGTACCTGCTAGGCACATCGAATTCAGGTATTAAATTTTATAACAGTAAACAAAAATCCATTATCTAATTATCTCCCAATTCAACAGTCCGCACTGTTATTCATGTATATTGGTAAAATTGTTGGTGAAAATATATTATGATACTTTCCTTATGGGACTAGGACTCATAAGGAAAGTAATAGGTAAGCCAATTAATATGTTTAATCATATTATAAGCATTTTTGTATCTATTTTTAATTAAATGTTAGAGCACAACTTCATATATAACAAACATTATCTTGGTTTATTATTGTTGGATTACTATTTGAAAAGACTTCTATCTTAAAATATTTACTTCCAGCCTTATATAGATTTATGTCCACATACATATTGTTTTCAAGGCCATCAATAATCGATTTTAAATCATATACAGGTTCAAGGCATTCGTCGTATACATCCCATCAATCAAGGTTGTCGTATACGTCACATGGAGACTTACTGGGTGGTAAGGCACAGACTAAAGAGGCCAGACTGCGCGGACGATCAGCTTCGAGGAATCACAGCGTGACGTCACAGCCACACGCCTACCCACTACCTAGACAAGACTCGTCCTTGGCCTCGAGACCACTTAGAGAATATGTACGTATATTGCTGGTTTAATTATATAGTAAAATTTTACATTATTTTACAGTCACGCGGAGTACGGACTAATAGTGTCAATAAAATTTTATATATTATATATGTACTAGCAATAAAAATATTGCGACTATAAATTGGGGTGTAAGCTATCCTATCTTTCAAGTTGGATCAAATTGCACACAATATGCAAATCAAATTTGCACACAGCTCAGTAGCTTAGGAGTCCATCGTGGACAAACAACGTGACATGTAATTTTTATATATAAAGATAAGTGAAGGTAGACCCATTAGTAGAAGGTAGACATGGTACATTAATTGTAGTGGGTTCAATAATTCCTACTACTAATCTCCTCTTATTATATTCCCCTATTACAGACATTTGTTTTCACAGCCTTTTTCTAAATGACGGTATGTTTCAATATTTCAGGAAATGAGCACAACAGAATGCACGGACGAAGCTGGGAAAGTTTTGAAACCCTCCAACGACAACCCTTTTATAGAATCGTCACAGCAACCCAACGTTGTAGATATGAGAGGTAAATATCGTACCTACTGCTCACAATTAACAAAAAAACATACTGATATGTATTATAAAAAAACATACTGATAATATATTATGAAGAAATAATTATGTTAAGTACATTACATAGGAATATCTAACATCTACTTTTTTGTTTGAACTTTTACATATTTTGAACAATTTATGTTTGCTTTTTATTCATTATTTTAATTATTCTTCTAAACAACCCTTCCTCTTCTAATTTAACACTCATATGGTTATTTATGTTATTATTTCATCTAATCTATAATAAAAGTATGTTAAAACATACTACTGAACTGTATTCCGTGACTCCCACTCAGAATTTATACTGAAGTATAACAAAGTTATACCACAGCGCTGATTTTTAATAGGGCCACCAGACACGAGATAGCGTACGTTCAGGTACAAATAAGAGCATTTTATAATTAGGTATTATAATAAATACACAAATAAAAACAATTTTCATAAATGTATGTAGTATTTTTTTGTATTATATAAGTAAGTAATAATAATAAATAACATTAAACTGTAAAACTTAATGTTTCAGATGTAATGGTACTAAATGAAATCATCGAGCAAGCGGGCAGACAGAGTCGTGCGAGCGATCACAATGGTATGGAGTATTGAAAGTAACCTCTAAAGTCTTAGCTAAATGTTGTTGGCTACATGTGACAACGCTGTTGTCTTGTTGCATTCTTGATTTATTATTTTCATATTGTTAAATGTCCTTTTACTTCAATGTGCTTTTCAAATGTACTGAACATATTCACTATCTTCTCAGTATCACATATACATATATACTAAATACAAATATGATACACAATACCTATTTACTCTCATGATTAAACCATTTTATATGGTACATAAAATATCTTACACACTCAACAATATAACACATTCAAACCGGTATTTGCTCATTATGCAACGATAATAGCATAATTGGCAAAAAGATAAGAGAACTTAATAAGTGGATGTCATTTATTGTCGTATTGTTGAAACACATTGTGCATTTTGTCATACAGCTAAATAAATTAGATTTTTCAAATTTATCACGATAATATTGTATCATGCTAAAAGATAGTAGACGATCTCGCGGGTAATATCTAGTTAAGGTATTACCGACGACGTTAGATAAAAGATATTATGTCCATTCTTGTAATGCAATCTTCACATTAAGATAATTAATATCTGTTTAGTAGTTGTAGTATATGTGGGAAAGGGATGGAAGCATTATGTCGTCTCTAGTGAAGTACTAGTATATATATTTGAGAAATATTCTTTATTGGAGCTGTATGTACCATTACAACCATTACAAGTAGTTACATAGCCTCACACTCTGCTGCACTTACACTATTTACTTAGAACAATGCTTCTCACATTTTGTTCACGTCATTTATTTACACGTCCCTTTTATGTACCTACCTGTATTAAAAATAAGTATGTTGAATTAAAAATAATGCAAAATAATAAAGAAATAATATTATAAGGTAACAGAGATTGAAACAAAAAAAATCCCTTATGTTTGAAGAAGAAAAACAAACTGAAAGTTATGACGTCGTATTTCAATAAGAAGTAGTATTGTGTACCTAATCGAAATACAATTATTATTTTAGATTACACCCCTTTATCTGTTTTACTGGGTACTTATTAAGCAAAATTTATGGAAATAATCATATAATATTATGAATATAAAACCCGATTAGACGTACAATCACACTATATTCTTAATCCACATATATTTTATATGCATTTGTCCAATATTCCTACTAAATTTTGTTTATTACATTTGCTTATGTGTATTTGCATGAACTGCTTAAAATTCTAGTAATAATTTAGCGAATAAACAAGGTAGGTATACGCTAGAAGACCTTATTGGATTGGTATATCAAATTTTACAGTAGATATATTTAATTTGGTATATCTTTCGACAAGTTTATAAAGTAGTACGATTATTAATGATAATGGAGATATTCATATTTTTTGGCTTCTTAAACAAATACTTAAGTTCTTTTAGAAACAGTTCAAATTCATTAATAGTTTCATAAGTAGTTGTGCAAAATTAGGCTTTTATGCAAAATTAAGATTAATATTCGCCACTGCCAGTATTGGCTTGTGTTTAATTTGCACGGTATTTATAACCAAGCACTACGTTCTCGAATTTCTCGAGATACACCCGGGTCTCTCTCTGCACCCGGATGTATCTAAACCACCTTAGCGAATGCTCCAAATGCGCATTCATTTGTAAACATAAATGACAGCCAACATTTCAAAAAATATGGATATTATTATGTGTTTTTATATAAATTAAATTTCTGTTGAAACGAGTGTCTATAGATGATCGAACTGAATTACTCGTTTTATCTATAAATAATGAGCGAATACTAACAAAATTATTTCTGTCTCTCTTTATACACATACACACGCACTCTGCTGGTAAACGGGACGCAACAGTGTCAGTGTACTACTTCCCAACAGCCGAAGACGATGAGGATGGGCCGACGTTTAAGGAGAAGCTGCTGGAGTGCTTTATGAAGGGAATAGACTTGTTCTGTGTGTGGGACTGCTGTTGGTTGTGGCTCGAGTTCCAGAAGTACGTCGCACTGCTGGTGTTCGACCCGTTCGTCGAGTTGTTTATCACGTTGTGTATCGTGGTCAATACATTGTTTATGGCTATGGATCATCACGATATGGACCCAGATATGGAGAAAGCGCTCAAGAGTGGCAATTATGTTAGTAGAAACCAAATACTTATTAGTAATATCCGTGTGTGATGAACGTGTCACAATTTTTTCATCATTATAAGCATTGTATTAAATGTTCAGTAGTCATTTACTGAACAATGAATAAATATATATATTTACAAATATGTAGATTTATGCAAGTTAGATAACGTAGATAAGATAACCTCTTCTTATGTATAAACGTAGATATCCTATTAAATCCATAAAAATAGGTATATCAATTACATTTTCATATTAGATTGTTAATTAAGTATTGTAGAGGCTGATACACTAACTGTTATCTCTGAATAGATAACGAAATATCAAAGATCTAGTTAGGCGAAAAAAAATTGATATAACTACATTACCGATGGTATTGATGGTAGATTGGTAAGACAGGCTTAGTTTTATATAAGCTGAGGTAAGTACCTATGTACGACTAAAGTGCTTATCTCAGCTTATATAACTTAACCTGCATCCTTAATAGCAGTAGGACTATTATGTAATATTAATGATAATGATGATGATCGATTTGTTGTTAAGAAACTAGTGTCATATCCCGAATTCGGCCGATAACTTTTGTCATGTACAACATACAATATATTAAATCGATATAATGGTTCCAGAATTTAATGTCTCTCTTCATATAAATTGTCAATATCAGTCCCTAGAAGGCATTCAATAATGTTATTATATAACCAGTTGATCAATATATTCATTTCTTAATTGCGGATACTTTATTTTCCAACAAAACTAGCTTTAAATATTATCAAATTAATATTTATTTCACAACTAATGTTTTCTTTCAGTTTTTCACCGCAACTTTTGGTATAGAAGCAACATTGAAATTAGTAGCAATGAGTCCAAAGTATTATTTTCAAGAAGGTTGGAATATTTTTGACTTTATTATCGTGGCCTTATCACTGTTGGAATTGGGACTGGAAGGTGTTCAGGGTTTGTCTGTATTGCGTTCTTTTCGTTTGGTAAGTTTCTGATTTATCTACATTAGATAGTTAAATAATCTCTATATTATATATTATACTAATAAGAATTTACAAGTACAAGAGTTTTAAACTGGCAGTGAGTCATTAGAGTAATTCCATTCTTTTCATATACGGTATGTAAGTACTAGAAAAGTATGAGTAAGTATTACTATATATTAATTAAAAATGGATTCATGGAATACAAAAATAAAAAGGCTATTAATTTATAATTTAATTAATTGTTTTCAATAGACATTATTTCTATTCAATTAAAATTATCAAGATAGTAGAATAGATTTTTAACGTTATAATTAACTATTAAAAATATTTGAGAAATAATAACAATATTATACCTTGGTTTTCTATAAAATCAATGAAAGTAGATATGCTTTTTATAAGATTTCATAATGAGCTAATTACAATATAATATTTATTTACATTACATTTTCTATGTCTACTTTCATTGTTTGTATGTAATCTGATATTCGCACATTATGTAACATTATCTACATCACACATACATCATACATCACAATAATTTCATAAAATATATAAATGTGATAAAATATTTTCAGCTGCGTGTATTTAAACTGGCCAAGTCTTGGCCGGCGTTAAATCTTATTATATCCATAATGGGTAGGACTGTGGGAGCTTTAGGGAACTTGACCTTTGTACTTTGCATCATTATATTCATATTCGCTGTGATGGGAATGCAGTTGTTTGGGAAGAACTATACAGGTCCAATATAAACGAAATTTAGCATCTCTAAACATAAGAATAAGCTTCATTATTGATTCAGCTTCACACTCCCAAAATTCTTACACTGGGCTTGATTAAACATTATTTTCATAAGGACCATGTGTCCGACGCTGTGGCTTTATAACACGGAATGTGGCTCAACAATACAAAAGAGCCTTAAAACACGTTATAAAGCTATGCCACGCAGCTTCAAGATCATCAGTTAAGCTTTGCATCGAGTAATATAGTTTTGACTTGCAGCTTCGCTTTGAAAGGGTACTTTTATGCGGCAGGTCTTTTTCTGATGGGATCTATGTCGATAATAGACAAATAGGCAAATATTAAACAAGAAGCAAAGTTAAAGAAAATAAATATACCGATGCAAATTATTCTTACATAGAAAACTAACATATATCCCACTCATACAAATTAAAGTATGCACATTGTTAGGTAACTCAAGCACACATTTGCTAATGATAGTCAAAACGACCCAGAATCACTCACGTTTGACATAGATGACAAAATCAAGAGTTCTTTAAAGGTATTCAGGCATTGTGAGTGATTCGGGGTCTGAGGAAATGTTCGCAGTAGCATAGGTGAAGCGCCGGTAAGCGAGCTTGTGTGACGCCTTGTTTCACAATTTGTACTTGCAGCTTCGAGTATTCAAATTGGCAAAGTCATGGCCGACACTTAATTTACTCATCTCTATAATGGGTAGGACAATGGGTGCCTTGGGCAACCTGACCTTCGTATTGTGCATCATTATTTTCATATTTGCGGTGATGGGTATGCAACTATTCGGAAAAAATTACGTGGGTAAGTTCATTGGTGGGAGTGTTGCATGATCATTGGTGTTTGGAGGTGTTGACTGTTGATGGTACGGTGGCGCCAGCTACTCCATGTTGGATAATCATTTTTTTAACGCTGAACTGAGCTATTTATTATTTAATTTGATAACAAAGATTTTAAATATAAATAGCCCAATTCATAAAAAAATGATTAACAATAATCATACCCCCAGTGAATATATTTCAGTTTCTAACTCATTATCGTGTAAAATATGTAAATTATATAATATAAACAATCATTATAAAAGAGGTAAATATATCACTGCTGGGTTTTTAAGTTTTATAGTGTGGAATATTCAAAATATAAAAAATGTTTTTACATTTTTAGTTTTAAAAGTACTAGCACGAATATAATACCTATAAACATTACTTTTTCTTAAAAAAATGAAATTCGTTAAATATGATCGGAATAACCAAAAATGTTATTCGTCGTTTAAGTTATTTTTTATTTACGTAATATTATTTTATTCTCCATATAAATTTGTTAGTCTGTGATAATTGATTCCACACTCTAAAATAAGCTGGCTGCCCTGTTTGAATAGTAAGTATTGTGTTGATGTGCGTCACACTGTTGTGCTCATTGTCATTAGGCGATTTGCAGATTCTATGTTCCTTACAAGTGAGCCTGACACCCTAAAATGATTCTATGTTTCCCTACTACTAAAACTGCCCCATTAAGGCGCCTCACTTGTGAAACAATCATCGCCTTGCTTTTCTTTGTTTCCTTCCTTCTATCTATAGCAAATTCTTTATTAGTCATATCGTAGGTGTTATAATTTTCTCTATTAGAAAATTCTTATACTTCCATCAGCGCAGTCATATTTTCCTAATGTTTCTTATTGCAAGTAAGTATGCATGTTTTATGTACGCTGTAATTTTACTGATATTTATAGTTAAAAATTATACTCGATTCGTGCTTGTGTGATGTTAGTTGTAGATAGTTTAGTTAATATGCCTATAATTAATAGTTTTGAATTAAGAAACTGCTACAATAACATATTATGAAAAAAAAAAACAAAATCAATGGCTGCTAATACTGCATGTCATTGAATGCTTTTTGCTAACTTCAATTGATATAATAAATAATAAACAATATATTAAACGTTTAAATATATTGAACGTATAACTTTTTAAACAGATTATGTGGACCGCTTCCCCGGCGGAGATTTACCAAGATGGAACTTCACAGATTTCATGCACAGCTTCATGATCGTATTCCGAGTTCTGTGCGGAGAATGGATAGAAAGTATGTGGGATTGTATGTTAGTCGGAGATGTATCGTGTATACCATTTTTCCTTGCCACGGTTGTAATCGGAAACCTTGTGGTTAGTAATATTTTATATATTTTTGCAAAATCTGTTATACAATTTATTTGTATATTATTAAGAAAGAATATTATCTATTTTTATCTCCCATATCATCCCACACTTATCATTAATGCATAAGTAAGATACAATAGATGGTTCACTATTGTATCCTTTCACCAGATTAATAACAGGGTATTACAGATAAATTTCAAATAGAAAAAGTAGATGAAATTTTCATAGTTACATTGAAACTTAGGATATAGATTTTTTTTAATCTTTTTTTATTAGATCCTAATTATTAACTTATAAAGAGTATACTTTATAAGTTGATAATTAGGATAAAAAAAGAGAGAAAAAAATGTATCTAATCAACATATCACTAATATTCTAATTATATTTATTTTTAAGTAAATCTTCGAGATATTTATGTGTCTAAAATGAAATTTGACTTCATGAATAACTTTTTATTTCACTACAATACTACCTCTTATTAACATGCAGGAATATATAAACTGATTTTCTTTAAACTAACTACTGTGAAACAGAAACTTAAGCATTTTTTAAAGTATTTATAACATTTACTCATGAAGTTTCCTCGTAAATCCTACGTAAAGAATATTTACTAATAAATTATAATAACTATTCCTCTATCGTAATCTACTTTCCAGTTTGTTGAAAATGAAATGATATATTGCAATGGACTAAAACTATTTATGTAACATTTCAGGTACTTAACCTCTTCTTAGCTCTGTTACTGTCCAATTTCGGCTCATCAAGCTTATCGACTCCTACAGCTGATCAAGACACAAACAAAATAGCTGAAGCCTTTAATCGAATATCAAGGTTCATAGATTGGATAAAACGTAATGTGGCCGATTTCATGAAGCTATTGAAGAATAAACTGACAAATCAAATAGCTATTCATGCGCCCGGTAAGAAATGATCTCCAGTGTGTTATAGCATGTATTTGAGTGTTCAATGTCGGAAAAATGTAGCTCCTAAAATAAGTGAGAAAAAGTATTTTTATGGTGTTATATATTTACTAGCTATATAGTAGTTTGTGAGGTTTAATAGGTTACAAGCTGTCGTTTATTATTATCTATTTCTGCGGTTAAAGACCAAATCAAAAATTTAAGCAATCTTCAGTCAGTTAAGAAAGTTGATAGCTAGTATTAATATTAATAGCAGCGTTTTACCTGAAATAAAACGCATATTAAAGTACTTACCTTATTCGAAGCTTATTATTGAGATAGGCACTTCCGTTTCCCGTCATTTTTACGTCATGTCCTACCTATTTACTCGAATATTGGTACTTCCGGCAGCGTCACCGTGCAGTGGCGCCCTCTATATCCTTAAAGTAAGTTTAGTTTTTAAACCCTGGCGCCTGTATGGCTCATTGGATCGAAATTGAATGCACCAGGCAGAAATAAAAGATAAGCTTCGAATAAGGTAAGTACTTTAATATGCGTTTTATTTCAGGTAAAACGCTGCTATTAAAGCACTTGACCGTTATTCGAAGCTTATTATTGAGAAGTGTCTGTTATCGCCTGGTGATGCTGCAACCAAAGTACCAAAGGAATAAATACGCCAATGTGAATAAAATAAAATAAGGAGAAATAATATTATATTATAAATATTTATTTTAATCAAAGTTATTATACATAGCGTAGAAAATTTCAAACAAAAACAGTTCCTCCATATAAATTAAATACTATTTTATAAGTATATCGTTACCAATAATTAACAAAAGAAAATCAATTCATGGGACTAAATAAGTGCGCTACATGTGGAGAATCATCTGCGGCAATTATTTGACGTTGATAAAATTTGTGAAATGTATTGGCTGATCGCCAATTCCCACGAGCTAATATATCATCCAAGGGATAATTCTTGATCCAGTTCTTTGAAGCCACTGCCGAACGCACGCTTCCTGGTGTTCCAGTAATATTGGCCTCAATAAATAAGGTTTTTATCCAACTAGATATAACAGTACGAGATGCAGGCTTAGGATCGCTTCTTAATGTAATAAATAATTCATATAAATTATTAGTTTTTCTTCTATCATTTAATATAGCTATAGTTTTATCTAACCAAAATACTGGATTAAGATTATTATTGTCCGTATTATTTAGTAATTTCCACCCAGATTGTCTGTGTGAGCTATTGTCGGTTTTTGAACCGAATTGCGGCCATAATATAATATTATCGTTGTATTTAATACAATGTTCAGGATCAATTGTAAGCAATGTTTGGTCATGAACGCGACGCCCTGAACACAGGAGTAAAAGAACTGCTGTATGGCGCACAGTTTTAAAAATATTATTTTCGTTTACTGTATAACTAGATAAATAAGAAATTAATTTACTAACATCCCAAATAGGTATCTTTGGGGACTTAGTTATGTTTGGGGACTTCAAGGAAATAGCTTTCAAGATATGTTTAACTAGGACATGAGAGCTAAGCTTACTTGACGTTTCTACATTACATAAGGTAGACACAACAGATTTATGTAAAAGAACTGTACTGTACGATAAGTTATGTAATAAGTAAAGGTCTCCTAAGAACTGTGCTAACTGACCACCTGTTGGATTTCTAGAGTCAACCTTGTTAGTATTAGCCCAGCTAAGCCATCGTTTCCAAGCTACATCGTATGTTTTTGAAGTGGATAGACGCCAGGAATTCTTAAGTAACTGACGCTGTTCAGGTGTCCAAGTGTTTAATGCCGATGACCACCCCCACATTTCCATATCTCTAGAATCAATTCCTCTACCTTGGGAGGTGGGCGACCTGTCGTTGTGTCTACTAGATACCGTTCCAGATTTTTCAGTGTGAATGGCGCTGCGAGTGATCGGGCTTTGAGGTCGGCTCGCCAGTATACCTTCTTCCAACGAGGCACCACTAGAAGAAACGTTCCTGTTGAATTGTTGAGGTGAGTAAGCACCTTGGGAATTAGAAAAGGTGGTGGAAATACCCAAGCCAGGGGATAATTCCAGGATTGGCTGAAAGCATCGTGATATACAGCCAGAGGGTCCTTCAAATCTAGTGTGACATAATTCAATACCACGTGAGCCCTGTGGGATGCAAATAGGTCTATCGCAGGCAATCCCCACTTCTTGAATACTTTTTCTACGCATTCTGGAAGCAGGTGCCATTCGGGAGGTTGACGGTGTCTCGACAGATGATCCGCGTGGCTGTTGAACCTCCCTGGAATGTAATGTATTGTAAAATGTATTTGAAATTCGTCTAGTATTTTCAGAATTTGATAAATTATTTCCAGCAATTGAACTGATTTTGTGCCTCCTTCTTTTCGCAAGTATGTAACGGCAGTTTTGTTGTCGCATTGTATGAGGATGGAGTTGCGACTCATCAGATGGCAATGACTTTGAAGTACACGCAATATTGCAAGTAATTCCTTCTGGTTGCAGTGTAATGGCTCCTCGTCTTTCGACCATAGACCGGAGAGGGTAATATTGTCCAACTGCGCTCCCCAAGCTATATCTGACGCATCTGTTGTCAGGAACATTCTTGGTGGCGGATAATGAAGGGGTGTTGAGAAATAACAATTTTGAACCCACCATGTCAGTTCTTGCTGAATTATTTGAGGTAAAGTATAGATCACCCTCGGATTGTCTGGTAACTTGCTCACGAATAGAAGCAGCTGACGATGATTGAGCCGGCCTCGAGGAACTACAAAGCTTGCGAAGTTCATGAGACCAATCAACTTTTGTAGTTCTCTTAATGTTCCTCTGTTGTGTTTTAGCACTTTGCTTACATTTTTTACAATTTTTTCTGACTTTTCTCTTGGTAAGCTCTTTTGGTTCTGCCATGGCCACCACTGTACTCCTAGAAATATCAAACTTTTTTGGGGAATTAGAATAGACTTTTTGAAATTTATTTTCCAACCCAGATATTTCAATATGTTTACTGCCTTTTTTACTTGATGTTTCAGGATGTTGATATTTTGATGAGCAAGTAGAAAATCGTCCAGGTATACGACAATTCTTACATTTTGTTCTCTTAATATCTGTGCTACCCAATTGGTAAGAAGAGAAAATGTTTTGGGTGCGGTGTTTAGTCCGAATGGTAGGCACGTCATTTCGTACAATTGGTGGTTGTAAACTAGACGTAGGAATCTCCTGTGAGATGTTCGTATTTTGAGATGAAAATAAGCCTGTGAAAGGTCTATTTTGCAGAGCCAATCTTGAGGTTGTAAAAAATCTGGAATGCGGTACATGTTTATTAGATGGAAGTGATCTGTTATTACAAATTTGTTTAAAGCTTTTAAATTGAAGATTGGACGAGCTGTGCCATCTGTTTTTAGTACATGAAACATTGGGGAGATGAAACTTGGTGAAATAGAGACTTTCTTTATTATTCCTTGATGCTCCATATTGGATAATATTACTGACATCTCTTTCGAAGTAGGAGTTTGATATGGACATTTCTTCAGATTTGGTTTTATTAGCGGAGGTATTTGAGAAAAGGGTATGCGATATCCTTGTATTAATTGCAGGATGACCTTTGGTGCTTCCATTAATTTCCATTGTGGATAAAAATGTGCTAATTGGCCTGCTTTGAAGTGTTGCGAGTCATTGTTTATAATGCCTTTTTCTCCCTCTGGATGCCCGAGGGGGAGACTGTCGGCTTCGATCACGATGTCCTTGAGTACCGGACCGCGAGCCACGGTTACGAAATGTGCCTCGGTTATGAAATGACTCTCTTTCTGATGTGCTTGGCTGATTAAATTGAAAGTCTACATTATATCCTTGAGCATGACCCTGGTAATGTGGGTATCTTCCCCGGGAAGATTTATAATTAGTGCGTAATGTGTTAAAATCAAAATTATTTCTCGAAGTACCACGCGATGGTATTGCTTTAGACGAACCCGACCCCCGCGAGGGGTGGTAATATTTTACGCTGTGTCGCTCTTGAAACCTTGCATCATTCTTTGCAGGCCAGAATGCCTTGCAAACACCGCCAGCTTTTTCTAAAGCCGATGAGAAAAGATCACTGTTAAATAAATTTGTTGTTGATGGCGGTATTTTGTTAAGGGATGCTTTAACAAGTGGATCTCGAATTTGTCTGAGAATAGTATCTCTGCGCATTTCAATACTCTCGGCTCGGTGTCCACACGCTAATTGCAAGAGGTCAGTAGATATTTTGTGTAAATGGCCTTTTAGAAATATTTGTTGGATCTTTTCATCTAATTTATTTAGACTTCCTTCTGGTGACTTTGACCATGTCACAAGTTGCCTTAAGCTGTCTTGTAATGCTTCCTTTTGTTCGAGAATGCAGTATGTTATAGCTGCATATGATCTTTCTGCATATTTTAAGTTACACGAGGTGTCGTAAGTTTGTACCTCTTCGTTGGTATCTAGATCAATGAAACCTGGAGAATGAATGTATTGCTTTTGGGTATCAGCATATCTAACTTCTGACCAAGAATTTTTTCCCAGTTGCTGCACCTCATTAAGCATTTGTAAATAAATGTCTGGTGTTTTAAGGACAGAAGGTTCTTTTAGTTTTGTTGTTATCTCAAAAGCAAAATCTTCTGGCGGATTCTGTATGCTATTATTATTAGATTGACTCTCGTTTGTATCAAAAATATCGTTTCCATATAATTCACCACTAACCTCTGAACATATAGATGCTGCTTCCTGGTCTCTGTCGTAGAAGGACCGGCGTAAGTCACCCACTTCTTTAAATAATTGTTGTATCATTTTTTCTGTCCGTTGTTTTTTAACTTTCTTGTTACATTTTCGTCGTGATCTTTTTCTTTTAGAATCATACGATGCATCAGACGATGACGTGTTCGTTGAGCTACAATTATTACATGAACTATTACTGCAATTACTTTTGCTTCGACTACGACGCCTTTTACGAGTCTTTTCACTTGGTCCAGCCACTATTTGGGCATTTGGAGAGCCCTCAATTGCACTCATACTGTAAGAGAAGCTGTAGATGAACACTTACTTGCTAAATGATTAGTCAAAAATAACTCACTGTTAAATTAGACTAGAAATGTTTTTTTTTTTTTGAAATAAAAAATAAAAAGGAGTAATTCCTAAACTGCGAGTACTTTAATATCTATAGAATAATCACAAAATTCCAATATTTTTCATTAGACATCTAATCGTTTGATTAAACAGGTAGGTACACAAAATTAGACATAAAAGCTTAAATATATTTAATTTAAAATCAGAACCTGTAGGTTCAAAATTATGTCGAACGGAAAACCCGTTAAATAAAATCACTGGAAATATGTTCATATTACCTTAGTTGCTATTTGAAGATTTTAATACTGGAGTAGCAAAGCTGCTGCATAGGTTACTTCGACGGGAAACAAAACGCCAATGAGCCATACAGGCGCCAGGGTTTAAAAACTAAACTTACTTTAAGGATATAGAGGGCGCCACTGCACGGTGACGCTGCCGGAAGTACCAATATTCGAGTAAATAGGTAGGACATGACGTAAAAATGACGGGAAACGGAAGTGCCTATCTCAATAATAAGCTTCGAATAACGGTCAAGTGCTTTAATAGCGTAGTACTATTGTTAAAATTTATGATATATTTCAAAAATTTTACTTAGGTTTTTTTTTTATTCATGAGTTACATCTAATAAAATCAATTCCAGGTGATCATTAAACTTATAAATAAAGAAATTATTTAAATATGTTGTACCTACGATTTATTTTACTAACCGTTATTTGTAAACACTAACGGGATATAGTAATTTAAACTGTTTCCAGTAAACAGTAGGTACATAAAATATTATCTATATTTTAAGTATCTACTTACTTTATGCAATAGTAATCTGACTGGCTATTTGGAATTAAAATTAACAATATAAATATTGCAACAAAAGAAAAGTCTTACAATTGTAACTTCCTCTTTAATGTTGTGGCATGGATTACGTTGTATAATATTGTAAATGTACCCGCTGATACAAGTAGCATGTTATTTATTCGTAATAAATGGTTGTAAATTTCGTGTTACTGTAATAATTTGTGAACACTGTGCGTTGCCTGCGCCCTATATCCAAGTGTAGAAATGACCTTGTCTCAACTTTATTGTCGTGTGTTAGATTTGAATCCTATACACAATTATCATGTATTTATTTCTTTTCATTTTATTATTCATCTTTTAATTTGTACCTAGATATATTGTTTCATGCCTTTGAATGTACAGTCACTTGTCATATTTGTGTAGTGTATTGTTTTTGTAATTTCGGTGTGTGCATGTACACTAAATGTTGTATATTGTTATAAAATATTGTTCTTGAGTTTAGAGTTAAACAAATTGTCTTTTTTATTTGAAGTTATCTTGAAATAATAAAAAAATATATCAATTCACACGATTCTTAGATGTCCTCTAAGAACAATAAAGCTTCACTTTTCTTAGGTGGAATACCGCCAATCAACACATTTATATTCGCCATTGTCATAATAATATCACATTCATAATTTGTAGATCCCTAAAAAGTTTAATTTCACTTTAATTCTAAATAATAATTAATTTAATCTCACTGAACAAAATGTATATATAAATTAGTAAGTATATATATATGACATTATAAAAAAATATCATCAAACAATTTTGCTTTGATTTATCTCTAATTTGGACAAAAAAGTTCGACTAACCACTATCTGGTGCTGGTCTGATTTCTATGCTTGGTGGGTGGCGACGATGACGCACGGTGGATCCGCGACACGTAGGCTTAAAAGCGGCTTTATGTGGCCGCTGTGTCTCCTCAGAACGAGTGGACAACGAACTGGAACTGGGCACAGACATCGATGACGCCGTTCTCTATAAAGATAAGAAATTAAAGGATCAAGTAGAAGTAGCTATTGGCGATGGCATGGAATTCACTATACCAGGTAATATTTTCAGATTTCATGTTACTTGAAACGTGTAGCCTGTAACTGTTTTTACCATTATTTGTTTTATATTTTAGGAGACAATAAATATAAGAAAGGAAAATTGTTAATGAACAACATTAATGCAATAACAGATAACCATAGAGATAACCGATTAGACTGTGAATTAAATCATCATGGATATCCAATTCAGGTATACAACTCTTAAAGTAATTAATGAAATAGTTTTTTGATCATTTGTTGTAAAATATTTACAATTATTGACATGATTATCTAATGTTTTAGGACGACGATACAATAAGTCAAAAATCATATGGCAGTCATAAAATTAGGTCTTTTAAAGATGAAAGTCATAAGGGATCAGCGGACACGATAGATGGTGAAGAAAAAAAAGATGCTAGCAAAGAAGAATTAGGTTTAGAAGAAGGTATTAATTTGAAATTCAGTACCCTTTATTTTAATCAATTTTTTTAAGGACTTACCACAATATTTAGAACAAAATTGTGAATCAAGTCTTTTAACTTTATTCAGTATATATTATCTTTAACTTTCAGAAATGATCGAAGAAGAGGAGGATAAAGGAGATGGTGCCCTAGGAAAAACAGATATTGTCGTTGCCGCCGAAGAAGATCTCATTGATGATACGCCTGCTGACTGCTGTCCAGAACCGTGTTATCAGAAATTTCCTTTTCTTGCTGGAGATGACGATTCACCATTTTGGCAAGGCTGGGGCATGCTGCGATTAAAAACATTCAAACTTATTGAAAATACTTATTTTGAAACGGCTGTGATCACCATGATTTTACTCAGTAGTTTGGCTTTGGTGAGATAATCTTAGTATATATACATATATTTAATTGATTCGCAACGATTTTTAAACTTCAAATTAATGATAACGTAATATTTTTCTATGTGCAGGCGTTAGAAGATGTACATTTACCTCATCGGCCGATTCTTCAAGATATACTATATTATATGGATCGAATATTCACTGTTATCTTTTTCATCGAGATGTTAATCAAGTGGCTTGCACTCGGCTTCCAGAAATACTTCACAAACGCTTGGTGTTGGCTCGATTTCATCATTGTTATGGTAAACAGTCTTTTCAGTTACAATAATCGAAACTAAGTTTAATTAGTTCAGTTCTTTTACAGGATTACCAAGCATCTTGTGATATACGATCAAGTCAAACTTATGATACCCGTAAGCTCCATGTATTATAAAAATCAATGCATAAGTATTAAAAAAAAAATGTTTTAAATTGAAATAGTTATAAATTTTAATTAAGTAATTGACGAGTAATGTCACGTCAGTTGTCCCTCGTAAACCACGGGGCGGTGATGGCGGGGGCCGACGACATCCCAGCATTCCGCTCGATGCGAACGTTACGCGCTCTGCGCCCACTCCGCGCGGTCTCCAGATGGGAGGGAATGCGCGTGAGTACGCGCCGTCACCATCCACGCAATGACGCTATCGGTGTCGGTGTCGGTTGTATTACATTGCTCATTGACTAACATTCTAACACAGTCTAGTAAACAATGCCCTCATTTTCATTAATCAACTTAATATGAGTCGATGAGCAGTGTGTTATAAAGCGTGTAGCTTTTTCTGTTCGATGTATATCGGAACGAAGTCTTCCGACTGATCTCACTTCGCTGCCTCAAGCTCTCGATGTCGTGACATTGTTTGTCTGTGGATACTGCTTCTATATTGTTAGAGTTTATATATCTCTTGTACCCGTGATTCCTGCTACTTAACAGTTATTTAACTACACAATAAGTGACTATACCCCTTTAGATAAAATAACCTCGAAAATCCAATTATTTCATATGCATGTGGCAACACAGTCTCTTTTTTATTGCTAGTATATTAGATGGTGCCGTTTTCTAAAAATTTTAATTTGTTTTACTAATTATTAAATGACAATATACTTATAAATGAAAATGGCACTCAATCTATTCTGAATGCTGTTTGTACTATAAAAAACTGCAGTTATGGTCCTAGTACGGTATCTGAAATATGTTTTCGTATCCTTCGGACAGACATACATCTATGTATAAGTTGTCTTCCATCTTTTAAAGAAGATTTGCTCCTTCTCATTTTTATCGATACAAGGATTGTCTTCTTCTAAGTTGTTGATTGACTTCTTTTAAGTTGAATTGTCAACTTTATATCACATTTCTAAAATTTACAGGTTTCAAAATGACTACTAGCATTTCTCAGACGGCGTAAGTCTTGAATTAAAAAGAATGTTAAGACTGATATTGCCAACTTTTATATCTTATTATTTTTTATTATGTTCTCAAATTACAACCCTTGATTTCATCAGGTCTCGCTTATAAACTTCGTAGCGGCGCTTTGTGGCGCTGGTGGCATTCAGGCGTTCAAAACGATGCGAACGCTCCGGGCACTGCGTCCTCTCAGAGCCATGAGCCGCATGCAGGGCATGAGGGTACGTACCGCCATGCCTCGCGAGCTCGACCCTCTCGCTCACCAATTACATACACACCTTGCTCAACATTGTCACACTCACAAGTTTACATAACATCTATAGTATATAACATCTCCAATAATCCTATCAAATTGTGAACATTGGAAACTTCATCTTTTCAATATTCTATGCATCAATCATTCGGTCTTTTCACTTTAAAAACTTGTTAATTATTTATCCAAAGTTGTATCATGTCGTATATTATTGGCAGTAGTCGACTTATTGATTCACCTTGTTAGTATTTCATTTTGAAGTCGTCAGCGGCACCCTTGAATGGCTTAGTATCATCACAAACCTATACACCCTTTTAGACTTTGGTAAAAGTGGAATTATGTCAGGATATACATCCATTGTCATGTTTTGGTACTTTTTCTCTTGTCTTTTTTTATTTCTAGCTAGTTTAGCAATTGTATCTAGTATATGTAATTTTGAAACATTAATTTAGATTTTGCACTTTAGATTTTTCTTCTTATCTTCATCGCAAGGTCTCTTTTGGATCGCATGCGTTAGAATTTTCATATTGGATTGTTAAAATATTATGTTTAAAATGGTAAGTTTTTATTTAAGTATTGAAGTTTTTTTTATTTACACAGTGTTTAACGTAGCGGTGTATTCATATGCTTGTGCATGGTATTGTGTAAATTAAATATTCATGTATGAATCTAAATAATATTATAATCATGATAGTACAGTATTCACAACTATTATGTAGATTCATTCAAATCGTATTTTTTGTTGTATGCCAATGAAAAGCAAGTTTCGTAAAACCATTGTAGAAAGAGAAAAATAATTAATATACATCGTATCTGCTTACTGTCACCATTTAATATGAATCATTCTTTTGCTTATTAATTTCTTAAAGATTACGAAAATAACTTTAGATAACGTCATAAACATATTTTTATATTCTCAGGTCGTAGTGAACGCTCTGGTACAAGCCATTCCCTCTATCTTCAATGTGCTTCTCGTGTGTCTCATCTTCTGGCTAATTTTTGCCATCATGGGAGTGCAACTCTTTGCTGGCAAATATTTCAAGGTTGGTAATGGTTCAATTTTTTATATAATTGGAATAGCAAACTAGCTAACGAACAACCTAATAGTAATTGATAAAGCACTATAAAATAAAAAATACACGTTATCGTGTCATGATCATTATATAGAAATATAATGATATTTATATTCGGTACTTACGTGATTTTGAAGTTCCTTTTTTTATAAACAAATATGCTCTTTGTTATTTTATAGTGCGTCGACCTTAACCACACTGCATTGAGCCATGAAATAATTCCGGACCGAAATGCCTGTACCTTGGAAAACTATACCTGGGAAAATTCGCCGATGAACTTTGATCACGTAGGCAAAGCATACCTTTGTCTATTTCAAGTGGCTACTTTTAAAGGCTGGATACAAATTATGAATGATGCTATCGATTCCAGAGAGGTAAGTACATAATTTTTAGGTGTTACCTGATTTATAGTATGAAAATATATAATTGATTCATGTGTAACAATTGCCTTTCCTTTCAGGTCGGAAGACAACCCATAAGAGAAACGAATATTTACATGTATCTTTATTTTGTATTTTTCATTATATTTGGCTCTTTCTTTACTCTTAACCTATTCATCGGTGTGATCATCGACAACTTCAACGAACAGAAAAAGAAAGCTGGTGGTAGTTTAGAAATGTTTATGACTGAAGATCAGAAGAAATATTACAATGCCATGAAAAAGATGGGTTCTAAGAAACCACTTAAGGCCATACCAAGACCAAAGGTACTTGCTTCATAAAGCTCTTGAACCCGATATATAACTTTAGTTATTTTTATCTAAATATATATATTATATATTTAGACTTTTAAATTTTTATTAACAACATAATAATGTGAATTAAAATAGCAAATATTACTCTACACATTTACTACAAATAAATTTAATTCTCTCTTTCTGTTATTAACAAATTATAACTTTCCATTATTCTAATCGTAATATTTTTTACATTATCTGTATCCATGTGCCATATGTCTTACATACTATTAATTCTTTCAGTGGCGGCCGCAAGCTATAGTCTTCGAAATAGTAACAGATAAGAAATTCGATATGATTATTATGTTATTCATTGGTCTGAATATGTTAACTATGACATTAGACCATTACCAACAGTCAGACACGTTCAGCAATGTCCTTGACTACCTTAATATGATATTCATTGTAATATTTAGCTCAGAGTGCCTATTAAAAATATTTGCCTTACGGTACCACTACTTCGTCGAGCCGTGGAATTTATTCGATTTCGTCGTAGTTATGTTCTCTATACTTAGTAAGTACTGTTGCTACTGTTAAAGTAAGTACAATATAAAAATATTTATTAATATGAATTTCTTTGTTCACAGGTTTGGTATTGAGTGATATTATAGAAAAATATTTTGTATCACCAACACTCTTGAGGGTGGTGAGAGTAGCAAAAGTTGGTCGAGTTCTTCGACTCGTTAAAGGCGCTAAAGGCATTCGAACATTATTGTTTGCGTTAGCTATGTCGCTACCAGCTTTATTCAATATCTGTCTACTCTTGTTCCTCGTCATGTTTATCTTCGCTATATTTGGAATGTCATTCTTCATGCATGTCAAAGATAAAGGAGGGCTCGACGACGTCTACAATTTTAAAACTTTTGTACAGAGTATGATACTACTATTTCAGGTTAATGTCATAATGTATTATCTACTTGAGCAACTTTAGAAAGTAGATGGAATGGTTAATATTAATCCCATATCTTTATTTGCTACAGATGTCAACATCTGCTGGTTGGGATGGTGTACTTGATGGCATTATAAACGAAGAGGAGTGTGACTTGCCTGACAATGAGCGCGGATACCCGGGCAACTGTGGATCAGCGACGATCGGAATCACATTTCTTCTATCCTACCTCGTCATCTCCTTTCTTATCGTTATCAACATGTATATCGCCGTCATTCTCGAGAACTACTCACAGGTACATATTAACACTAATTTGTGTTCTATTATATACAAACCGATTAAAGAAATTGTAAATTAATACTATTATAATTTATAGGCGACTGAAGATGTACAAGAAGGTCTCACAGATGACGACTATGACATGTACTATGAAATCTGGCAGCGGTTCGATCCAGACGGTACTCAATACATTAGGTATGATCAGTTATCCGACTTCCTCGACGTACTCGAACCGCCGCTCCAGATCCACAAGCCGAACAAGTACAAAATCATATCCATGGACATACCTATATGCCGCAACGACCTGATGTTCTGCGTGGACATACTCGATGCGCTCACGAAGGACTTCTTCGCGAGAAAGGGTAACCCGATCGAGGACCCCGGAGACATAGAGGTCGGGCGGCCCGACGAGGTCGGCTACGAGCCGGTGTCGTCGACGCTGTGGCGGCAGCGCGAGGAGTACTGCGCGCGGCTCATCCAGCACGCGTGGCGGCGGCACCGGCGCGCGCACGACGGGCCGGGCGGCGAGGAGGAGGCGGGCGGCGGCGCGGGCGGCGCGGGCGGCGCGGGCGGCGCGGGCGGCGCGGGCGGCGCGGGCGGCGCGGCGGGCGCGGGCGGGGAGGGCGGCGAGGCGGACGCGGGCGCGGCCACGGCCGTGCTGCTGGACGCCGTGACGCCCAACGGGCACCGCGTGGTGCTGCAGGCGGCGGGGGCGGCGCCGCGCCCGCCCGAGCCCGCGCCGCCGCCCGCGCCCGTCTGACCCGCGCTGGCGCTCGCGCTGCTGCCCGCGCTGGTCGACGACGCGCCGCTGCCGCTGCCCGCACCGCTGCCCGAGCTCCTGAGCCCACCCAAGCGCACTTAATTATTTTTTACGCTAGACGTTTCGCATTGTACATAATGTAGTGTGTCGGGCCGCGGGCGAGCGTCGCGACGCGCGCCGGCGCCACAGCTGCGCGCCCGCGCCGTTTCCTACGTGGACGTTATTCTTTCGCGTTTAGAGACGTTCGAGGTGATAACTGAAGTGTTTTATATTCGCGTGGCCGAGCTTTTGAGACTGTTTGTTTTGCGACCGATGTTCGCGCGCGTTCACCGTGTTTTATTGTTCCGATTCGTATCTCTTTTGTTGTCGCATAGACCAGTCCCCGGTGAGAAAAAAACTTATCGATCGGAGAGGATTGTTTTAGAAAGCGTGCCGTTTTTTCGTCACTAGTGATTTAATATAAGGTATCTGATGTAAATGAGGAAACTGTAAAAGCTTATTTTTGTATTTGATAAATATCACTGTCTATCTGTAAATTCTAAATCAAAACTTTATAATAATGTGGATGGAGATTGGTGATCTGATAAATTATAGAATTGTGAGATATCATTTTCTTTCCCCGAAATGGTGTCGAACAATAGCACTATTATTAATAGGAAATTATGAGTCTGCCGCAGGAACCTCTCGCTTTCATTGTTCCCTCTTTTTTATTTCAATGTCAGAATGTAAAGTATCTATCTCGATTTGGAACGACATTGTATTGAGTAGTGCACGGGGCATGCGAGCGAGCGACTCCTGCTTCGGTTCGATGTTGCGCCGGAGTGTGACACATGTGACATTTGCTTGGTTATGTTTCGCTTCAGCGCCGTGCCGCTGAGCGCGGCCCTCACAGCAGGCAAATCGATGTAGCACTCGACGTTTGGGAACCAGAATGTTTATTTATTGTTACAAATGTCTTCAACACGTCCTTCGCATTACGGACGTTAGTATAATCGTATCTTATAAACGCTTAGAGAAGCAATGGCTACGCCGATTCATATCAATTTTGTCCGTATAGTTTTTTATAGTTCCAATTTTTAAGCCTCTCACTGTACCGCAACGACTGTACGTCGTCGAATTCTATACGAGGTCGGCACGTCGCCGGTTTCCTCAAAATTAAGAGCGTTTAGAAAATTTTTGCAAGTTATCTATGTAAGCTTAACAAATCAGCTGTGAAATCGGTACCAGAGTTCACTTCCGTCCTAATTCAGTACGCATCATAGGAATCGAGCCATTTTATGTAACGCGCACTTTCCAAGTAACTAGTTAATGTAATTTTCCTTCCCCTGAATTACATTAGCTACTGGACGGCGCCCGGCCCGCTGTCCCCGGCCGGCCGCGCGCCGCCCGCCCTCCGTCGCGGTCGAAGAGGATCCCTAGTTCAGCTCATCTTTATAGGTCCTTCGAATGCAATATTAACTTACTGTTAATTATTTGATTCGCCTTAATTTATCGCACACTTAGCACTACTAAAAAATTTCAAATTTCTGAAATAGACTTAGTGCTGAAAAAGAAGAATTCATTATTCAAAGTTTGTAATTTTTTAGTTAAATAACTTTTGTATGGGTGTGCGATACATTCAATTTTACCATAGCAGTAGAATATAGGTAAAATTGTTATATATGTTACAGACAAATCTGCCGCGTCGGTAATAATTTGGGTATAGTACCTAGATACCTAGTACACTAGGTATTTAAATGTTACTATACTAAATTATTAATTAGACCCTGTAATCACTATTTCAATTTAATCTTAACGCCTACGTAATTAAAATTTGCGTAGGCGCAAACTTGTCGCCCTTGTGTTAATAGATAGGTACTATTGAAATGTTTTACTAGTCTTTAGATACAATTAGATATAATGCAGTGTTATTGCTATAGTACCTACTATAAGTTTGCATTGTAAACTGGACCTGTCACCGCCACGAATTAATCTAAAGATCCTCTTCGAAGCCTGACAAAATATTATTAACCTTTATCTAATAATTGCGAGCGGGCTGGTACTGCTTCGATGAATATTGCTCTTGCAGATTAACTATTACATTATTACGATGTTATAGCATTGTACAACCGATTCGGCTACATGAAAGAAATCACCGTATTTAGCAATAAGATTATTTATATACCTAAGAGATCGAACGTCCCTTACCGAGTAAGGTAGATTAAATTGAAGTATTTTTATTTTTCAAATGACATCTCTTTAGATTGATGGAACTAGCGCAGTTGTGATGTCTGTAGGACATATACGCCGTTCGCAGCGTGGAACACTCGAGTGACTCATAACAGTCGAGTTTCGTGTCAGTATTGTATTTTCTAGCACAACAAATCATTAAATTTTGTAATTTAACTTTGGAAGTGGTCAATTTTCTACTGCTCTGTAAATATTGAGAGCTTATTGCCGGGTAGAACCCAAAACGCACGTCGCAACACATAAATTTATCATGTTTACTATCTATTGATATGAGCGAGTAACGCAGCGATACATAATAAGCTTGAAGCAATAAAATTAACGTGTGCTCGACGAAAAGCTATGCTTTTCATTGTACGGAACATGTCACCAAGTTATTATGTTGATTATTTACAATTAATTTTACCTGCATTAAATGGGAAAGATTCTGAAATGCAACACGATCTAAAATGTTGCAAAGTTTCAACAGTGTATCTAAACTAAAATGAGACGCTTACCGTTTTGCACATTTTTTGCAATAATTATGATTACAAATATGTAGATAAATTTTATAAAATGTGCCGTTGGGCGGGGTGTGTGCAAGCGAGCTTCCCCATCACTTGGGCACTCTCCGCGCCCGTCTGTAGCGCGTGCTACGGTAGCGCCGCATCTCCCTTGGTTTCATCGGGTCTACCTCAACTGGATACCAGGCATTTGTTGTTCTTAAGAACCCCAAGTTTGAGAACGACGTCATCTTTAGTTTTTTTATGCTTTTAATTATATTGTAGGCCTTTACATAAACATCTTCTAAACTTTTTAAATAACTCTTAATTGTGAAATTATTTTATAAATCACAATGTTATAATTACAATTGAGCAAAACTGCTGAAAATAGGAAATATGTGTGTACCGTACAGCAATCTTTGTACCTAATAAATAGTAATTTCGTAAGTCACAGGTTCGTTCTCAGACTTGGACATGCCAAAAACCGGTGGTGTCACTTTTTATTTTGGTCAAACCAAATGTTCTCCTTACTATTAGGCATATTTGCACAAAGAAGTTGTGTTTAATTAAGTTTAGACAATAAGTTATGATATCATTATATTGTTTCTTTATACTATACTTATGACAAAAAAGTGAGTTCAGTTTGCTGAGTGATAGAGGTTTAATTGACTATTTATTATATATATTGTTGAAGTTTGTACAAAATAAATTAAGTAAACGATAAAATATAGAACTTGACTGCTTTATACTGTCGTTTTCTTTTCAGCTTAAACCTTCCAAATCGCGTAGTCCCTCGACTAAGCACAATAAAGAAAATTGTTTTATGAATATTAATGAACACAAGTTTTTATTTTAATAATATGAAAACAATTTGGACTATGCTAACTCTGCGTAAGGTTTTGGAAATGCATAAAATACCCAGACCTATACGAACAATCACACCCATAAAAATTACGTTATGCAAGAAATCGAACCCGCGATCGCTGAATATAAAGATACTCATATATTAAGACTAAAAATAAATAAAGCTGCAATTAAACATCACTGTCTATTTTTATCCAGTTTTTATTTATAATACAAAAACATTTCCTATACATTTTTATTAAGTACAATGTTTTGCTGAGGTATATAATATAAACCTACCGATCTAACTAGTTTTAATAAAAAGATCAAGTCTTTATTCACTTTTACAAATTTTCGAGTTTACAGTTAAAAATATTAGTATGTATCCGAGTCAACGGCCGCTGTAACCTGTGAATATAAAATAGTCTATTGTAACAAATCAAGTCATTCTAAAATGTCTAGACAATCTGAACAATCTCTAGAGTAGAGATAGAAAAAGACTAGAGATTCCAACGTCATTGGCCGCTGGTTCATCTGTCATGTTCGATTTATGTACTTGGGCGTTACCTACCTGTTGGGACGTGCTTGCTATACCTAACCTACCTAAAATAACTAAGTATACCTGTTTCTTTTGTTACTTTCCTTAGTTTGTCTCAATTTTATATCTACTACTTATTTAGATGTCTGTATAATTCAGAAAAATATTAAGAAGGGCCGTGAAATCGTACAAAATGGCTGAATTACAAAATGATGCAAGATCAGATTGCATAGAGATAACTCTATGCACTCTAACCAAGCTTTGAGTGCATAGAGATAATCGATGTTTAGTAGCTTTAGAAAAACACACATTTAGTAGGTTCGTATCATCATAATAAACATCATCATCATTTCAATGACCTGTAAAGGACATACTGCGGCGAATTAACCATAAACCCATTATTTGGAATCGGCGCAGTATGTCCTTTATAGAACATGATATAAAATATATCTACTCATACACTATAATAATGATATTTACATAATCACATTAATTATTTTTAAATACATATTAAAAAAAGACCAATATTAAAAATTCTATTAATATTGAGTGTGGTGACAACCGTACGATATTTCTCTTAAATGTAATAGATTTACGATCCTCGGTCAAGATTTTTATATCAAGTTCTAGTTATTAGTTCACGTACACAGCCTCCAACGTTTTTGTCAAATGTATAATAACCAAAGTACAATATTGTAAGATGGTAATAATAAGGTTAGAATAATGGAGTACAGGTACGTCACCGTACAGTAGTCAGCATTTTACACCGTTCGATGTCCATATAATACCCAAATATACCAAATACCAGTACCAGTTTCCTTCACAAGCAAGCATTCGTGCACGCAAACAAGCATTCACTCCGGAACTTGTCATTTATACTTACAATACCATAGCATCCAGATTATATGGCAGCAGACTCAGACAAAGTAATTTAAATATATGTATGAGATTTTATACTTCTTTAAGGATAAAAAAAAGAATAGCATTTATAAACTTCAATTCATTGTCCGGAGTATTTTCATATCTACCATAAAACAACGAGAAATAAAATAATCACTTGTAGTTAGGTATATTTTAAGGCCCCTAATTAAATCTTTGTTATTGCTTCCTACCTGAACCACACTATATTTACCTTATTATTCACATATTACTTACATTAGTGTCCACACACGTCCACAACTTACTAGGCTTTACTAGGCCTCGTAGGTGACGGCGCCAGAGCATCCCTGCGATTACGAAACTATTAATATTGATCATAACTATTCTGAAATTAAACTCTTTATTGTTCCTATCACAGAAAAAAAAATACATACATTAATATATCTCCTACATCTTGAGATTGTATTTTATTAGTTAGAGTAGAAACAAAACAGCTTGCAGTCATGACAGCTTTAATCCTCCGGACTACTGTTACCACTTACCATCAAAGCGTCCGTTAGCTTGTTTGCCATTCTAATTATATTTAAAAAAAATGCTAGAGGAGAAGCCTATAGGATGAGGGATAAGGAATTCAGGTATTATAAATAAGAAACGTCCTTTCGATGTTACTATTTTTATTTCCGTCTTAATTTTAAGACAATTGTGTCCCTAGCGTCGACACACATACAAGATGCTCCTTGGTACATAAGTATTGCAAATTTATACATTACCCATATAAATATCTATACAGCATCTATATGTACAGTGTGTATGTGTGTACCAAAAAGGCTCCCAATATCAATCTAAGGATTTAATTACAATAAACACATCCCGTAGACTGTAGGACCTATCGCACTATGAGGTACCACCGTTCACTATGTGAACTCCGGTACACTAAGCTTTATATTATTTAAGACAATTACTGGCAGTGCAACCGACTTATGCACGATCGATACCGCGATATTAATTTAATTATTATGTAATTAGTGACAGAGATATGTAGCGCGGGACATATATTACAAAAAAAGCTGAATATTGCGACGTGTTCGAAATAGATTATTTTTGAAGAAACTGCTTTTATTCAGTACCTATATATATCTACTGTCTCAAAACACTACCTGCTCGAGTGAACTTACTATTTTAGCCACATATCACTATCATTGCCGCACTAATTCTTAATTACAAACGTACTTTACAATACCAGTCGGTACCTTCACGAATTATTTTTAATGTACTCACAATTTACCGTGTGGCAGCACAACACGTCGGCTACAAATCTGTTACTTTAGTTCTACCAACACCGAGAATAGTTCGAGCCTTGCAGGCATTAAATTATAAGTCGATCACAGAATAAAAACATTACATCCTGAACTAATAGCTTAATCATTATATTGATAAACAGTATTCTAATAAGAAAAATAGGTAGATTTTTGGTACAAATGTTCTCGTTTCATTCTTAACCGCGACAATAATCACTTATCTTGTGCCATTATTTAGATTCAAAGATTCAATAAAAGCAAAATAAACAATAAGCAAATGAATCACTAACGTGATTACACAATTTTTACATTACAATCAATATGAGGTCGTGGTGGTACTACGAAGATCCAAATAAGCATCATGACTTTTATAATGTTCACTACACTAAGCGATTTACACAACGCTACATTTAACATTAAAGTATCAAAATCAGCAAATATTAAATTAGATCTAATGTAAATGTTACAGTCCAAAATATAAGGGCGGGCACTGACGGCTACTCTCGCATATACTTCAACGAACGAACGAAGCCAAAAATAAATATTTTTGGCTTCATTAAAAAAAATACTAATGACGCATTCGTATGAATAATTTATATATCTATTTGCATTTACAGCTATATCCGTCAAGAAAAATTGTCATGCTCATCAAGAGTACAGTAATATTTTACTACAGTGAACGCGTAATAACGACTGAACCTTGTTTGAATGTGTTGTTAGTTCAAACCTTTTTGGCAGTGAAACAGATACTATAAGCAATCGTATGTAGCAGCAAGCTCGATTACGGACGGATATGACTGAATGATAATATTTAATGTTATCATTCAGGGATATCCGTCCATAGTCGAGTGGTGATGGACTAACAATGCTTTATCACTATTTTTGTCTCTAGAATGTCGTAAGAGACTAGAGAAATAACGAACATCAGTGGAAAGGACAAGTATAAAGAGAACTCTATACCAAAACCAGCTTTGTCAGCTTCCTACGGTCAATATAACTAGTTTCTAACATATTTGTGAGGACATATGGTTGGTTCTCTGCTGCTGAAGTAGCTGTTAGTACCCGCCAAAATTACTCTTTCTTATTTAGAAAAATACTTTATACAATGAGAAATGAAATTTAACGTAACGGATGAAGATCTTGAACATAACCGGTTTGATTGTAGTATTTATATTATTATTATATTCCCAACATCACCACAAAATTTCTAGAGTATGAAATTAATTAGAATTTAACTAAACTACAAACTAACAAAAACAAAATATGTGTATCTAATTATTTATAATTATAACCTACTATTTATAATGAAAAATCTTCAATTTTCCATTGAACAAATTCGCAATTTATTAATCGGTTACTAAGAACACGTGACAGTGGTTCTATCAAGTACCCTTGAAGTATTATAGACTGATAGTCATGAAAATCCTATAACTCGATCTCAAAGAACAGTTCATATTGTCAATATATAAGTTGTTCCATAGTCACAAGATGACACAAGAAAATTATAAAGAGAAATCTAATACTAGATTCATTTGACAAACCGAAATAATTAAATGTATTGACACTTATTATGATTTGAAAATTCTTCTTAAGCCGTATTCAGGTAAATAGTCATTTACTTATTCTATGTTTTTACATCTCTCGTCTAAATGGAGTTATAGGATACAAATGAACACAACTTCTCAGGAAAACGCAACAAGCTGTGGTTTTAATTTCAAAGACTTGCTCTATGAAATCTGTTAGTATCAACCATGAGAAAAGATGATTTTAATTACTTAATTATAATATTAAAAATAATAATGATATATTGTATTTGATATATCTTCGTTTAAAAATATATTCTTTTTTATCTGAGATCTTACACTTGTAAATTATATTTGCAATATGATTGGGTATAGATGAGGGCACTCATTACAGAAACGCGTGTAAAGAAAACAAAAAACATAAATCAAGCACAAACAAAATACATATTCAATTCCTTAATATTTTTATGTGTATAATTGCATCGATTAATTCCTTTCGATTTACTTTTTACTAATTGTCATTTGTCATACATTAAGGCAGCAGTCACCAAGTTTATTTTTTTATTTCTCTCAGTAACATATTTTACACTTATGGTAAACATGTGACAACCGAACCTCATAAAAGAGAAACCGATCTGTATATTCAGTTCACTGAAGATCCTGAAGAGATGAATGATAATATAATACATAATTCGTATTGCTACACCAATAAGTTGTGACAAATGACCGTAAATGTAGAACTATCAGCATTATCGAGCAGCAGTAGAAATACCCAATTGTCGCTTTGAGACTTAGGCCCGCTTGTCCCTCAATTTTATTATTTAGCAAACTAACTGTACACTATCAGTTTTTGTATTAAGAACGTATGAAATAGAAAACGAGCAGGGGACGTGAGAATGAGGATTTTTTGTGAAACATTTCGGCTCTGAGTTCTAGCTCTTTTGAGCCTTAACGATAAGAGCCATCGAGGTATTGCCAACTCGTGACGCGTGGCGTGAATTTGTGGTGCGAAGTGTATGTTAGGTGGCTGTTAAAAGCCAGCATAGAGGTAGTTTACTCTGTGTAATCCCAGCAGTCCTTCTCATAACCCTCATGCACGTGCTCGAGCAACACCTTACGCCGGCTGTCGCAATATCTGCAAAAATAAAATATATATAATGTATTAAAATATTGCAGAGTTAACCATGTTATATTATATTCTATCGTTACATTGCATGATGACATATTAAAACACATTACATTAAAGACTACAGTTAGCCAGACGTAGCTGATACCTGTGCGGCAAATTTACTAACATCGCGCGGCACCATATGGGACCGAATTCAATATAAAACTGAAAATATTTTTTTATAGCCACAACCTCTTCCAAATCTTCACCTCCCTTTTATCTGTGCTGCTGACTGCACCAGATGAAGGCAATACAAATAATTGCGGTACCTTCATAGCCGATAAACCTGCGAGTAAACTATTTAGAAATACAATCGTGAATACATGCATTATCTCAAAAATATTATTAATTTACCTGTATTTGTCCTGTACTTTCTGTTTGATATCAGCCAGGTTTTCGCTGGTAATATCACGTTCGAGATATTCAGAGAGCGTTTCAGTTGCGGACTCCAGGTCACGCTGATTGTCCTCGAAGATCACCGACTGGTTGTTCTTGCGAAGGTAATAAGCGAACACGTAAGTGTACATTAATGTCTGCCTGCACTGACATAGAATATCGACGGCCTTCTTCAAGAATTGAACCTGTAACAATATGTCATTTCAATATATGCAGATGTATACAAAGTATTAAATTCAGCGCAAGATAATTCTAAATGGAAATAAATGTTTTGTTGTCGCTATTGTAACACACAAGAAATCCAATAAGAAGGGTATAAAGATTCCTTTCCACAAAACAATAGACTTAGCTTGTAGCAACATTAGTTTTGGATCAACAAATTTGAATGAAATCAGATATAATTTAACAAATGGGACATACTTTCCCTACCATCCTGGTCAGGAGAATGATTAAATTGAGAAGATTAACAAATGATAATAAGATAGTAATAAAAATAGAAAACAAATTGACATCCTGACTTTTGTAGTTTTATCCTTATTAAGTGTTTCATCATCCTAGCTTTCAGCTTGTATTTATTTTATCCTCTTAAGGGTAAAGTAAAATAGGGAAGGAAAGTTAGAATGATGAAACTTTATTCTTTGGCCTGTTATAATTAGCCTAAATTATTTTAAAAATGTTATCCAAGATTACTATTTCACGCGTACGAAGTCGCGGACAATAGCTCTGTTCTGTTCTGTATAAATTTCTAACTCCAAAATCACATGAACACAATATTATATACAAAACTCTCTACTACGCAGGCATAATTCCGTGTAGTTAATCTCGGTTGCGTTACCTCGATCCAGCTCATGTTGTGCTGCTGCATCTCCTCCATCTTCTCCTTGACGGAGGCGTAGAGCTTGGACTCGAAGCGAAGCGACTGCATGTGGTTCATGTACCGGTTGCAGTAGAACAGATAGCGCTGTAGCGCCGCCCGAGACCGCTCCTGAGCGTCACGAGCCGCCTTCGCCTCGTCCTCATCGTATCTACACATACAAATAGTTATTTATTTACGTTTTAATACATTAGGAACATATTATAAGGAAGACATATTATAGTACAATATTAAAGACAGTGTTGTCGGTCAAATAAACCTTTCGAAACTACTTTCTGCTCAGATCAAATATCAGAATGATATAATTAACATAATAATAATTAAATAAAAAAGATTATAAACTTTATTGAAAATTGAAAAAAAAAGAATTGTGGTGACATTTGATATACAATCTATGAATATTTTATTGTAGAAAATAGAAGTAACTACTTAAACTATAGACATAAAAAAATTAAGAGTATTAAAGAAAAAAGTAATGAATGGTAAAGTTCCACGGACAATAGCGCAGGTCTTAAATTTTGAATAACAATTAATTTGTAAAACAACTATTGTACCTGTTGCAATTGTACCAACTGCTACCATGCGGCTCCCAAGGTCCGAGGCACACCCAACAGAAGTCAGCCTTACAGTTTTGGTTTTTACACACCATATGGTTGCACCCGCCATCCTTCTCTATGGTCACGTTACATTTCGGACACTCCTTAGTGTTAGCAGCTATCCAGTTGGATGTTTCAGAATCATCGTCGCATTTCTGTAATACAAATATACAATTTAAAATTTGGGGAAAAACAGATTTATTTTCAAGCATACTAAGCATACGGCCCATCTGTTGGTAAATAATGGTAAACAGACGCCTGACACGCCAAAGGTGTCATGTGCGCATTGGCGACCCTTAAGAAACCCTAATCCTATCCTTTTTTAATAACCCCATGCTGTAGTCTCTCGACAAAACCTACTTAATCGCAGTCTAAAAGTTGAATTATGTAGTTCTATACATATGTATGATAATGGAACGATGCAGCGGCGTGCGCTAACAGATTACGCCGGGGGGACACTAGTGCTAATGAGCATGAAATCAGTTCAGTTAACCCATTATGTTAAATTCACCAGAAATTTATCAAGATGGTTTCCATTTGGACATGGTTAGCATTGGGGCTATTAGTCTACATCACTAATAATCCCCTTCCCCCTACCATATATGTATTATATATAATGTACCCACCTTGATCCACTTGCGGAGGAGGCTACAACGCACCGGATCGTGCCAGTTCTCACCGCACGAGAAGCAGAAGGTGTGCCCGCAGCGACACGTGACCGGCGCCGCCTCCACGTACGCCACCTTGATGGCGTTACTGCAGTCCGGCGACGGACACCAACGCAGCAGTCGGTTACACTGCAACGACACGTTGAAGTACATTCATAACCAATTATTTAAACTCGTCTGTTTCACACTCGACCAATTTTTGTATGTACTAAAACTATTATTTCAGTAGTGGGGCATATTCGTACAAAATTTGGAACAGATTTTAAAAAGATAGAAATGTTCTTAATTACATTCTTGTATATGATTTAATTTTTTTAGTGTATGAAATACAAACATTGTAAAATTATTATTTATAATATAAATTATAACTATTAACCTCATATGATCATTTATTCATTGTGCTTAAATGGAATTAACGATTATCTTAGACAATTACACTTCTAAATTAACAAGATGAAAGAAAATGTAAAAGAATGTTGAATTGTTGTATGGAACTTTTAGCGATAAATATTTTAAAACGGAAATCTCAAATTCGATAAGATTCATAAACATCTTTAAAAGGATATATAATAAACTTGTTAGTTCAATATATTATACACACCTCAACAAAGCTGTTTGTGATAATATGCTGGTACTTAAGTTTGACCCTGGGATCTCGTACTAATCGCATCACAGTCGCATCATCCACCAAGATGTCGCATTCATGCGCTGCGCATGCTATTGTTTGACCCTGTAATAATAATTTTACTCAGTGCCACTCTTTTGTTATAGAGACATTATTAAATTCTTACCATAGTGTGTCATGTATTTGAAATATAGAATTAAAATCGTTTCAACTGCTTACATAAATTAAACAGATTCCAGATATATCAATCGGTTACTACTGGATCACACAATATTGTATCAATATAAAGTTTTTATTATTCTACTAACTCAAATTTACTCCTTTTTTATTTACTTTGCCGATATAAACTAGGATTGAATATCATAAGTCTAGGAATTAAACCCAATTTCAATCATATCTGTCCAGTCGTACAAGTGTGATTGAATAATGTCTTTACAAACTTTAACATTTTTTATATAGGAGTATTTTTTAGCAGGTGGCAACAAAGAGATTGCTCTAAACAGATATTCTGTTTAGGGCATCTGTAAACACTTACTATACACATGTATGGTATATCAAAAGTATGATATAATTATTTTCTAACATTTAAAGTTATAAATTGAATAAATAAATAAGAATGTGAGGATGGAATTTAAAATTCATTTAAAAAACACAAATCACTAAAACCATAGTAATAATAACACTAGTAAAAAACACTTACTAAGCCTTCTTCCATTATTTTTGTTGTTAAATATTCACACCAACACTGCGTGCAAAATCTGTGCCCACATTCTAGCCCAGTCATCATCTGTAATGTAAAAAATACTATGCAAACAGTAATCTAAGAAATAATAATAATAGTGTAAAAAGCCTGGCCTTGGTGACTGCAACTGATAATCCTTTATTTTTCTTATATTTAATGGTAATATGAATTTATTACAATTCTACTTACCGTTAATGGTAGCACGGAAAAACATATTTCGCATTCCTCTGTCCCTGATGTTGATATCCGTCTAGGTAGCTACAACGAAAAAATACAATCCAAATATTGAATTTGTCATAATTATAAATAATATTAATAAATATTAATATGAATGGGAAAAGATGTGAGTGATTTCTGAGACAATTTGTATTTAGAACAAAAGAAGAAATACACATAATATAATTTTCATTTCAGCTGATTTATAAGAGGTTCCTTTTAACCTTGGCAATGATACTGTACTAATGTGTAGTGGATATTACCATCTGTATTAAAAGAATATGAAAACTGAACTGAATAAATATATATATATATATATAATTCTTTGTTTCTATACCTATGTTAGTGAGGAATATACTGGCCAAATTTATTTAAATTTGTAATATATTCAAGTTACCTTCGGTCTTTGTATGACAGGTTTTCTAAATGGATTAATGACCCTAGCTTCTGAAAACAATTGATCTTGGTCCCCATCATAGAATCTTTCCATTAGCTTTTCTTTATCCCATTTGAAATGATTTAATAGTATTCGAGTTGTTGTTGCCGGTATCTGAAAAATAAGCAAGTCAGCAATACTTAATACAATAATATAATTTATTTATTTGCTTGCTACATGGTACACTTTTGAATCTTACTAAATAATAAAAGTACATAACATGCAGCACCCCATAGGGATATGCAAATTTTGAAAATGAAGTATATTTATAAATATCACTATAATTTACAATTACCCACAAAATGCATGCATTTTAATATTTATATTAATTAATTAATATCAGGTTATTGACGACCTGGGTGGTCTAGTAGTTTAGCACACACTCGCAGAGCATAAATTTGTATTATAATATATATATATATATATAATTTGTATTCATGAGTATGATTGTTTGTATCAGTCTGAGTCTTTCCTATGTCTAATATGTATGTATTTACAAACAAAAAATATATCTATGTATTTGTATCACTTATCTAGTACCCATAACACAGCTTTGGCTAGTTCAACTTGGATTTAAATGGCACTGTGTGAATTGTCCTGAGATTATTATTATATAGTTCATATAATTAAGATAATAATTATATTATTAATACCAATTTTTATAATGTCATCCATTTTATATAATATAAAATAATATTATAAAGATTAAAAACACTTATTTATCAGCTATTTCATTAGTTTGTCTTTGTTAAGATAATTAAAATAAAAAGACTAAAAAAGCAAATATTAATTTAAAAACACTGACATTATTTCAACCTTTATCCATAATAACTTAATAAATATATATTGGATAAATAATGATGTCAGATATATAGATAAGAGTACAAAAAGTTACACCTAAAAATATGTTGATAAATCATATTCAGCCCACTACATTACTTTAATTAGCAATTTATTAGGATATGAGTAAGCATTTAAAAAATTAGCTTGCACATTCAATGATTGTCAGTAAATCTTATGACAATTTAATAAATATTTGTAATAAAAGTAATAGACAGTAGAAAAATGCTTTTAAACATTATTATTGCCCATAAAAATTTATATGTAATATTATTATGTTGTTCCGACAGAAAAATGATTATCAGATAAATTGAATGCTAGTGAAATTCAAGACTCAAGAACTAGACTATTACTATATTTTATATTTACTTATTTATATATACTATATTTTTTTGTCTCGGAGTCTAAATTGCACAGTCCAAATGTCAAGTTCTTAAATAATGATACCAGCTACAGTAGTGTAGTACTGAACCTACAATACCTATTTCTTGATTAATAATGTTTTTGTTCTACTTAAAGTTTTACTTTTCAATCTATGAAGTTTCCGCAACATATTTTTAAATTCACAGACAAACACAAGTGTTTGTATCTTGTCCTGTGGTACTGTCTTTGATCTAAGAATACAAAAATACATTTCCGTGTTTACGGTACATATAGTAATATTTATGGTATTAAACTGCATACTAATATTTTTGTTTCTTAAAACAACAAAATATTTCAAGTAAATGTAAGTTTTCTGAAATATTATTCTGACAAATCTGAAATATAATATGACAACAAAGGCCATTTATTGTATAAAAGACGCAATTAGTATGTGTATGGGCTGTATATTTAATATTTAGTTAGACTATATTTATCAATCATCATCATCATCATCGCAGCCCATATTTATCAATACCTATACTATATTAATTTTGTGTTAATACATTAACAAATTATAATTACTATATAACCCTTAAAAATTGGTAATTAACATTAATTTCTGACGACGGCACAACAATATTTAATAATAGCAAATAGCTGACAAAAAATAGGTATGCCAATTTTGTCTCAGAGATAAAAAATTAACTATAGAATCGAATGAGTCAAAAGAATTTATAAAGCATGAGATATGTGTAAGCATAACCGCCTACGGTACTGAATTGCATCTATCTACTCTGAAATGCATATAATATGAAGATAATAAAGTTACAATTTGTATGTATATTAAGGCAATAACAAAGCTCAGTAAATTCAAAATAAATAAAGAAGCAAGATATATTATACAAACTACTGTTTAAATTAGTGAAATAAAAAATATTGGAAACAATACAACAGTTAATAATGGAACACAATGTTCTAATTTTTTTTCATGTATTGTAATTTTTATACTTAGATGTGGGTAAATACTTTGTTTATCAATAAAATGTAGTAGGTAGACACAATATGTTATTGAAATAAACTGATGCAATAGCTTGTATGCTATATAGCCATAACATGGTTTGTTTAATAATATTACATATTAAAGACATATTACATACAGTGTCAGAGTTCAAGCCAAAAATTAGGTAACATATTATAGTATTTACTATATAATAGTAGTAATGAGAATGGGTATAAAATATTATATATGTTCTATGAGTCATATCTGTACAGAAAACTGTCAGAAAAGGTTAGACTATACTATGCCTGACCATTATAAGCTTTATAATCTATATTATCTTCATAAAATAAATTAAAAGAAAATTGGAATTATTATTTAGACAATGACTTCAAGTAACAAAATATTTATAAGTAAAATGAACAAAAGAATCAGGTTTCTAGGCCATCATCTTCAATGATAGATATAATGGCATAATCTAATAAACTCAAGGTCAAAACAAGTAAAGTTCAAGTAGAACTTTGTCGATGAAGCTTAATACATAATAAAAATTGCAGTATAAACGATTGTATAAAAATATTTCTGAAAACAAGTAACCTCGTTTAATTAGTTCATTGTTTACTACTAACACACTGACCTCCACAACAGTATTCACATCTTTGATACAATCCACCATATGCTGCACGATTTCTTCCGTTGATAACACCTCGTATGGATATTCCTCGAGTTCCGTTTGTCGTTCCCTTGTACTGTGTGTTTCAACGTCCATTGCAAAGTCGACATCGTCTCCACTGGACTCATTCCCAGAATCCACATCATCCTTTGTGTCATCTTCAGAGTCCATATTAGAGTCTTTGACGAAGTAATATGTATTTGAAAATAAAGCTACAGCTTGAGCAAGTAAAATAATGAATTAATTACACCTAAGATTTAGGAAAGGTCAACAAAGAAGAAAATAGTTCACCCACGGGCTGCCAAAACCTCTGACGTATGGGTGGCAGTGTTGCCAATGACAACTAAACTATTGCCTGTGCCAAGTAGTTGGAAGTTACTAAATTATCCGATTTTATAAAACTAGCTAGCTGACATGAGCTAACGTTTTTTTAAAGTACCTTAGCGTCTAATGATAATTCTCAGTTTCATTTAGCTCATGTTATTTTGGTAGTTTAATTTTAAATAAGTTAAGACGTCACAGATAAAAAAGTTTGTGTTTTGTACCTCGGAATATGCTTTATAGATTTCGATATCATTTTTTGCTTTAATAATATCTCAATTTTGTTAATACTGCTGTATTCTTTTAAAAAATAGAATTATATAAAAATAATATTCCACCGATTTTGAGATGCATTCAAAAAATCATATCTATATTCAAGCCAGATTACTGGTTATTTATGGGGTAGGCAGATAATACCGAGTATTGCTACTCGGCTTTTGTAGTTATACAAAACTGAGTCTCTAGATCCACCTGCAGTCTCTTCTATCAATCACTATCGATCTGCTGATTATGATTGATCAACCTGAATCTGGGTCTGTACCTGCATCCATTATTTTCTATTATATACATCTCGTCATTCATGCCTAAACGAATGTAGCAGGTGATTTTTCATTTTTACACCAATATTCTCCTTCAAACCGATTCCATCATAATTTCTTTATTACAAATGCAGTCAACCGCTTTTACTCTACTTTCTCTTTCTTACATACTCTTGTTACCTAGCTATAGTGCTGTGGGGACAACTAGTGATAAATTGTCAAACAAAATTCCCCTAAAAATTAGTTTATTTCCTTCTAGGGATTGTAGATTCAACTCAGGAGCAATAACTCTAAAAGAAGTAAAAATAATCAAAACAATTTAAAAATTATAATGTAAATTTTCATTTATTACAATAATGAATAAGATTTCATTGCTCAGACATTTTTAAAAAAGTGGTGACTGGTAAGCTGGTTGTAGCAACAATGATTTATTTTAGTCACAGGAATGCACCATGGTGGCAAAATCTGTCTAACAGTAAGGTGAATTAGGGATTATTATTTATGGGAATTGGTGAACTGACCTGAGGATTACTTCTAGGACTGCAGAGAAAAATTGCTATAGCTGTTCTTAGAAATAAATTCACATTACAGGTACAGGATTGTAAGGAGTATAAACTACATACCAAATACCCCTCTGGCTTAGACTATGCATTTTTGTCATTAAAACAATGTTTTGTGCAAACCTAAACACAGGATTAACATTAACATTTGAAGTATATTTGGATTTTTAAATGTATACATTATTTGAGTTAATTATATACATTTCAGAAATTACCAGATAGTTTAACCTAATTATTAATACTTATACATTGTTAATGCAGTTTCATCAGTAATTGTATCATTTAAACCAAATTATCTAATTCATTTTGAATAGATTCCAGCTGTAAGAACACTGAATAAAGTTCTGAATGTGTCAATTCAATTTCAGTATCCGCTTTTATTCCAGATAGTGATATGTAAGATTTTGGTGTCTTACTTTTTTTACAACAATCAGAACTCATTTCAACATTAAGTTTCCATGAGAAGTTCAATGTCTCTTCATTATTGTAAATTAATTCTTTACCCAGATCATCCAGGGTTGCTCTCATATCAGTAGACCAAATCTTCACAATAGTTTCTGCTTTTTCATTACTCAATCCAAAATCACTCAAATTGCTCTTCAAATTTAGTGGCATAAAAATAAATTTAAACATTCTCTTATACAAATACAAAATTGATTTAATTGCAAGCAACAGATTCTCTTCACTAACATTGAATATTTTTTCTAATTTTTGTCTCTCATCTTCTGTAAATATTTCAGTATCCTGGAGTTTTAGTTTTGATACGATTCTGCGGAGGAATTGCTCAAATTTTGTTTCTTCAAATTGGTTAATAACTGTAATACCTCTGTTTAAGCTGAAAAGCAAAAAAATATTACAATAATATTAATATAGGTACAAAGTGACGTAGAATAAAAGCTACTAAACATAAATATAATAGTACCTTGGTGAAGATTTCAACCAGTGAAGATCCATAATTTTATGGATATTAACAAAATGAGTTATGTATACTGATTAGCAATTTAGTATATAAAACTAAGAAAGTAGAAAAAAAAACAAATAATAGACAGGAATGTTAAAATGTCACAACAACATTAAGGAAGCTTGGGAAGTTACTCTAAAGTAGTTCTTTGATTAGTTCAATGGAAGAGCGCGCGTTCAATGAAAGACGAACCGCGCAATTTAGTTCGCAGATCGTTCGCACTTTAGTTCGTTTTGCTAAAAAAACGTATATATTTTTAGGAAATAATATTTATAAAATTAGGCCAAGTCGCAAAACTTCACAAATCAGAAGTTAACTAGCTTGCTGTATATATCTGAACGAACGAACTAAAAGAACAAACTAGTTTCAAGTCTACATAAGGTTTAAAAGTAATATTAATTAATCACCAATGTAGATTGGAAAGCATACTATTATCGTTAATACCTGTTGAATTCGTCATGGTGGCCTAAAAGAGCTGAGTGACTACTGACTACATTTCCCTTCACCTTATCTAGTTATCTATACATCGTTCAATCAGCATATACCGTTAATATGGAGGTATGAAGTTTATTACATCATTAATTTAAATGATGAAGGTCCGTGATGGTTGGATTACAAGTTAGACTTGTGAAAAAGTGCTGCAAGATGTAAAGTAAAAACCTTTATTTAAAAGAGCAACACGCAAATTTCTTCGTCGAATCAGCGGTAGATTAAAAAAATAAGTATGTCTATTCAAAAGTGCTTAAATCTATTCAAAAGTTTATTTCAATAAAGGATTTTCTATTCCATTGTATTAAAAAAAATAGCTGTAAGATTATTTTTTTGTTAAGCGTTACGTTTTGGCTGATATAGAGATTAGTTATTTTATTTATGCCTTAACTAAATAAATAATGAATGACTTACTTCTCAGCTGTCATTGTCAACTAAATTGGTGTTCTGTGTTGTTAGTTGATTTGTGAATGTCAAGTTGTCAACTAATTTTAAATTGTGTCGGCGTGGAATAGTGCTGGTACCAGACATAACCTTTTTTTATTATTTTGTTTGTCTTCAAATCCTCCCAAACCTAATCTAAGATATGAAGAATAAAACAAGATAATTAAAGATAACCATGTCGTCAAAAATAGAACGAGTTCCTGAAAATATAGATTTTCCTAAAGAAGAGGAAAAGGTATTGAAATTTTGGAAGGATATAGATGCCTTTCAAACTTCTCTGAAACAATCGAAAAATAAACCGAGGTAAGGTATTCATTACAATATGTTAACAAACATATAAATAGTTTCAATCTTTTATTAGAAACTTTGACTGAATATGAAGGAAATCAAGGCAAATAAATGTGTATTTTAAAACATATTGCATCATCATATATCATCAACCTGAGTTATGCAGTTGCATTTTCCCATGATCATTCCTTTACCTTACCCTTATTCCATTATTTAAGCTTAACGAAATTAGTAGCACTTTACCATAAAACAAAAAAATATGGTATCTCCGGTGTTGATTAGTCAAACTACTTTTCAAACGTAAGCTCACAAAAACTATATCTTTACTAATAAACTTTAATTAAATAAAATATAAAAATGTAGTGCATACTTGAAAATATTGTATAATATAAATAAAATAACAAATACCAAGAACCATCAAAGAAAAAAATAAATATGGAAATCCTGAGTTAAATATTCAATCTTGTAAAATGCAGTGTATTAAATCCTGCTGTTTTAGCTTTCACTATTTGCCCTCGACCATATTAGTTTATATTTGTTTGCTTGTTATCCCAGTCACATAAGTGGTTTATTTGTAAACTGAACTTCTACACCGATAACAGTTTTATGTGTATATATGAAAAATATTTCCCAACAAAAGTGGTTTCAAAGGTTTATTTTATTTATACATGCAGTTGGATAATATCAACTTTGTTTAATGCATATGATATTCATCCTAATTCTCCTTATCAATAAGATATAAAATTAAAAATTTCTTCTCATAGATATTCATTTTATGATGGACCACCATTTGCTACTGGATTACCACACTATGGACACATCTTAGCTGGAACAATCAAGGATGTGGTGACGCGTTATGCTCATCAGCAGGTATATAAACACATTGCAGTTATTTACGTATAGACAACATCTGTGGTCTAGGAGGTATTGTACACCACCTTACTTCCAATGGTTACACAGGTGCATTACAAATCTTTTAATGTCTTAGCTTGTTTTATACTGCAACATTCATATATTTATTATACATATTGCTGTCCTTCTTGAACTAGTATCTTTTGCTGAAAAAATCATTAAAATCTGTTGCATAACTTAATTTTATATGTTATAAGAGACACACGCACACAGATACACAGCAGCAGTGATTTTGTTTTATACTATTAAAGATAAACAACTTAATGAAATTCAATATATTATTTTAGGGATACCATGTAGAAAGACGCTTTGGTTGGGACTGTCATGGACTTCCTGTAGAATTTGAAATTGACAAGACTTTGGGTATCCGAGGTCCTGAGGATGTAGAAAAAATGGGCATTGATAAATACAATGCTAAGTGTCGGGAAATAGTCATGAAGTATTCTAATGAATGGGAGATGGTCATCACCAGAATGGGGCGATGGATTGGTAAGCTAACATACAGAAATGTATTATATTTTATTATAGAGTAGGCACTATTATATTACAGGTTAAAAAATTAAGTGTGAAGATAAAAAAATTACTAGATTTCTAAGAGCATGACACTATTTATATTGACCCCTGAGTATGCAGATATAGATTTAGAGAGTCATGCTGTTAGATGTCTAGTAAATTTTTTATCTAGTTTAAAATGATAATGATATTCTACAGATGTATCAAATTATTTATATATAATACATAATAAATGAATGTTGCAGATTTCAAAAATGACTACAAGACACTTTACCCCTGGTTTATGGAGTCCATTTGGTGGGTATTTAAAGAACTTTACAACAAAGGATTGGTTTACCAAGGTGTGAAAGTAATGCCTTACTCTACAGCATGCTCAACTCCCCTCTCCAATTTTGAATCTGGCCAAAACTATAAAGATGTAGTTGATCCAGCTGTTGTTGTTACATTTCCTACAAATGAGGGCTTTTCATTGCTAGCTTGGACAACAACTCCATGGACATTGCCCAGTAATCTAGCCCTGTGTGTTCATCCCAAATTGACTTATTTAAAGGTACAAGAAAAAGCAACCGACAAAATATATGTTCTCCAAGAAGCAAGATTTCCTGTTATTTTCAAAAATGTTGAAGATTTTATTGTTCTTGAAAAATTTGTTGGTGAAAAGTTAAAGGGTATTAAATACACTCCTATTTTTGATTATTTTGTTGGTCGCTGTCCTAAAGCTTATCAAGTATTGACAGATGGATATGTTACTGAGGACTCTGGTACAGGTGTTGTACACCAAGCTCCTTACTTTGGTGAAGATGATTTCAGAGTTTGTCTTGCTGCAGGAATTATTACAAAAGATCAAGATATAATTTGCCCTGTTGATGCTAGTGGAAAATTTACCGAACCTGTCAAAGATTTCCTAGGTCAATATGTTAAAGATGCTGATAAGAATATTATAGCAAGTTTAAAAGCACGCAACCGATTATTACAACTTGGTCAAGTGAAGCACAGTTATCCATTTTGTTGGCGTTCAGAGACACCCCTAATATACAAAGCTGTACCATCTTGGTTTATTAGAGTTGAACAAATGAATAGGGATCTTCTGAAATCTAGTGAAGCTACATATTGGGTTCCAGAATATGTCAAAGAAAAGAGATTTGGCAACTGGCTCAAGGATGCTAGAGATTGGGCTGTTAGTCGAAATCGTTACTGGGGCACTCCAATACCTCTGTGGATTTCTAGTGATAAACAAGAAATCGTCTGCATTGGAAGCATTGCCGAATTACAAGCTCTTACTGGTAAAGAAGTCACAGATCTTCATAGGGAAAGTATTGATCATTTAGAAATACGATCATCGCGGCCTGGTCACCCGCCTCTTAAACGAGTTACTGAAGTATTTGATTGTTGGTTTGAGTCTGGGTCGATGCCCTATGCACAATTTCATTATCCCTTTGAGAATAAAAAAGAGTTTGAAGACATATTCCCAGCCAATTTCATAGGCGAAGGTATTGATCAAACAAGGGGCTGGTTTTATACCCTTATTGTCTTATCCACAGCTTTGTTTAGTAAGCCGCCATTTAAAAATTTAATTGCTAATGGACTTATTTTGGCATCTGATGGACAAAAAATGTCTAAAAGCAAGAAAAACTATCCTGATCCTTTAGAGATAGTTAACAAATATGGTGCTGATGCATTACGACTTTATCTTGTTAATTCTCCTGTTGTGAAGGCAGAAAACCTACGTTTCAAAGAAGAAGGTGTTAGAGATGTTATCAAAGACGTTTTTCTGCCCTGGTATAATGCTTTTCGTTTTCTAATGCAAAATGTAGAAAGAATTGTTCAAGAAGATAAAATAAATTACAAGTTTAATGTAAAGGCTGCCCGAGAAAACGTCATGGATAAATGGATAACGTCATTCACACAATCTTTGATTAATTTTGTGAAAAAGGAAATGGCATCTTATCGGTTATATACTGTAGTGCCTAGATTAACAAAGTTTATCGACCATCTTACCAATTGGTACGTTAGAATGAATAGAAAAAGACTAAAAGGTGAAAACGGAGTAGACGACTGTCAGGTGGCATTGGATACTTTATTTGGAGTGCTCTATGATATGATAAGAGTTATGGCTCCATTCACTCCTTTCTTGACTGAGTTGATGTATAAAATTTTGCGTCAATTGTTACCTGGAGAATCCCTTGAAAGTTTACATTTTAACATGATACCTGAACCAAGGCTGGATTTGGTGGACACTAATATAGAAAGAGCAGTACAAAGAATGCAAACTGTCATTGAACTAGGCAGGGTTCTGAGAGATCGCAAGACAATACCAATTAAGTATCCATTACCTGAACTGATTGTAATCCATCGTGATCAAACTTACTTGGATGATGTAAAGTCCTTGGAGGCATATGTTCTGGAAGAAATGAATGTGAAGAAAGTGCAATTAACAAGCGATAAAGAAAAGTATGGAATTAATTTAAGAGCTGAACCAGACCATAAAATTCTTGGTGTTCGCTTAAAAGGCAATTTCAAAGCTATAACTCAAGCATTAAAAGATCTCACTAATGAGCAATGTGAAAAATTAGTTGCTGATGGATCCGTTGAGTTGCTAGGCCAGCATATTGACGTTTCCGAAGTAAGGCTCATATTCCAAGCTAAGGGTAATGATCAATATGAAGCACATAGTGATAATGATGTATTAGTTTTACTAAACGTAATTCCCGATCAAGACATGCTTGATGAAGGTTTTGCAAGAGAAATAATAAACAGAGTTCAAAAATTAAGGAAAAAAGCACATTTAGTACCTACTGATGAGGTAGATGTCTATTATTCTGTTGAGAAAAATAGTGATATTATACGCATATTAAATATGCATCGTGATTTCATCGAAACAACCGTAAAAGCTCCACTTATAACGATAGAAAATCTATCGACATCTAAAACGGTGATTATTGAAGAAGCACAAGAACTGAAAGGTTCTCAATTGAAATTGGTGATTACGTGGAGAAAGGAGCTGGAGCTTCCTTCAAAACCTTGGGCTAATATTGTTTTACAGGGTTACAAGCCTAGATTAGGTGTCACAACCGACAAGGCCAGCATTATCCTAAAGAATGTAAAAGATAAGTTTGTTACCTTGGAAAATCTTTATAAGGAAGTGCAAATCCTGTTCGGCCTTTATGGAGTAAAGTTTACACTATGGTGTGATGGTGTTGAAATAAATGATACAAAAGATTTAAATACTAAAACTATAGTTGTATCTTCATGTAAACCAAATAAATTCGACAAACAGAGTACTCCATTCTGTAAGTTTATTAATGTTGGTAATGGAACCAAAAAGGCAACATTGTTTTTGGAAAATCCATTGGGCAAAGTAACGGTCAACAAGGATCAAGCTGCGCAGTTTGTATCCAATTATTTAGGAATTAACATTACAGACCACGATAGCTAAATGTTTCAGTGACTCCTTTTATATAATGCTATAAAAATTGTTTTGCGTAGACACAGTCATGTTATTTAATACGTTTTTAATAAATTATTTGCTTTTTTAAATAACTCATTGAATTTTTCTTATGTCCTTGCTTTACCATCTAAAACAATCATAGGTATATAGAAATGAGAATCAGTATTTGAGTTAACCTTTATTTAATATGTTTCTTTCATAAATAAACAAATCTAAATTTAGAAATTTGAACATTATTGATAAATTAATTATAATGTAATGTGGCTTTTGCATGTAAAGTTCAATTATACAATTTCAGTAAAATATTGATGTGTTGAATAAATAAAAAGCACGCTACATATATAATCTTGATTATATTTTTACGTATTTTTAATGCTTTTATAGCAATTGTTACCATGTTTATTTCACTCAATTCTTCAATAAAATCGCAACAAGACTGGTAAAACGTGTTATTTTACAAACTTGATTTCATACTATTATGGAAAAAAGGTAGCAAATAATATAAAAAGAGATGAATATTAAAGATCGACTGTTATTATAATTGTGCTGGTATTAGTAACATCAAAACGCTTATCAGAATTAAACTTACAAGTACATCACAGCTACATACCTCGAAAGATGTGTAATGTGTTAAGCAGAAAACATATAGCTATTCGAAACGATTTATTATACTAAAACATCGAAGAAAAATTAACTAAAAGATCAATAGCGGTTGCAATAGAGTATATTCAGTATAAAGAAAATGTGCACTCTTAGGCAAAGCAAATGCATCACAGAAGAATTTTTTTTTTTATTATTTTAAAACAATGTAATTGAAAAGACAAATTAAGCTTTTTACTATTTTAAATTGATCTGGTTGATTCGACTTTCTAATTTGATATCTACCACTATTATGCAAATGTATTTTAAAATAATAAAACCTATAGTTTGGTAACTCGGAAAATAATCGACATTCGAGGTTTACTAAACTATCTATTGAAACGTCAATACCATTAGGATTTTAACTTTGGTGAACATTAATAACCTAAAGAATCATTAAAAATAGTCAACCAAACAAAAAACAATGAAAACCAATGTATTACAATTAGAAAAGAAGATAGTAACAAATAGTTACTATTGTATATATACACACTTGCAATGTTTGCATATATGAGATTGTGTCGTATTATTAGTGTACATATAATTGAATAACAGGAAGTTGATATCAAAGCCACAACACATAGAAAGTATTGACTATCTTCATGTAATCTCGTTTTTAAAATATATTTTATAGACCAGATAATACATATAATCTAATGAATCATGATAGAATCATACATTTGGCCAGAACATACATCAAGCACAGTTACGAACAATTATTTATCAAATAAATATAATTTAGTAATTGGAATAAAATGTCAGACAATGCCTGAACATTCTGTATATCACAAAACATTCGTTATTATCTCTGTTTCGCACATAACAAAACGTGATTATTTTTTAAAATTATCATCGCAGCCATCGTTCATTTTACGAATAATACTGGTGCAAAGAATAAATGAATATAGTAAAAGTTTTGCTCTCATCTTTCAAATTGAAACATTAATCTCATAAACACCATCACATACAGCGAAATTACTTAAGGCTAATAGAACAAGGTGTGCGATATTTAGTATATTATAAATATGTAACATTGAAATATAATATAGACGAAATGTTATTGCGTGAATAGCTATACCTACACTAGTGCGTTTTTAATTGCGTTTTCATGTTTAATTTTCGCTTCTTGCGTCTAGCGCTGTACCATAAGACACATGCAGCTTACCGTCCACATCTGTTACGGAACTCTTGCTGCTGAATGTTATATAAATGCAAGTAAAAACCTTAATATAAGAAGTTTCTGGATGAATTATTATTTCAAGAAACGGAATACTGAGTAGTATAGAAAGATTATAGAAATTTAACATCAATAATTATTTCCCTATAAAAAATACACACAAACGTATAATACAGTTAATGTTTGATAAAATGAAGTTAAATGTTGCACGTGCACAACATTGTGCGTAAGTTATTGCATGCGCTCTAGTTTCACATGCATGCGTCAGAGGAAAACGTAAGATGTACATGAAAGTGCATGTACTAGTGCAGATATAACTAATCGCATAAAATGACGCGTCGTGATTATTATAGTAACATTCTAGTTATTTATAAGCAATACGCGTACACAAGCCAACAATTTACACACCTTAATACGACTGATACATAGTGTTTGATTAAATTATTATTTATTATGCGTTAACAAGATACAGTATATCATAAGCTAAATACAATACATATTTTAAAAGACTATTAATTGTTACCTAGGTAAAGGCTCGACGACATCAGCAGTCGGATTCATAAGTTAGCAAACATGTTAGAATTATTGCACTTTATCAGTACTAAAAATACATTTCACGTCATAAATTGTTACAATAAAATATCATTCTACGATAATATATTTTGTATACATATACATATACATACATAACGTTAATTTAGGCCGGCCACCGCCGTGGGACCGAATACGTCTACTAACAGCGAGTGCAAATAAATAAATTATTGTTTACATTTTTCTACAAGTTTATGATAAAAATAGCATATATTTCACGCTAGAAAAATAACTAAAGATTCAATAACATTTTAAATATAATATAAGATACAACATCGCCTATACAGTGACTAGTCTAACGGCGTATAATTATTATACTAAATTTGAATAGCAACAACGATCGAATACATCACAAGGGTACATCTGTTTGGTGGCTTTCCACCGTCGAACTCAACTCTCATCCGTCACTTACTCATCTACATACAAATGACCAGGTTACGATTAATAATTTTGAAACAAGTTGAAATGAGTAACTGCTAGTATTGGATCGTACCGGGTTCAATTTAATTGATTAATATGAAGTCAATACTGGTGGTGGTGGAGCGACGGTGTGTCTCTTTCCGGTAGCTTGCGAACTTTCATAGTACCGTCGGCGCCACACGAAAACAGTCGTCCGGCATTATCTATATAACAAATATATTTTTTTATATATACAAATATTAATTATTAATAGTAATTTTTAATGTTTACAATATTTAATAAATATAAATAGACATACCAATATGTATTTGCGTGACGCCTTGACCGATGTTCTTGAAGAACGAACTACGTGCATGCTCCCCGGCGAACGTGTAGAGTAATTGATGGGTGGCCAATGAGAACACCTAAATAATATTATTACTATTAGAATAGGTAAATATGTAAACATTGTTATCGTTTCAAATAGTCAACAGTTAATCTAATGGTATGCACGTCACTTCAGTCAGTGAATAATAAATTATTTCATGCGTTTGTGCATATCACCCCTTCCTAAAAGAGAGGGCCATGCCCTAAAGCTTCACTACTCGGACTTAGACCGAAATTTGTGCTCTAATCTGGACACTAAAAAAATATAGTACGTTTTTGTTGTCTATTGTATGTATCTACTGGTTCTCCTGTCAAAAGCAAAAAAAAAGCAGTATCCGAGAGATGACAACCTCTAACAAGTTGAATTCAAATATACCCAACAAAATGTGGCCACTAAGTTACTTAACCACGATGTCAAGTATCGAGTGCTTCCGGCCACCCATGGACCACGTGCACATGGTGCGCGTGCAGCTCGTGTCTGGGGGCGTACCTTGATGTCGCCGTCGGCGGCGCCCACCGCGTAGATGTCCTCGCGCGGCGAGAGCGCGAGGCACTTGATCTGCGCGTGGTGCGCGTGCAGCTCGTGTCTGGGGGCGTACCTTGATGTCGCCATCGGCGGCGCCCACCGCGTAGATGTCCTCGCGCGGCGAGAGCGCGAGGCACTTGATCTGCGCGTGGTGCGCGTGCAGCTCGTGTCTGGGGGCGTACCTTGATGTCGCCATCGGCGGCGCCCACCGCGTAGATGTCCTCGCGCGGCGAGAGCGCGAGGCACTTGATCTGCGCGTGGTGCGCGTGCAGCTCGTGTCTGGGGGCGTACCTTGATGTCGCCGTCGGCGGCGCCCACCGCGTAGATGTCCTCGCGCGGCGAGAGCGCGAGGCACTTGATCTGCGCGTGGTGCGCGTGCAGCTCGTGTCTGGGGGCGTACCTTGATGTCGCCATCGGCGGCGCCCACCGCGTAGATGTCCTCGCGCGGCGAGAGCGCGAGGCACTTGATCTGCGCGTGGTGCGCGTGCAGCTCGTGTCTGGGGGCGTACCTTGATGTCGCCGTCGGCGGCGCCCACCGCGTAGATGTCCTCGCGCGGCGAGAGCGCGAGGCACTAGATCTGCGCGTGGTGCGCGTGCAGCTCGTGTCTGGGGGCGTACCTTGATGTCGCCGTCGGCGGCGCCCACCGCGTAGATGTCCTCGCGCGGCGAGAGCGCGAGGCACTTGATCTGCGCGTGGTGCGCGTGCAGCTCGTGTCTGGGGGCGTACCTTGATGTCGCCGTCGGCGGCGCCCACCGCGTAGATGTCCTCGCGCGGCGAGAGCGCGCGGCACTTGATCTGCGCGTGGTGCGCGTGCAGCTCGTGTCTGGGGGCGTACCTTGATGTCGCCGTCGGCGGCGCCCACCGCGTAGATGTCCTCGCGCGGCGAGAGCGCGTGGCACTTGATCTGCGCGTGGTGCGCGTGCAGCTCGTGTCTGGGGGCGTACCTTGATGTCGCCGTCGGCGGCGCCCACCGCGTAGATGTCCTCGCGCGGCGAGAGCGCGAGGCACTTGATCTGCGCGTGGTGCGCGTGCAGCTCGTGTCTGGGGGCGTACCTTGATGTCGCCGTCGGCGGCGCCCACCGCGTAGATGTCCTCGCGCGGCGAGAGCGCGAGGCACTTGATCTGCGCGTGGTGCGCGTGCAGCTCGTGTCTGGGGGCGTACCTTGATGTCGCCGTCGGCGGCGCCCACCGCGTAGATGTCCTCGCGCGGCGAGAGCGCGAGGCACTTGATCTGCGCGTGGTGCGCGTGCAGCTTGTGGCGGGGCGCGCGCGCGCGCACGTCCCACACGAGCACGTCGCCGCGGCGGCCGCACGACACGAGCGCGCCGCCCGCCCACGCCACGCACGCCGCGCCGCCCTCGTGGCACGTCCACGCTGCGGACGCACCGCGTTACATACATTCCCATACCCCAATACATGCCGCTAAATATGCACAGTAGCCCGACCACGAGAGGGATAGGTTACTATATAATAATCCAGGTCTCTAGTCTCGACCGTATCATAACGTACGTTAACGTTGTATGCCACGCAATCCCGCAAATCGTCGTGGTCATTCCAGGTATTCATCTGGAATCGACCACATGATTAACCTAATCTGACGTCAATCCATCAAGGTTGTTGTTATTTCTCATAACGATAAACTAACTGACCTAAATTAAATCGTGCTCAACCTACTATCTTTTACTGCTACAATTTCATCAGCATCTATTAAACAAAACCCCGACCACACATTTTGAAAACTATATTTTATCACTGGATACTAGTGAAAGTTAATAGTGAAAAAGACCAAGAAATTGGATGTGCCGTCTTGTTTTATTTAGTGCGTGGGATAGCACCATTCACCATCCATACATTCCACTTGACTTTACATATATATTCTTTGTAAATATAATACATATCCTATAAAATAATTAAGCTAAATTCTAGGAGACAAATGTTTGTACATAATTAAGACATAATAAACATTTGAAAGTGATTTATACTCACAAACTACCAACGCCTTTTTGGTTGGCATTAATGTATCCCATATCGCAACGTTTTTACTCTCCGAACTGTGTCCAGCTGTAAGTAAAACAATGCTTAATTATTATAACATTTCTCCGTATAAAATACATGAATTATTCTTATTTAATTATATTTACCTGTTGCTACCAAACTGCAAGAGCCTAGGAATACAAAATCACTTATTCCTTTACTATGACATTGGTGGGTCTGAAAATAAAAAACAAAGAAGTTAATCCACCATTATATTCATAAATTAAATATAATAAGTAATACGACTATATGTTACATTTCTTACAAGCGTATACTAACGCGCTATGGTTTCTAAGGCATTCGCCAGAGAAAAACGCGAGATGAAAATGAAAGCGCACCGGTGTAAATATACATAGATAGAGCGGTATACTAACAAAGAATGGTCTAGCGGAGGCCTGCGCCTGGTGGGGCTGCGCGTGCTGCGCGTGCTGCGCGTGCTGCGGCTGGTGGGGGCGGTCGGGCTGCGCGGAGGGCTGCAGCTGCCACATGGCGAGGTTGCCGTCCGCGTCCGAGGCCGCGAACTTGTTCCCGTAGTCCGAGAACCGCACGCGAGTCACCTTGGCGAAGGCCCCGGGCGCGCGCGGCGACCACACGCACGACGTGTGCCCCCACTCCCACAGCTGCACCGACCCGTCCGCGCCGCCCGTCAGGTCTGACGGACGAACACATTTCGATATACTCCTAGCGTACAGGTTTAAGTGATCATTCATATTTCTCAGAAACGGTTGATCGAACTAAATGTGAGTCGTAAATAAATACATTTCTTTAGTCCATGAACACCATTATTTAAAAATAATTAAACAGAACTAATATGTAGGCTTTATAGCAAGTACATAATGAACTGTGTAATTTGTATTAAATTAGCAGAATTTAGACATCATCGAATGACCTGACATGAACTTTAGTAAAGGCGTCGAATTTGTGACATATAATTTATTTACACCCATATAATTGCGTATTACATTATTTATACAAATAGTACTCGTACAATATGCAAGAAATTAATGAACTTTAAATATAAATAGCTTACACAATGGTTGTGTGGGATGTGCTGCCATTCGTTTGATATTGTCTATTTTGTGTTTCAGCACCTATGAAAAAAACAAGCATTAATTTTATCCAATTTTTATAGTAGGTTTAAACACACAATGTCAAAACACAATACATGTTAAAACTATAAAAATAATATAACATAAAAACACCTATAAAATAGACAATAAACATAACATGCTCCACATAATAAACTCAACAGGCAAGACACTACATTATAGCAACTATACCACAACAGCACAGTAATATAGTTTGAATAACTGGACTTAAATTCAAACAAATAATAAGATTCAAAAATGCTGTCAACAACTAAAGTGTTTCATAACTACGATGAATATAATTGTGGTAATAAAAAAAAATCAATAAAGAATTGATGAAGAGATAAACCAAAATTGGTACACAATTTAGACGCCTGGTGAAATTATAATGGACTGTGTCTATATCAGAAAAGAAAAAGAAAACAAATAGAAGACTACAAGAATTCAAATAAAAAATCCACATCGAGCATAAATAATTGTGCAAATCACTGGCTCGGAGGTGTTTGGCTAGGGTTGTCACTGACCGGTTTCATGAGAAGCTTCGAGCGGTGCAGCACCAGGCGACAGTATTTCGGGTCGTGGCAACCCGGGAACTGCAGGCCCTTCACCTGTGGCCAACACTCTGTTATGTCACGCACACATTCATACATACATTCAGTACCAAACATGATTTAAGGATATTAATGTGGGCCTATTTTGTAATGATTTTATATACGACCACGTAGAACAAATACCATTATACTTAGGGTACTATTTCTTAGCAATTGCCTATCATTGACAAGTATGATTTTATTAGGAAGTATAGAAAAGCTCGAGCGAAGCTCTGCGAGAGGCCACAAACGCAAACACGAGACAAATACACAATACCCACACCATTAGTTGCCCGGCTGTTACTAAACGAATAAATGTTATATAAATACTAACTGTGAGCTCTATTAAACTATGTATTGAAATAACAAAGTGCACGATTTCGATATTTTGATTGAAATGTAATACATAATATTACGATAACTAATATTACATTATAAAGTATATTACAAACAAGTTTAATATTATCCAGTGGAAGTTTTTTGAGTCCAATAAATAATAAAAGAGAAATAATAACCGACATAATTATCATTATTATAATCTTTGAAGTCTTATAGTGTCTTTGTGATTGAATTTTAAATAACATCACATCTGTCATATATTTCCACAATTATGCTGTATGTATGGCAACATGGAAAGGTAGTAGGATGGAGGATCCAATGGGTACAGATTTAACATAATTGAACTACATTATTGAGTAGTGTCACTCCCAATACTTAATGACAATTAGTACACATTGTGTGGATCAAGTTTAATGTACATAATGACATTTATTCATTCAGTAACAAATAGTATGTGCATTAGTTAATATCGTCCACATACTGTGACAATATACGCTTCGTGACCGGTTGGTAAGGAGCTTGTCCGCCGCTCCAGCTGTGGATGTTAGGGTCCAAAGTAATCAGTTAGTTCCCTTAGTTAATATACATAATTATACATCTTTGTAATACTGTTAGTTAGCAACACCTTATGCCGGTATTATTATTTACTGATATCCCTATTACATAATATAATAAATACCAAATACATACATAATACATAATATAATTTAAGATACATAAATATAAAATGTCTGGTAAATACGTAAGAAAGAAAATAGGTACTTAGTATAATAATAAAAAGTTATCAGTAGATAATAAAATAAATTCTGATAAATATGAGCTAGTCATAACTGTTATAATATGTATAATATTAGAATATAAAATACATTACAATAAGGTTAGTTACATTTCAACAACTTCCAACAAAACTAAATAATGCATACATATTTATAAATAACATCCTAGTTATAGTATAAGAATTACTTCAATAAAACAAGAATAACATATATATAATGAGATAACCGTGGATAAAATATTTACAATAACCTGTCTATACCAGTCGGTGCGAGTGATGTGATATTCCGCAAATAACCGATTTCATCACAAATGCTACTGCCTCTTTAGTTATAGATAGAGCTGACTTTCAACATAATTTTATGTACGGCACAAGTCGGGGGCCTGATTAGTTCACAGTCTAAGTGCCTAGTGCTGTAACTGCATTGTTTTTATCACGTATTAATATTTAAGATTAAAGAACTTAAATTTCTAAGACTTAAGGGTTCAAGAGTGGTGACAAAATCCGTATTATTACGAATTAAAAAAAAATTAAGCCTACAGTAAAACTATTTTAAGTATGTATGTGTTACAAGACTTACAAGTCCGATTGGTTACATAATTTTTACATTAAAACATAACTTAAAACAAAGAGTCAAAATGATGTTAATAAGATTTAATAGGATATATTAATTTTATAGTTAACACAAGACTAGTATTACCAATGAGTGGTAACACAATGGTATACGAAATGACAGTATGCATTATTCGATGTGTCTACATAAATTGTACACCTGCCCTACTTCGTCAAATATTATTGTTGAGTTTCAATAAAGAAAAAGAATATATATAATTTACATACATAAATCGTAATAAGTTTCTATTTTAGATTCTTTTTTAATTTCTTCCTCCATGGTTTTTTTTGTAATACTCACCAAAACTACTATACAACAATTCAATTCCATGTCAGGGCTAATTATTAACATAAATTCACCTTTGACAAGAAGGTAATTTGATTTGTTTTAGTGTTTCATATTTGCATTTCGCGGCCGCTAGGGACAATTTAAAATTATATATACATTAAATACCTGCTAGTAATATACTTACAACGCTGGCACCGCGTCCGGTCTGACTGGCCATACCAACGGGAATCTGTGGTGCGTTGGTACTTAGTGGCGAAGTGTTCCCGGTCCCCGGTATCGAACCGTTGTTTGGTCTAAAGTGTAATATGTATAAATATTAATATCTACTGTTATTTGCAACTACGTTTACTTTTTTGACATTATTATAATTTATGTTCCTCCTTGTAATACCATTTACCATCACCAATTTTATTAAGATAATATTATCATCATTGCCTTGCCTTCATCCCATTATGTGGGGTCGGCGCAGTATGTTTTCTTTTTCCACCGATTCCTATCAGCCGTCACATCTGAACTTATTCTCCTTTTACACATATTATCTTTCACACAATGCATACATTAATAAAATTGGTTCAAATATGGAATCACATTTTATCAAATCTGCAACACATAGGGACTTCATAGGCACTTACAGCTGTCTAGGGACGCGTGTATGAAGGGTAAGTAAAAGTGTATAATTATGAACAATTATGATCTTGTTAGCAGCAGCGACACGTCCATCTGTAAGTAGGTTCGTACCGGTCCTGGTGCTGTATGAGCAGGAAGCCAGTGTCGGGTAGCGTGGCGGGGTCGGTGGCGAGCCCCATGAGGTCGACGTCGCACTCGTCCTCGGCCCAGCTGACGTCGCCGCGCAGCAGCAGCGACACGTCCATCTGTAAGTAGGTTCGTACCGGTCCTGGTGCTGTATGAGCAGGAAGCCAGTGTCGGGTAGCGTGGCGGGGTCGGTGGCGAGCCCCATGAGGTCGACGTCGCACTCGTCCTCGGCCCAGCTGACGTCGCCGCGCAGCAGCAGCGACACGTCCATCTGTAAGTAGGTTCGTACCGGTCCTGGTGCTGTATGAGCAGGAAGCCAGTGTCGGGTAGCGTGGCGGGGTCGGTGGCGAGCCCCATGAGGTCGACGTCGGTCGGCCCAGCTGACGTCGCCGCGCAGCGCAGCGACACGTCCATCTGTGAGGTCGTACCGGTCCTGGTGCTGTGAGCAGGAAGCCAGTGTCGGGTAGCGTGGCGGGGTCGGTGGCGAGCCCCATGAGGTCGACGTCGCACTCGTCCTCGGCCCAGCTGACGTCGCCGCGCAGCAGCAGCGACACGTCCATCTCCTGCACTTCACGGGCGGTCGCGACCGCCAGCAGACCGCCGCCCACCTGCATCGTAAGGGGAACATAGGGGTATCACGTTATATATTTAAGGATTTCTTTGAATAAAACGTCAAGAAATGGTTATTTTATATAGATGAACACGGAAATCACGATATTACATGAGAACAGCGATAACGATTCAGTGTTGCCACTGCTAATCTGTACCAAACTACCGAAACACAACATCGCTTGGCAATAGGGTAGGCTGAGAAACACACTTTGTGATCTCGATTTGTGTTACTTTTATATGCAGCGATGTCAAATTTAAAACTATTATAATGTTGCTATTTGTGAAAGCTTTTAATTTTGTAAATTGTGTCAAAATATGTGTAGTATAGGGCTGGTATTCGTATAATAAACGTTAGTGTTACCCTATTGAGACAGAAGGCGGCGATGGAGTCCTGCTCCTTGTGTATGATGCGCACGGGGCTCTGCAGGCCGTCGTGGGTCCGCGGCGGGAGCCCCGGGGCGGCGTCGCAGGCCGCCGCCACGCCGCGCCGCCGGGAGAACACCGCGCGGATGAACAGCTCCTGGGCACACATTTACCACAGTTTCACACACCCATCCACAGATTCCCGGTTCAATAATTAATTCATAATTTAAGAGCCACGTTCTTTTCGGTGGATAACTTGCCACATTCCATGATCTCATGTTTTTTAAATGTTGATACGACACGACGTTAAGATATTCCCGGTAATATTTAGCGATTAAAATTCATGTTTCTAAACTCGAGTACCATGGAGTTACTTCACTTTAAGGCATCGAAAAACATCCGATCCGGTCCTCTTTATTACTAATAATATAAGCTCACTTTAAGTTTGTAACAATTAAGCAATGCCTGTGGTAGGTACATCAAGTAGGATGTATTACTTACAATTTATCCTATAAGTAAAATTAGGAGATCAGTTTAAAATGATCCAGTCTTAAAAATTTAATAAATAAAACAAGTGGTAAGGAAGAGGAGTAGTTATTATTTACAACAATATTTTATACTCACTTGGACGGGTTCTTGTCGTACGAGATAAGACCACAATCGTCTCGCTGGTGCAGCACTATACAAAGCCGAGTTGAATGGTGTATTATGTTTTTCTAGTAGGCATCTGGAAAAAAAATGTGTAATAATGCAGTTAATGTAAGCAGAGACTAATTTGGAATATCAATATTTGTATTTTAACGCATTTTTTTTATGGATTTCTCGCAAGTTCAATTAATCACAGACTTTTTAATGTATTAATTTTGCTCTGGTGCTAATTAAATATAATTCCTACGGAGCCATAATCATATGTCGAAATCGCATAGGTTCTGATCCGTGCGAATTACATTTAATATGCACCAGATAATTATATATACGCATATAATTATTAGATACAACTTACCTGTATTTATTTATAGGCGGCCCAGTTGTCTGTTGCTCAGGGAAGCAACCAGGAATGAAATCTGGTGGTGGGGCTCGTGATTCTAGTGTTTCTGTAAGCTGTTGCTGCCATTGGTCCACTCGACGCAAAGCCGCGTGCACAGTAGGACTTGTTGTTGCAAGTTCTAAGAACAAATATTTATATATATCTACAACTATATTTGGGGTAATAGAATAGTGTATAAAATACGAAGGAAAGATAGATAAGTCAATCTATAACAAACAATCGGATAAAATATATTAATAATATAAAATATAGAGAGCGGATTTTGTTATGAGGTAAGTAAAGCCTAAAACCACTAAAGTTATCTGAGATTTTTCTCACTGTTTGAAAGGTACGTTATTCCAGGTGAGTGATATCAACATAAACATGTTATACTTATGAACGGGTGCTGCTTGTCAGGACTGGTTTGCCCTGATATCTATGACTAATTGATTTTGTTACTCAAATAATTATTTATTAACTTTTGTCAATCTCAATTGTCAATTTGGCAGTTTGTATGCACACAAAATTCTTAGAAGGAAAAAAAAAATAGTTTTTTTTAAAGTTATAAAGAAAAAAGAAAAAAGAAAATATTGGGTTGATTTTGACTCGGTTTCAGTTCGAGTTTAAAGTCAGTTTAAAGTAATACTGTAGTAAGTCAATTTAAACGTAAACATCGTAAAGGGTACCTGACATTTCGATGCCGCAGAGTTGCAGAAAATGTTGCAGTTTCTGTTGCGCGAGTCGTAGCACAGCCACACGCATCACGTACCACGAGTACGAATCTGGATCGGAGTGTTCCAAGTTCGCGCACTTGCGACGTTTCTCACTCCTATTAAAACACAATATTTATCTCTATGTCTGGTCTTTACGGTAGATCAGTACTTACTAGTTAAGCTTTGTATAATCCGGAAATTAAAATATAGCAGTTAAATTATATAACCCGATAAACTATAGACTCAAAACTAGGCACTGTTTAGATAACTAACTAAACTAATAACTTGACAGCCTCGGTGGTCTAGCGGCTCAGTATACCGCTTTACTTCCAATGGTCGCGGGTTCGATTCCTCGCACGGTCCAAACATTTTTTTCATGATTATGATTGTTTTTATCGATATTACTTACTTAGTAGTGGTGTTAGTATTAAAGATATCATCGTCGTCGATATCGCTGTCACTCTCGTCTGCATCCTCCGCGCCAGATTCCGCCGAGTCGTAGTCATTATTGTCAGGATCTTGTTCTGGTGTTGGCTGAAATCGTACCACATATTAAGAGCCTCTATATCATGAGTAACTTGTAAAATTACACCGATCATCTGTCTAAAATAAAGAAATTGTGCCTACCCTTGTAAAATTTCTGTCAGCACTTGAGACCCTTCCATTAGTAGTTTCGTTTCTCAAAACATTTTCTCGAACGTCATTATTTTTTATTCATTTATTACGGATATACATCCATATCATCAATTTATTCATATAACCATAAGATCCAGTAAAAATGTTATAAACTATACTAGTAAATTACAATACACATCCTTGTTTCTCAATTCATATATCTATGTTCACGTCCAGACAATCCGACATACTTGCTATAGTTAGTAGAAATAGAAATAATCTTTATTCAAATAAACTCATTACAAGCACTTTTGAATAGTCATATTTTGATTCTACCACTCATTCGGAATGCAGATTCATCACAAGAAGAATGAGCAAGAAACTTGTGTGTTGCTCTTTTTAGTAGATGTTTTTTATATAAATAATTAATAATAATATATATAGTGATCAAGGTGTGTTACTATTGTAATAATAATTACTTACCTTTGTTAGCAGATATGTAAGTATACTGCACTGCGGTGGGACAAACTGCTCCCGGAATGTCGGCCGCCCTTCTTGTATATTCTTGTGTGGTGCTGCAGGGCCTAGTCCTAATATACGCATGTTCAGAAGGTTGCGTTTATCACGGAGTGATGACCAAACCGATGTGCCCTCCGTACGTTCAATTAGTTTCGGCTGTGAAAAGTAATAACTTTTATTTTCCAGGCACGTTTAAGATTTATAAATTTTATCAATAACTCTATAATTATGTTTTTATTCTATAGTGAATGTGTTGATAATATTGGCTGGAAAGGTTTTAGACTTTTTTATAATTATTTTGACATAAATTCAAACTATTCTTACTTCATTGCTTTACCATCTTTCTAACATAATATCCAGTATTTTGCAATAATTGATTATTATTAAAAAAAAAGTTGAAATCGAGCGTCGAGTATAAACTTTCTTATGGATATTAAGTTTCGTAATTAGTACTAAAAAAAGTAATACATCTATTACTTTTTTTAGATTTTGTTAGGTACCTTACAGGTCAAAGCCAGGATGAGGCGTGTGTACCAAATTTCTCCATCGTGGCTGGTACTTAGGTAAATTATTTTTTTAGATTTGGTTAGGTACTTTACAGGTCAAAGCCCGGTGTAAGCCAGGTGTAAGTGCACCAAATTTCTTCACCGTGGTACCAGCCACGGTGAAGAAATTTGGTGCACTTACACCATTATTAAGATAATTCACTTTTTTAGGTTCGGTTAGATACATCACATGTCTACTCCACCGTGGCTACCTACGCCTATGTAGTAGGCATTTTACTATTGAGGAGTTGCAATGATAATTAATTATTAAAAAAAGTTGAAATCGGCAGTCGAGTATAAACGTTCTTATGGATATTAAGTCTCGTAGACAATTCATTTTTTTTTAGGTTCGGTTAGATACCCTATGTCACCCGTCTGCCCCACCGTGGCTTCGTCCACGGTGTAGTGTCAGTGCGGGTAGGCATTCTACTATTAAGCAGGCTTAGTACCTGCGGGGGCGTAGCGGGCGCGGTGGTGAGCAGGCGCCGCACTCCGCCTCCGAAGAGGCGGGCGTGCGCGCGCGCGTCAGGCTCGTGCGCGGCCAGCCGGTACAGCAGGTGCGCGTCGCGCGCCGCCAGCGCCCAGCCCAGCAGCGCCAGGTGCGCCGCCACGAACGCCTCCGCCAGCAGCACGGCCAGCCGCGGCGAGTCCTCCTCCTCCGCCGCGCGCAGCGCCAGCCCGCGCAGCGCCGACACGCCTGTCCGAGTCCGTGCATATTTATCGTGCGAAGCTCACCGAGGTGCGCGGACGTCATCGTCGTGATCGTTGTAATACTGTGTATTTCTACTAGCCGACCGGGCGACCGTCGTTTTGTCATATAAATTAAAATCGGTATTAAAAAATATGGGTCCATGATAGAAGAGTGAAATTTAGGGCTGTATTTTTAAAGGCCACATTATAAAAATAATACAAAATAAATTTTTTTTTTTTTTGGGGTAAGCCACCCTTAACACTTATAAAAATAGTTATTCTCACTCCTATTCTCAGACCTACTGAATATACATATAAAGTTTCACCAAAATAGGTCAAGCAATTTCGAAGAAGTATACATGAAACCTGTGACACGAGAATGTTGTACATATTAGATTATAATCTCGATATAACCAGGGGTGTAACAAATATTGTCAAACAATCGAAACAAATGATAATCAGAATCTTGAGAACTATATTTAAAAATTATAAATAAATTATTGAAGAGGTTTTAATACTTTGGAGTTCCCAACATTTATCTTACTGATATTATAAGCGCCGAAGTTTGTGAGTCTAGATTGAAGATTGAATGTTTGTTACTTTCATACAAAAACCACTAAACGAATTTTAATGATACTTTACAGTAATATAACATATACATCAGAATAACACATAGGATATAATTTTTAAAAATATTACGTAAAGTGAGCGAAAAATAATAATAAATTTCAAGTGTTATGCAGACGAAGTTCTGCGGGTAAGCTAGTAATATTATAAACGCGAAAGTTTGTGAATGTGGATGCATGTTTGTTGCTCTATAACGCGAGAACTACGAAATGTATATTGAAGTTTGAACTACTGAAGGTATATAAAACCTTCAGGTAACAAATGTTGCCATGTACATACCTGGCCATTTGCTTGGAATGGTAGTAACTACGAGTTCCTCTACTGAATGACGTCTCTGTCGCGGAAGTAAGTTGGCTGTACCGGGAGTTTCCGCTATAATACTGGATATAAAAAAGGACTTATTATTAACATTATTTGATAATCTTTTATAGTCGATTTGTAAAATAAGCACTTGCAAAACACAAGTTCTCGTGAGCAGACAAAAAAAAAATAAAGAAAAGATCATATAAAAACTTTGCCACTTGTTCTTGTAAAAGACAACTTAAAAAGTGATACCACAGTAACCACAGTACCAAAGTGCCCATAACAAATGAATATATTTATTCCCATACTGATAACTCATATTTATTATGGTATATTCTGGAAACAACGGCTAAAAATTCTTAACGCTCATATCTATTGTATAATAATTCACATTGTTTAGAATTATATTTTTAAGAATTTTGTGTAAATAACGAAAGTTTCTTGTGATGAGTCTGTGTTCCGAGTGCGTAGTAGAATAAAAAAATATGTCTATCCAAAAGTGCTTATATTCATTTTATTTGAATAAAGATTATTCCTATTTCTACGATACGTAAGTAGTTAGTGTTACTTTTATTAAACAAAAATAAAAATAATAATCAATTTGCCAAGTAAAAGAGTAACCTGTCGTGATGCGGCGAATGCTTGAGACTGAACGTATCTGAGTCGCACAGACTTTGGTAGATACAGGCGGAGAGTGCCACGGACAGTTCCCTCAGCGTGTGAAGAATGCGAGTTGCGGACCCTCCAGGGATGCCAAGTTCTCCCGTCGTCCCTAACATGTCGTGTGCCATCGACTGGAAATTAATTTATGTGGTTAGGTCTGCCAGCTGTTTTTATTATACCACAATAATGGCAAAAAAGTGCGCAACCCATCTGATGGTTACCTAAAGGCTACCGTAGCCTGAGAGTTAGTTATAAATTAACTTAATAACATAGTATACTTTTGGTCTATCAATTTAATACCTCGGGAGTGAAATTTCAATCCCAGCACAAATATATCTTTCCAAGATACCAGTACAATCTCGGGGCTGCAAAGCTGGGTGTTTAACATATTTCTGTATATAAAGTATTTAGGGTATTTTTTTATTACTTGTAATGATTCTTTTTACAACCGTGTTGGTGCAGTAGGTATTTTTGTCTAAAGCAAAATGCAAGTATTTTGTCTGGTCTAACCTTGGTTCAATAAACTTCAATTCGTTAAAACTAAATTTGTCAACAATCATCAATATATCGTATCATCAAGTAGGAAACTTACAAAAAAAATATTTGATCACAATGGCCTTTTGTGCAACCTTCGTTTCCCTACTATAACAGATAAAAAGACCTCACTTAACGGTACGACACGACGGGAGTACATCCCTAAAGTATAGTTGAAACAAATTATTAAATTAAGTGTTGAAGTCGTGAGATTGTCGTAGTACTTGCTCTGGACCCATATATGTAAGTACTGAAGAATATTAAGAGCCCTAAACCCTCTGAGCTTCAAAAGGTATGACTGGCTTAAACTTACGTTACCACATTTTTTCCTAATACATTTATTTACTAGAATATTTCAGGCTGTAATCATTAACCCAATCATTTAAATAATTTTATTAACGTTTTACATTTCTAAATGTTATTACCTCGATTTGTGTTTATCAAACTATATTGTTAAGCAGCTAAAATGGCTATATAAATCATCTAATGTCTAATACTGACCTGCAGATGTCTGACTGGGTCAGCGACTACTGTATTGTTAGTCGCCACAGCGGCAGCCAAGAGTGGCAGTGTAGTTGGGAATGGTAACGGCGACAGTAGCTGCTGGTGTTGTTTGTCTTGCCCCAGTTCTTGTAGCAGAAGTATTAACTCCATCCGGACAGAGGCCAGTCCGCCGCCGCCCGCACCGTGTAGCGAGCAGTACGATAGCAATGTACGAAGAAGTGTTTCATTGGCTAAAAAAATAGGATGTTTATAATAATAGATAACTTTTGCTTATCATTATTACATAGCATAAAATAAAATCGCTATTGCTGTCTGTCTCTATGTATGCTTAAATCTTTAAAACTACGCAACGGATTTCGAATAGAAAGAGTGTTTCAAGAGGAAGATTTATATGTATAATACATGTGTCTTATATTAGGAATTATCACAGAAACTGCCTACGTTTTAGACAACAGGCATAGACAATATGGTGGTATTATAAAGTGAACTTTCTTCTGACTTTTATAACAATCTTTTGGTGTTCTCACAAATGCCACATTTCTGTCACTGATTTATTTATATTCTCTTTATTATTTGTACATTTAAATCGAATTTAAAAGCAATGTTTAATTTATCGGATATTTATATTTTTTTTATGTGACTAGAAGGGTAAATAATGTGATTGTTCACCTGATGGTAAGCAGCAACTGTCGCATATATATATATAATATATATATATAATTTCACTGCCGTATTTCACTCACCAACTGAAAGACTTACACAACGAACTGGCTAATCGGTAGACATAGCAGGAGCGGGAGACGCGGAGGACCAAACATAAAGAATACCTGAGTAAAAAAGGCTAACCGTGCAGGAGTTGGGACGTACTCGGAGGAGCTGTACCTTTGAGCCAGCGCTTGCGGCGCACGGCGCGCTGCACCTTGGCCTCGAAGTCGGCCTTCTCTCGCAGCAGCAGCTGGTGCAGCGTGGGCCGCTCGGGCAGCGGCGCGGGCTCCGCGTCGGCGCACACCAGCTCGCCGCCGCCGCCGCCGCCGCCGCCGCCGCCCGCGCTGTACCCGCACAGCCGCCGCAGCGCCTCCACCTCGCGCTCCAGCCAGATGTACAGCTGGTACCGCAGGTGCCCGCCTGCGGGTCCATCGCGCAAGTACATCGCTATATTACTCTATTCCGACCCCAGTGCTACCTTCGGGCCGGACGCTCGAACCGACGAAAGAGCGACGGCTCTTTCGTCGGTCGGTACTGAAAGATTGTTATTTTTCGGAACAAGCAGAGCCTCAAAGCTAAGTTTTCGAAATGTCGTGTAAAAGTTCGTTTTTCGCCAAAATCGAGGACAAGTTATTTATTACGCGCAAATGCATTAAACATGTGAATTAATTTGAGTTATTAGTGCTAATAATTGTCATAATTCAAGAACTTTTATTTCATCTCTTACTGATAAACTTTCATTACGTACTTAGACAGATTTACTCATATGTATTCAGAGAATCTTACAGATTCTCTGAATACATATCATGTCATGACTCTGAAACATCTATTATTTTGAGTTAACAAGTTTAATACTTCAGAAAAAGAAATAACAAAATAATTTCTACGCTGCTCTTATACAATATTAATAGTTCCATACCATCTACTTCAAATCCAGTGGCCAGAGTGCTCAATTCCTCCATCAGTATCTTCAAGCAAGCCACAAATTTGAGCTGTTGCGCCATTATATCAACAGATACTATTTCCTCTGATTCCTTTTCTTTCTCTACTTCCCCATTAACTAACGGTTCCTCTTTCTTGTCCATCTTCATTTCTAACGGTGGGGTTGAAGCACCAGAACCACCAGAGCTGATTAATAAGATAAATTGTTTTAAAACTTACAAACTATAATAATATTAATATAATTTTCTCCACAAAAACATTGCCATAATATACAATGCACAACAAGAGTAAATATATATGTAGCAGAGTCGTTTGGACATGTAAAATGTAATGCAAAAGTACAAATTCGTTGTTTGGTGCCTACTAGGTATACCAAGAACCTATGACGTGTCACGAGTCTAACACGACTAACGAAGCAAAAGAGACCTTTGTTAGAGAGAGATACAGTCTTTACTATTTGTCTTTAGTATTACACTACATAAAAATTTATCTACAAATAATAAAATACAAAGCGAAAACGGTCTTCTCGATGCTTATAGCGAAACGAACGATATTATAAATATTGACCGTTATAATTTCTTTGATAATTTCAATGTAACTTAAATCTTATAAATAAGCAATGTTACAAAATATACGAATAATAATATAGTATTTAGAAACTATTGATAAAATACATAATAATATAATTTTATCCTCACCCTTTATCGTCGTCATCGTCCCAGGTAAGAACCAGTTCATCATTTTTCGTTGAACTAACGGGAGCTCCCCAGTCTACATCCTCGGTAGGTGCTCCCCAATCCTGAGATTCTTCTTCTTCTATAGTTAAAAAAAATATAACTCAATTCCTATGACACAAAATTGAACGTTACTGATTTTTAATTTACAAACATATTTCAAAAGAAATGTTTCATAATAAATAACAATTTATATTAAGGTTAATAAATGATATGAAATACTGACATGCATAAAATCTGAACATGAGAGTGAATGCAATGAAGTTATTTTATTAAATAAAATATTGTGTCCCAATATTTTATCAGTTAGAGATAAATAATAAAAATGAAGCAAATAAACAACAAAACAAATAAAGCACATTGACGTACAAACGGACGTGAATGAGTCGTACTTTTGACTGTTTGTTCGACCAGTTGGCCGGTATGTATGACGGTTTCGTCGACGGACGGCACAGAGACCGGCTGGCGTTGCTTCTCGTCGCGTATCCGGGCCGGCAACTTCGACAACACTTCCAGAGCGAGCGCCGGACAGCCCGCCTTGAAGTGTCCGTGCGCGGTTTGGAAATACAGACGCCGTTCCAAGCGAGTTATTCCTTCTTCTGCCTCTTGTTGCAATAGCGCTAATGTTCCGCCCTACCAGAAAATTTTAAAATATATAAAAATATGTTACCTCAAAAACTTATTTATAAACTTTTGCGTTTAGATAATTATTGACATACTCAAAATGGTTTTAACACGAATAATTTTATGGTATAAAATACACTGAACGAAGACTTGTATTTATTGCAATGGATAATCTGAAATAATACTTGATCTAATATAAAAAAATAACGTATATAATAAAATAGCATCCGCAAACGGGGCCGCGAAATAGCAAGTTATAACAAAGTAGATCTATCTCAGAAAGTTTGTTCACACATCAGTGAATAGTGTTGAGTGGGAGGGATTTTCAGAGTAACTAGAATAGGTTTATCTTCTAAAATTTTAACATTTTAATGTTCCACAATTAATAAATATTTCTAATTATTGAGAGGAAAAATAATGAAGCTCACCTGACTGGGCAAGTTGTGTCGTTTCAGCCGCGGATGAGTCCGTAGATACACATAGAAGTTGAACACGCTGGGCGTAGGTTCGTTATCCCTCGCGGCGTGCAAACGTCCGGCTGGGTTCAGTAGCGTGTCCAAAGCTTCACCGTATCGTTTTAATTCCCAAAGGGCCATTGAACGCACGAACGGGTCTGGATGTGCGCGCTCTAGTATTATTTCCCCGTCTTCTGTCTCCCCACTGTAAATATGTGTTTTTTTTTAATAAAAATAAAATATTATTTATTCATGTATGTCCTACATAAATAAATAATTTTAGCCGTGTATTAACGTCAAGATTTTTGTATTAATATTTTTCTTCCGTAGCGTCTTTGCCTAATGCCTTCCTTATATTTACTATCCTCTTTATTAATTAAAATGAATACATATTTACTATTATTTGTTAATAAAAATAATATTGCGACTTACCCTAATATCTCATCCATAAGCAATTTCTTCAAGCTCGCCGGTAAAATGCTGTCGGATTCGTATAGTCGTGCGACAACCATTGCTAGTTGCAAATCTCCTAATCTTGTAATCAATACCTAAAAACGATTAAATGATGTTAAAAATTGTAAATTATTATTTAATACATATCCACTAGCAAATAGTTAACGAACCTCCAAAGCATCTTTCAAAGCGCCGCCTAAAAGGAAGAATGCGGCGGCATGTTCGAAACGTTGTTTACCCAGAAGAACGTAAGCATTAGTTAGAGCAGCTTTACGCCAACGATCTTCAGTGAAGTCTTTTGCAAAGAACTGAAATTTTATTCAATTGTTAATACAGATTTGTACATTCACATGTAGATTTTATACTAGATACTAAATGACAGTTTAAAAGAACATTTAAGAACATACCGCGGTCATCCTTTCGTCTCGCTGCGACCTAAACAGGCCCCATAACAGCATCCTCTTCTTCATAGCCAGGTAGTACAGGGCCGCATCGAGGGGATCTTGTTTCTGTTTGAACGCCGCACAAGCGAGACGTTCCATACAGGTTCGAAGTAAATCGCCTCTGACCCACCAACCAACGCCTTTGCATTGAAAGAGTAATAATGTTACAAAAAAATAGGATTTAAAAGTATAATCATAAATTAGAATCTTAAATATATGTCCATGTTATAAATTATAATATATATTTTATTTCTCAAATTAAAATATTTAAATACAATACTCGTATGGCTCTATGATAGACTCTTATGATATGTTAAATCTACTCTACTCACTAATCTGTAATAGTTAATAAGACTAATATGGCATTTCTTTTGAGGACACTACACCATTATACAGGATTGCCTATTACGAGGTCCAATGTATAATCAGCTTTCTTATATTGGTTTATTTCAAAACAAATAAATAGAAAATGTTGTAGTTGTTTCATCTTGCTCAGGGACTAGCATACATGCTTCAAAATATATTGTTTCCTATTGGTATAGGTAGATACAATAGAATGACGTATGTAATTTATACTCAATAAAAATACATTACCAGGGAATGTTCCTTACCCAGTTCTCTCATAGTGCTCCATTTGGGTTGTCCCTTAGCATACCCCGGTACTAGGGCGAGCAGTTGCTCGTGTGTCTCTGAATGGAATGCCCACACAAGGTTACATGTCCCTACTCCCGTACGTTGTAAAGTTGCGCGCTGCGCGATAGGCAAGCATCGTAGTAGGTACCCGTAGTGTTTCATAGCTAGCAAGAAACGCAGGCCGCAGTCGTCAAGAGAATCTAAAACATTTATGAAGGAATATGAAAACATGTATATATTCTAAAATACAATAATTCTTTTTTATATGCAAGGCGCTGTAAAATGTAGAGAGAGAACACAAAGAAAGTTAACCCTGGCTGTGGCTGGAACAAATGTTGACAAATGACAAAACAAAATACTAGTCGTTTGTTGCTAATCATAAGAACTTACGTGTTTATGTCTGTATTTAGTAATTCAAGTGCCACATTTCATCTTTCGAACAAGTGTAATCAACCTCGTAAAGGCAGAACTAAACCAAACAATGTGGTGTCTATTAATTAGTGGTTTAGTTCTCTCTGTCACCTACATATTTCTTTAGATATATTCACTCATGAAGATGGTGAAATCTATTCTTATAGCAATAATTATTAAAGTGGAAACTAAAATGTTCTTATTTAAGTGAATTATCCTTACCAGGCAATACTTCATGTCCAGTTCCCTGAGCGACATCCACTTTGGCATTAGTGGCGAAGCGTTCAGCGAAATCTGCGTCGCAAGTAGACACGGTATCGGCCAGTGCAAGTAAATGCATCTGATCCAGAGAACTTAGCCCAGGAAGGTGTGTGTGGGTCAACAATCGGGAGAGGATACGACCTAGATAACAATAAAGAATATTTGTAAACATTTAATAATTAGTATTTTACATTTAGTTTTATAACATTTAGTATTTTACTTCACCACATTTGCCCTGCCTTTATTTTATTATTTAGGATAGGCGCAGTATATTAGAAGTGGATTATTAACATTAAATATAAATAAGAAATTAATACAAAATTAAACAAAATTTATTTAAAAGAACAACACGTAAGAGTCTGTGTTTGGAATGAGCGAAAGAATGAAAAAATATGAACATTCAAAAGTGCTTATATTAAGTTTATTTGAATAAAGATTATTTTTATTTCTATTTCAATAAAATGCAATATGCTAATATAGCTGATGTCACACATGAGGTACGATATTACCTACAAAAGGAATTTCCAAATCCAAAATAATTTTGTACGAAAAAATATTTTAATTTTGATGGTGAATTAAATATGGAATGGAAAACCCTAATGGAATATCACTGAAAGTTTAAATAATTAAATTCCTAAGTAAATTAGATTGTGTAAATTTACCTTGTCTAGGTCCAAAGTGTGAAAGCGGTTGTCTTTCCGGCATCGATGGCCGTCGATCAACACCTTCATCTTCGCCCAGCAGTAAGGCATCTAAATCGTCTTCTGTATCCATCGTTCCTTCAAATAGCTCATTATAATCCTGCAAGTGATCAACAATTCACATAATATTAAAACAGACAAATAACGCATGCGTTTTATTGGTCGATAACTCGGTTATTAATAGAGTTTGATTTTAAGTGTAACCAGGATGCAGTATCTACTCACGGTCTAGATAACATTTTAATTCAATTCACCGATTCATATGCCAAGGGCCTCTTTTTATAATTTATAAAGAAATTAATCGAAGAGTAGTAGGTACTCTGGCAAGTATTATATATTTTTCTAATCTTTAGTCAATACTAGTAATGATATTAACTACTGGAAAACTCAAGATTATAAAGATCGTAAGAGTTCATACTCTAAAATATTATGAATTTTACCTTAGCTTCCTGTATAGTGGACGGATGATGTGGCGATTCTTTATCAGCAACAAGCAATGTCCAGAGAGGTAGCGGCGGCACTGAGGTTAACTCTGCATAATCTAACTGCACATCTTCTGTAATCTATTATTAACAACATATATTATTAATATAGTATAATAATTTAATACTTTTGAATTGTGTGCATTAGTCGTATAAACGATAATAACGAAAAAAATATATTGGTAGTGATACAGGACCACTTCAAAATTAGATTATACTAAAACTTTCAATGATTCGTGAAGACGTTTATTGTAGCCAAATTGGTTATTCTTGTAAAAACTAAAAACCATATCTCAGTGCAGTGCTAAAATATTAAACCGAGTATAGATTAGATTAGAGTGTTTAAGAGTGTTCCTTGTGAGAATATAATACAAAGAATGATATTCCTATGCACATTCTATATCACTCATGAGGTCAAAAGAACGAGCAGTTAGTCACTTGATTGATGGTGTGATAATGAGGGATGTGTTCATTGTTACCTGTGTGACGCCATCTAGCGGCGAGCCCGCGCCAGCGGCGAAAGATACGGAGAGCGTGCGTGAGCGCGACCAGCCACGCTGTAAACACACGTGCCACATGCACTAGCGATGCGATTTACGACTTATAGTCGCTGGTAATGCGTTGGCCGTCGCTGACGTTTGCATCCATAAGCTGCCTTTACATGTACGCTCTTTCACGCGCGAATAAGTTTTTACGCAGGAATGTGCATATAAATGTAGACAAAGAGTACTTCACTCGTATGGGCTTTAGCGCCTTTTTTTAAATAATTAATTATATTTACTAAATAGCGGACATCTGCAAAATAGCAAAATGCAATCCTTCACCATTGCGCAGGCTGGTTGTCCCGCGCTTAATAAGGCGCGTTCCTAATCGCGCGTGAAAGAATGTGTCATGTAAATGCAGCTATTTATGTGAGTATTTAATCGTCCGAAATATGATTTACCGATTAGATGCACTATATCTTTACTCACTTATGTTAGTGTTCAACTTACTATATACACCCTGTATGTAGTACGTCATAAGAAATAAACATGATATATATGAAGACTATCTTTATAAGAGAATCTTTTAGAGGGTATTTATTTATAACACATTTATTTATTCAATCAACCTATTGAATACACAAACATTTTTATATAACAAATGAAATTACATTCACAATGATATTTTTCATGAAGCAACGTAAATGTTGTGCACATTGACTAAATATTGTTAAAAAACTATTTTCATTCTTACATCTCGTGATAATGTTATTATTCTATTTCATTATATTAGAAATACTGAGTACATAATATGGTCACCTGTCTGGATAAGCTGTCTTCGTCACCTTGTGAACTTCTACCCGTATATGATCCCCCGATACATCTGATTAAATATATAAATATTTTGCAATTACTTCTAACACATTAGTAAACAAATGTCAAATAAACGGGAAGGATTGGGATATGGACAGGGCTTAGAAGTTATTATAACGTACCTGACAAGATGTGCGAGTATAGCCTTGACCCATCTGATTTTGCCGCTGTTCAATAATTCCATTAGCTGTTTAGGGTGGTATTGCGGTAACACTGGACATGCCATCTGTGACGCCTCGAACAGACCGTAGTCCGGCATATAATCCAATAGTGGCTGGATAATGAAAATGAATACATATATATGAATTTACAATCACTCATGTCACAGGTATAGTATAGAATAGTACCGTGATAATTACGTTAACATAGTCTCTTATACACCTTCGGTTTTAAATACTTGTATTGAGACGAATTTGGTATATACGACTGATCAAGTGCTAAGTCGTGTAGATGCTTAAAATCATAGATAATAAAACATATATTATAAACAATCTTATGCATAATTATTTTTACTGCGCAAGGGACGTGATCTGAAATCATACACGAGTAATTACTTTCTGTGCGTACCTGTGGTTGATCAGGCTGAGTTTTGTTGCGTCTACGTGCATCACGTTCGAGCAACTGCAAGTTGATGGATGACACGCGTTGCAGATGGGGTGCGGACACACGCAGGTCTGAATCGCGAAGTGCTCGAGATTCACCACCTTCTTCTATCTCCTAGACAGTAATAAAAAAAAATAACGATGTAGAAAATATTTCACTTAAAAATTATGTAGAGCCCATATAAGTCTATTAAATATTCTGATTACACAAATATTATAGAATTGAAAATTAAATATATAAAACAAGGAGATATTTTGATAAATGCATGAGTGGGTTACAACCACATAGAATGTGTAGAGGCGTTTCCTCTTCAGCTTCTTTAATATATTAGTTATATCTACTAATATATTAAAGAAGCTGAAGAGGAAAAAGATTTTTTAATTATCATTATAGAAAATAATTAACCTGTCCACCAAATTGTCCTGATGACGTCTGTGAGTTTTCGGGTTTCCACTGTGAGTAAACGTGCATCTCTGAGTCCATGCCCACCACGAGTATCCCATCACGCACCCACGAAATCTGCATTGGCAATGGAGGTAATCCATCGGCAGTTTTTAGTTCAATTCTCCGTAGCTGCATCCAACGAATTTCCTCGATGAATAATGGCGCAGCGAGTGAAGATGCCTTGCGAAGGATTGGACGATTGTTGTTTATGGATTCTTTCATTGCCTGTGAACAGTAAGTTATAGATTGAAACACAGTGTATATAATATTATCAAAAACTTAACATTGTAGAAGGTATCATATGTATATACCTTTAAGTTCGCTTGTGCGAGATCACTTGAGACTGGTGTAAACAACAATACTCTAGAGCCAACAGCGACCGTGAGTATATGCGACCCGTCCTCCTTCGACACCCAGTCAAGCTGGACTAGATGCTTCTGCGTCAGAGGGCAAGTGTTACCATTCTCCATAATACTCTTTCGAAGTGATTGCAGCGTGCTAAACGAAGGTACAGCGAGCAGACCCGCGGATTTTCCTGTATCACCTTCTCCGTTGCGACTGTTGCTCCTTTCCTCGGAAGACAGCGTTTGAAGAACCTGTTAAAATAACGTTTAGAAATAGTATACCGTTGTTTCATAATGACAGAAATTTTTGTAGTGTAAGTATAATAGTCTTATATCTATTACCATTTCGAAATATCTAGATATTGATCTAGCGTCATTATTTGATACATTATATGGGTAGAGTTAAGGAATAAACCCTGAAATAACTTTCTTCTTTAGGGTAGACCTTTTTATTTAGGACTCATTATTTTTGGTTACACTTTAGCATTAACATATGTGATTAGTTCACTAACCTGAGTCAATCTCTGTTTTTTCTGCATAAACGAAGTATCGTGTAAGTAAGATAGATCAATTTGCGTGTCAGTGCAAACTCCAACCCTCGGCAGGCTGACATTTTTCAGCGGTATCGTGTCCTCGAGTAACCACTCGGCGCCACCGGTGCTCTCACACTCGTAAACACAAACGCACAAGTTCACAAAACGCGCGTCGTTTGAATTATTGTTGGTGGTCGCGTTGCCCTTGGGTCGAGTGAAAGATTTCCCGCATTTATACGCGCATGCTATACGGCCTGAGTATGCAGCACTAATGTGAAGGGGTTGACCTAAAAAATGTAATAGAATAGTAGATTAATAAAGTATCAAACGTTATTTAACTATACAGATATAAACAATCAGATTAAAAAATACTCTGAATTCATTCTTCATACTTCTTCTGTGTCAAATTGGTATTGGTAGACAAGTTAAATTAAAGATATGACAAAAAACAAATTATCTATTGCATAATATGTGGAATTTTTTTAAAAATTCTATGGATTTACAATGCAGAAATATATCTATGACACCCTATACAGTTAAATTACAATGTTATCAGGTTCTAATTTACAATATAAACTTACAAATAATATAACTTAACGTAAATTTCATACTCACGATACTATTACAAATACGTCATTAGTTCGTAGTAATAACATTAAGTCGAAATCATACACGCAAATACCTACCAGGTGTGTCTATAGTAGATTCTTGATCTTTATTCATCATTTCCCACTCCTTCCATGTGTAATCAAATTCATCGTTATCATTCTTCGTCACGTGACATTTCCAGAATCTAGTCAAAAATATATTCAATTACAATCAGATATACTTTAATGAAAAAAAAGGGTACGTATTGCCTACGTGTACCATAAAAGTAATTTTGAATGAGATAATTACCTTTATTGTCATACCTTACCTTGAGGTAGGGTATTTACCTAAGGGTGTTGTCAGAGCAAGCAGTGGCGAGGGTGTACGGAGCGAGGCAGGCCGGGTAGATGGAAGCCGAACTCAAGTGGCCGGCGGCCGGTGTGGCGTGGATCACATCCACTGCTTCCGGCAGCGACAGTGGACACTCGCACACCTGAACAGATTTTATACAATACGCATAGTAATGTTTCCAAATCTATAATAATATGTATGAACAGGGGGAAAGGGAATTAGTAATGTGGATTAATAACCCTATTGGTGGCAATATACCATATCAGGTTGACTGCCATGCGGCTCCCCGTGGAAAACATCATGTTAAATTCCTTGTAAATTAGCCACGATGGGCTAACTGACCTCACCTGATACTCATCTATCATCCTCGAACCAGGGATCGAAATTACAAAGACCTGAGCCGAGGTTCATACTTCTAACGGTACCTTCAGACTAAAGTCGTATTCGTATTTTTTAGTTTAGTGTCACGAGTTCGTAATACGTTATTTGACTATCTTACTAATATTATAAATACGAACGTTTTTGATGAAACTTTACAGTAATGTAGCTTATAAGAATAACACGTAGGCTATAAATATAACGCGGGTGTAATCGTGGACACAGCTAAGCAGCAGCATCTTATCTGTATAGTGATATAATAAACAGTTACCTTTTTAGTAGATATAGAAAGATACGAGTGTGGTGTAGGTGCGGTAGGTGCTCGGTCTTGGTCCATCGAAACGGAGTTCTTGCGCGATTCTCCCTCCTCCTCTTGCACTAAAGCGCTGTCTGGTACGTACATCATACTGTTCGTGAAGTCCTCTGCACGACAATGTATTTAGTTATTCACAAATAATTTTACGTGATCATTGATGTTTACACTAGGCTGGGCCTGTCCTGCAGGAACCAGAGTATGTATTCTCATGTACAATGGTATTATTTGCACAATGTACAGACAATTTGCTAAATAATTATGAAATGAGGGAATTAAATGATGAAATGATTTTTTAGCCATTATTGTAGTCATTTGTTATTTTATTGAGACTCACTCGTAAAATTGTGTGAATTAAACATGTGTGACTAAATACTGATAGATAGTATTTAATGTGCCCTTGCTTTCTTTATACTGAAGTAATACAAAAATATATAAATAATAGGAATTACTATTATATTTTCATATTCCGGCATTAACAGCACCTCATAATTTTTATGTGCCGTTTATAGGCGAGAGGTTGTTATAAAATTTGATAAACATAGCTTTACTATATTGAGATTAAAAATACCTGCAGGATCTGCTTGTGACGAGACGGTAAGCCTCCACATATGTACTGTCGATCCGCCGTCGGTCCTCTCCAATACCACGATGTAAAAAGGTTCATTGAAAACTGCTGCTTTCCGCAAGTCCACTATTGCTTCAAGACCAGCTTCAGTGATAGTATGAACATCTGAATTATCTCCAGCAGTGTTTAAATTCTCATTATTAGGTGCTGTGCGTTCACCTATAAGAAAAGACAAAATTATTTTTTGTATATATTACAGCATAAGAAAAGATTTTATGTTTATTTTTATTAGTGGTCGCCCCATGGTCAAAAACCGCCTAAATTAATTTAAGATTTAGTAAGACTATAGACAAATAATGTTAAAGACAAACATTATTAATCTACTCTCAATTTGATCACAGAATTTAACATTAAACAAAAGAGTAATACAGTGTGTAATGTGTTTTTTATTGATTTATTGTATTTTATTAATAATTTAAAAAAGTTGGTATTCTGCGTATTCTTCTCTGTATGAACTATAAGTGTGCGAAATTTCATACTCCTCCGTTTGCGCAATTTCCATAAAAGGGGTAGAAAGTTTTTGCTTCATATATATATTAATATATATAATAGATTTTCACTGTATGTCTAGAAAGCGTGTATAAATCCTGCAATAGGAAAGTTGTATATGACCTATAGCTATCGATCCATAAGAAAACATTAAATTTGCATGTTTTACGTTATACCACTTGCGATAGCTACCATCAATCTTTAATTATAGCAAACAATGAAACAAACCAGTAATAAGTTGTTCCTGGAACACGTGCAGTAGTTGTGTGTTGTGCCAATCGTGCGTCGCGTCTGCAATTGCATGTAGCTGTATGATGGCGCCAGGCCTTGCAGTCGACTGTTGCGAAACTATCTTGATGCGGTCGTGGAGTGGTATACCTCCCTCTTCTAATGTTGACTCAGATGATAGCGACATTGTGTCGTGTTGTTGCTGTGAGAGGTACATATATTCAATTGTTTATTATAATTATATTATTATTACTTTATTTTTGTGAATAATATACTAATTTATTGCTAAGCCGCAATCGCCTGTCTTTGTATTTCTCAAATGTTTACTAGGAGAGAATGCTATAGATTAAGTCCACTTATATTGGTCACTAGAGCAAATATATATATATTGATCATATAGCAGACTTAATGGTTACAGCATTTATGATGAAGGGTTCATCCCTTCAGACAACGGCACCAGAACAATTCTATAATATCAGTTTTTGTAATTGTGTAGTTTTAGATAAGTGATTTAAGTTTTCAAAACTATATCATTTATCTAAAACTACAAAATAATAGCAATTTTACACCAAACAAAACTATCTAAATTTAATTAATTACCATTACATCGGTATGACGGCGCTCGGAAGTGGCGATTTCGGCGAGTAGTGTGCGAGCGTCAATAACAGCTTGAAACACGCGCAGACTTTCGCCGTCACTGGCCACGAAGCACGCTGACGGCGAATTTGACAAGTTGCCCAGAGTTGTGCTGTCGGAAAATATAATTTGTTGTTTACCTAAGTGCCGTTTGACGAAAGTAAGTAAATCGGTTTATGGAAATTGCTTATGGTTTTACTAAAATTGCCAGAGAAAAGATTTATATATCTTATAAAACACATTCTTTATAGAAATTCTGATTATAAAATGTAAGAGTTTATGAATGATAATATTTTTTTGTAGAAAAAAACATAAAATTCGTAGCGCTGACAATATTATCCGATTGCACAAATATTGAGTGCGTAGCGGTTTCTATGTTGAATATACGGCCCATTTGATGTTATAACGGTTACCGTAGCCCCTGATACATATTACTCTATCAACGCAGTAAGAATAGGAAGAACATCTTACAGTTGTAAATTTAAGGAATTTTTAAAGCTTAGAGACTGAGTTGAACTTAGTGAAACAAGTTCAACTGAATCTCTAATCTTATAAAATAAAAACAACATCGCCGGCTTCGTAAATTTTACAAAATAGATTCCTGATCACTTTGAAATACCTGGGCAGGAGTGTCGGTAACCAAGCGACGTTGCTAAAGGCGGATAAATGGGGCGAGTTAACTCGCGCCAGTTCTGACACGCCGCCCGACTTGCCGAGTGGACCCACACATTCCACTCGCCACATTATTAACTCGGAACACAGGCCGCCAGCTGCTGTGTCTTCATCTACTTTCTGGTTTTCCCTTTCACTATCTGAAATAACATCGATATTTGTATTAATGATTGTTAGTGTGTTTTCTATGTATATTATGTATATATTTAAAAAAAAAAATATTTAAGAATTTATATCAGTGGCCTAGTACCCATAACACAAGCTCTGCTTACCGTGGGACTAGATGGCGCTATATTAATTATCCAGAGTTATTTTTTATCTATTATCTATTTTGCCAATCCTTTAAAATTACTTTTTAATAAAATACATGTCATACACAGTACCTATCGAATAACTTTCATCCACTGGAATATGAATACATGTTAGTTAATCTATCAATGTATGTCAATTCTATCACTTAGGAACAAAATATTTAAGTGGTCGGTTTTACAGTATTTTGGCAGAGAGAGCTTACCCGATATATTGTGATGACTGGTTGTCAGCAACAGTGGTAATACTGGATGGCATGTGATGTCGTTGACCCTAAACCTGTGACCAGATGCTCTCGACGCGTGTCCTATGGATAATACCTTAAAGGAAAAATATACATTACATAATTATGAAAAACAAAAAGAAAACAAGTACTTTTTCACTAAGAATAACTTTTCACTGAATAATATATTCATAACTTTGTTACTAGAATGTTAGTTTGTATATTAAATGTAATTATTAAAAAACATATTTAATCAAATTTAATAATTTAAATGAATATATGTTTCTAAATATATAATAGGTATATACCTAATAGTTTAATACTAGAGTACTTTTTTTATGTTATCTATGTATCGTAAATATAAACAAAAACTACTACAACAACACAAGGAAAACGACATACTTGTGAAAACTTCGACTTATCATCAAATGTAAGCTGCCATAAATTTAATGTTCCGTTAGTATGATTTGTGACCATCGATATGACTGGTGCGGAATCCAGCACACCCTCCTGATTCTCCGACGAGTCCTCAGCGACCACACTCGTTTTCCGTTGCATCTCGTTGTTATTTTCCTCCAATGGACCTGCAAAATTAACACTATATAAGATATTTTTCCCAAAAGCATCAAAATTCCATAATATTAATATATATTATAAGTTATAGTGGCAAAGTGTAAAACCCCAGGAATAGATAATTATACAAAATCAACTAACTTACGAATTGAATGTGGTCCATATTGGTAACTATAAATTCTCAATCAAGTTCTACACAAAATTACAAAATAATCGCATAATCATACTAATACTACAAATATTAAAATGTATCCTTCTGTATGTCCGTTTCTTGCTTGTTTACGACTTAAAAAACTGAATTATATTTGACATGAATATAGATTATATAACGAGGTTTAGTAATAGTAGTAGTGCTGGATATATTTTATTTATAAAAACAGTCAGGGTCTAAAAAAGGAGATGAAAGTTTGTGCATAAAGTCGAGGGTAACAACTAGTAGAGAATAAAGATGAAATCAACGATATACTGTGTTATATCTTCGTGTAATTTTATATTTCTATATTTAATTAATCAAATCATGGTGCCACAAATATATCGTTTTGATTGCAATCTACAACCTTTCGTGTTGCACATTGCAATTACGAAATTACTAATAATTACTTATAAAATTGAGTGAAAAGTAAGAATAACGTGATAAATATCTACTGTATGTACAAAAGAAAACCTTACTTGCATAATATGTATAGTTAAATAAGGTTATGTAAGGTAAAGTACGCAATATTTACGGAGTGCTGTTCTTTTTAAAACATTTTGTGACTAGTCACTTTGAATGCTAAAGAAATTAATGGTCTACACCAGTGCACATTCATGTTCATATTGCATCTTTCTTTAGCGCATGCAATTTACCGAAGCTTATGCAGTCAAACATACCAAGAGTTCGTACAAAGTGGCGTTAGACATAAATCTGACTTTTTCAAAAAGGATATCAATGTTCAGTTCTAAGTCTGAGCTGAATTGAATAGACGAACAGATGTGGACGCGTCAATTGCTGCTCTATATACTGAGATCTTATAGCGATTGAAGTAGAAGCGTAATTTGAACATTAAAACACGCAATGGTGCAATGAATGCACGCGACTTAGAAATACGATTTTTTGTATTACTTTTACAATTATTTGTCTTTTCAGCCTCATTGAGCAAAAAATATAATGTGATTGTCATGATACCAATAATATGTTGCAATTCTTAACAGTTATCACAAAATATGAATAAAAGTGTTCTTTTAGTGCTGGATATTCAAATGTAAGCTGTGAGAATGGTAAAGAAATAATGTGTGTGGTTTATGAAAGAATTATAAAATAATTTCATCTCATAATAACTGACGCAATACATGGTTATCAAAACAATTCATAAATAGTACATGTGTAAAAACAAATTCGTATGGGTTACTGAGTATGATTTATATAATTGAATTTCATTATGCAATGTGTGTAAACATACCTGACTTCGTGTGCCTGCGATGGACTAGAAAATGTACATACATGTTTGTGTTAAAACTACACTTATAAAATCTCAGATTAAACTTCAGATTCTGGTAATAAATTATAGTAATATAACTTAAGAGTATTTATTATAGAAAGCAATTTCATTACCATTTTACTCTATATAAATAATAAATAACGTACAATGTATTATGATTTCTTATTATTTTTCCAGATTGTCTGTAAGATTTGCTTTGAGCGATATATCCGTCTTTTGTTAAGATTTATATAGTGATCTCTTTTGTACTTATTTTTAGTGTACAATAAAGTGTTACATTATTATTATACGTAGTGTATTCAGCAAAAGAGAGCGTAAAAACAAAACTTCTAGATTCTAATCTGTATCTACAAAAAAACAACGTGTATATACATACAATTTAAATATTCTACACAAACTGAGTCTACACAGATTCTTTCGAAGACATCTAAATACAAATTCTGGCTGAACAGTGAATAATATGTGCAAATTTTGTTAAAAAATTACCATTTTCCTTTGGCTCAGTTTGTTCTTCATTTTGTGGCCATTCATTTTCTTCTTTTTCCTCTTGTACACTCGCCAGCGGAGTAGTTACTGCATCCGGATGCTGTTGTTGTCCTATAAGATAAAATATTTTTATTTTATTTATATTTTAGAAACAAATATTATCCAATACAAAAATATATTAGCAAGAATCTGTTATTTACATTATGATTTTAAAGTTACGTGCATATTTTGAACTGATCTGATAATTCGGAACTGTAATGGTAGATTGGCGGTTTTGTTAAATCATGTAGTAATTGTTCAATAAAATTAAAATCGCGAGTAGTAGACTCATGTGAATATGAATTTTGTTGTCATACATACTCTCTACAATAGAACATGTGTTATTTATGATCGAGATTAATGTTTACATTGTTTTAAGACTTCAATTCATACATATCACAGAATACTGTAGTCAATTAGTCATTATCTTACGTAAATAGCGACTGTGATAATTTATAAGGATATATTGTTTGCACACACGCAAAACGTGTTGTATTAAGATTTTGTGCTTCGTAAAGTACATTGTATGGTTGTAAAAATAACTGGCGACATTAGGTTTTAGTAAATTCTTATTGTTAAGGCCTGTCCAAATATTTTGATTGCTAAATTTTTCATTATGAAATTTTTATGTAATAATTAGGTTTTGTGATTACTTTCACAGTATGAATTAACATACCTGTTATTTAGGTATATGAATCATTCAAAACATGATAATGAAGCACGTGATAAATACTTTTGTTGATTTTGACATTAGAGACGTACGCCTATATGGCTTGAATATCAAACTAGTGAGTGTTATGAGAAACTAGATTTCAAATATTTGTAGGCACATCCAAGTCCAAGGGAATATATGACCAATGTTTTCAAAGTTGTTTGCTTGTCCTTAATCAGTATACTAAGCGTTTCGGTTCAAGAGTGAGATTTTAGCATTTTTATAGACTATAGTTACCATTTCCTATCCGATGGGTCTTGGTATCGGCTACTGTATCAGGATACATTACATAGAAAATGTTTGACAATTGGATTTTTTTAACAATATGACGGCGATCAAGCGTCCCATCAAATTCAGGGTAGCCGATCCATAAGAAATTGTTGGTGGGGATGACTTACCGGGAACCTGCGGCTTGGTCCGGTGTCGTACGTAGAGCGGTTGTGCTGCGGCGTGGTATAAGGCAGCCGGCGTGCACATAGTGGTCGCGTCTCCCAACGGAAACGCGGCCGGAATCCGCGCCGAGAACGACACCTGCGCCTGCCGGATCGCGCCCGCCTGCAGCTCGTCCAGCCACTCGCATACCCTTCAAATAAGTACGCGCACGTTAGTCTAATGGCAGGTTTCGAGTTCAGCTGAGAGAGACCTCGTTCATTATCATCTGCGTAGATATTTTTATCAAACCCATTGCTGTCACATGCTTTCATAGTTACATTTCAGTTTGACAGGTGATATATAGCTGTAACAGGGTGGGTGTAAAACAGCTTAGTCCTCAGAAATCACAATGTATGAGATAACACAGTTTTTTTTTTCAAACTAATCTGAAGCTGTAAGCCGCAACTGGCCTTTACAGATTAACTGAATGATAAGGAGAGTGCAGGGTGCAGACCAACTGCATCCTGATAGAAACAATATTAGTTCGAGTGTACCGGTCGAGGGTTCGAACCTCAGCTCAGCCAGTCGTAATTTCGATCCCCGTTTGGACGGTGATCATTCTGAGGGGGGCCACCCCTCCGAAAGACCGTTCGGAAGAATAAAATACTAGTGTGAAAAAGTGCTTTGTGATATCCGGGTGGTGATCATTCATATGTAATCGTTATTATTGTCCATTGTGTGGGCATCAACTTTTTTAATATTATTGAAGTACCTAATAACATAATATAAAACAAAGTATATAGTAGTAGTATTACGTCATTTTAAGTTTTACTAAGACGACTAAATTATTAATGTTAAATTACCATATGAGAAAGCTGCCATCGACGGGGTGTATGGAGAAAAGCAGGTCCGGGCTTTGATGCCAATCACGCAGTAGGGACTCGATCTTAGCGTCTAAAGAGTCCGGCAGGTGAGTACACGTAACGTCCGTAGCTATTGAGTTTATAGATGTCGTATTCGACAAACTGGGGTGACTGTGGTTACCGCTAGCTGCAGGACAAATAGAATTTCGACGTTGTCTTAAAAATTTTCTCTACCCAACAAGATTGATTTTTGATTGAATTATAACAAAGTGAAAATCATTTATAATAATAAATGTGATATTTTGCCACTATCCAAAATTTTTATCTCTATTTTTACAGTCCTATTTTGGTAGCCATTTCAGTTGACAATAACTAGCAAGAAAATATATTTTTTACGCAAAATAACTTGTTTTTATGATTTATAAATGGCGCCAAAATATTATATTAATATATCATTACAAATTACTTGCATTATCTCAGTGATAAAGAATTCGAGTTAAAAGCATGACGCGAACTAAGAAAATGAAAAAGTCAATTTATAAAAACGGATTCATTCGGTAATCGATTCCTGCACAATTTAACGACAAAAAATTTGGTATGATGATATAGATATAATGGAATATATTAATTTTTAAAGCATGAGATGGCAAGTTTACCTGGTTGTTCATCACTATTGCTGTTATCCTCAGATTGGGTTTTAGTCAAGTGATGACTTGGTCGTCTATGTCCTAAATAGCAGCATGAAATGGACGAAGCAGATTACAAAACCCAGATAAAATAAATTTATTAAGCTCAAATATTAGTAGTCGTAGATATAATCATTTATATTTTCAGTAAATCGCTGCTATTTATACAGACATAAATAAGTATTAAAAACAAATACATACAAGCATAACAAAAAAAGACATAATATCGACAGCATGGTGGCTAATTAAATTGTTTACACAACTTAATACAAATAATATTATGATGCAATGATATTACGGATATCAATATATATTTTTATTTTTTACTAGTAGATTCCACTTAATGTGCTGAGATGACTGATTCATATTTATATATTGATATATATATTCTTCATAAATACATTCGAAAACGAGGGATATTCAGTTTTGTAGAAAATATGTTATTTATTTACTTCTCATTAATATTTCCAATTATATTGCCCCAGAATTAGATTCGACATTGTAATAAGAATGAATAAAATTTTAAACTAAATATTATGGCTATGAATTTTATTGTAATTAGCATCTTGGTTAAAATTACTACGCTACTGACTTGTAATGTCTGCCACATAGAACGAATTTTAATTTCAAATGAGAACTGCATTACATACTTGTATCATTATCTCCATCCGGATGAGTAGGATCAGAGCCTGACCCTTCATCAGTATCTTCCTTATCTAACACCTGAAAATATAAAGAAACAAGTCTAAAAGATGTTTTTTAATCAGACTATACATAATTTGATTTATAATATTATCACATATATATGAATCGACTGAAATGAAATGAAACGTATATTTACTGTTAACAACACTATTATAGTGTGATATATAAACAAATAAGTTTCCACTAATCATACAACAGACACATAAAATAATATGTAGATTGTTTATAGTAAATTCTCTACAAAACGTAACAAACACAGAATGTCGCAATCACATCTTGTTTTGAGAAGCATTTGTTTGTTATTACAGAATAAGCAAACTTAGAACAGAGTTTATTTAGCTGCATATGAATCAATATCAGCCTTTTTCTTTAAGTGATTAATATATACATAATACACTTTAAGCGATTTTTTTATTACAGTAGCTAGCCAAGCTCAAGCCTACCGAGGATTAAACTAAATGTTACATACTTTTTTAGTAAGGTCGTGCAATATAGCCTCAGCTCGGCTTGTGAAGTGCATCTCTTTGTTGTGCAGCCAGTGCAGTATAAAACGCCCGCCGCCCGCCAGCGAGGGCACCAGAGGGATATCTGTCTCCGCATTTATTGAAGCCGCCAAGTGGAAATGCAGACCTTAACAAAATAGATATAACGTTGCTTTTAGTTTAGAACTAATTCGGATTTATATATTTATTACAAATTTAATTTATTTACTTAAATTAAAGTTAAGTAAACAAATAAAGTACATTCAATGTATCTTACGAGTAACAAATCGAAAATCAATGTGGTATATAACGAAATAGAGTGTAATTTTTACAAAAGAAGAAGTGTTGACGTAGATCGACTAAATTGATTTCAAATTAAATTCGGATGTCTAATATATTGATAACAAACCACTTTTGTATTTTATTTGAAACCTAATAAAGACTAAACGGCATAACTAGGTAATAATGTCAGTTGGTTCTTTCATTATGCACTAAATATTAGTATTAGAACTAGGAATCGAATACTTGCCAAAAGGTCAAGGTTACTAAAAAACGTTTATGTAAATTTAATTTACATTATACCACAAAATTATTGATATTAAATTCAAGAAATGCAGTTCCATATTTGTATGCATTATTTTTTATTGCTTTGTAAGTTCAAAAAAAGATGTAAATAATTCACAATGTGAATAGTATCTTACCTCCAGTGTAGGAACTAGCGTGGTACGGATTGTGAAAGTCGTGAGCGCTGTATGTGGAAGGCAGAGTAGGTATGGGTGCACCAGGTGTCTTTGACGACTGCGCGTTCCGTCGGATATGGAAGCATGTCCTGGAAAATATATAACGTTATATTTATATGTGTTATATTATTAAACATTTACAATGTTATTGTTTTAACTATTTAAAATATTGTGGAATAAGTTGTTTTATAAATATATAAGGTTTTTTCAAATGTCAGTATAATTAACATACCTTGATTTTATTTAAGTATGAAGAAAAATGTACATTATCCTCCATAAAGTAACAAACTTGTAACCAATGGTGAAGAAACCATTCGAATGATGACAACAAATTTGTGTGTTCACTCTATCATGCATAACTATAAATAAGTGTTCAGTTAATATTGAACCTACAATTTACTGAAAGCACTCACAAATCAAGCACGATTGATTCAAGTTTTTAAAGTCCGCCTAACCCACAATCTTACTACGTACGTCAAGTATTCCAAACTCACTTCAGTCCTCCTATTCCACAATATTATTATAATGTAATTTAAGTAGTCAAAACTCACTTCATGTGCTTTAAGCGCTGCATGAAGCGGTGCTTGTGTCTGTGCGTGGCGCGTTGCCGCCGCGGTGGAGACCGCGAGTGTGACGTCACGCACCCTCCGCCCCACTCGTCCTCCGGCAGCAGCGTCTCCGTCCACACGCGGCAAATATTGTCCACGCATGACGTCACCAGAACATTTCCCACGCTCCCCCTGTATATACGCAATTTTTAATGATTGTATATATCAAATAAAATAAATTTTTAATATTTATCCTTAGCTATTAAGTGCGCCGGACCAAATTTTGCAATAGGGTTAATTAAAATAAAATAGTTATTAAAGCAACATATTAAATACACATCACCTTTGGCTAAATTGGCTAACTAAACTGCAACCAAGTAAAAGTCAGCGGGTCAAACCGCTTGACCACCAAGGTTCCCAATTAAATTATATTTCATGTTATGTTAAAACATAAACAAGTACAAATAGCTATGTAGTTACGTGCGTAAGGCCTCTCAATATTTGTATATAATATAACCATAGATATACTGATTTTCAGTCGAGTGACACTTTGAACTCGTGTTCTTTCGTGAAAGGTCGAAATCGGTTTAAATCTGGCTGACACAAAGTAACTTTGTCTCCGGTAATAAAAGCACCGCAAAGTGATCCACTAGACAGCATACGCCCTATCATTTTTGATACTATATACCCCGCGGAAAAGCAATATCGAAGGTTGCATTCGCCACAACGCCATTAATTGACAACGAGAGCGAGCAAATAATATCTATATTTTATTGATTTCAGGCTACTAGGCCCATATTATAAATACCTTATAGACTAACATACATATGAATTAATACTATAGTAGACATATAAAAATGGAATATATAGAAATTGTCTGTATGGTCGCGGCACTGACGACGGCAATCTGCCACGATAGCGTCTATGCACTACCCCCATAGGCCCGTAGTCCTTCTTCATGATCTTCATGAAGGAAGACTACGGGCCTATGGGGGTTGTGCTTAGACCAAAATGCTGTCCAGATGGACGCGGAATATATAGTCGTATTGTTATTATTAGTGCATTGTACGCTATGATTTATTGTCAGCGGTTTGATTGTGAATGAGTGCCTCAAAGGGTGCTTACTAATTTACTTGGTAATTGCTAATTCTACGTTTATAGGAATGTGGCAAAAAGTAGATTGTCGTCCATAGATAAGATATAATAAAATTCAATTACACTTCTTATAGTAACTATTTTGTTTATTGTATGGATTATTGATCCACAAAGATAAGTATAAATAAATGCTATTTTTAGGCTAGGTCACGTATGAACATCGATCAATTTGGCGACCTATTAAAAAAAGTGTGAAATAAAAAAACCTGTAACCAGTTGTATAAATAGGTAACCAGTTGTATGAATAGAAAGATGAATGTAGAAGAAAAAGGAATATATATATTCCTTAGTTTTTGCCTATCCTAATAGGAGACACGTGTGACAATACGATTTTATATATAAGTGCTATTTTTATTCTAACAATACCAGACCTACTTATTCTAATCAGGATGGATCAGGAAATACTTTTTAAATGTAATTGATTGATAACTTCATAATAAGGTGTAAATTGAACAGACAAAAACGATAACTATTTGACCAAATGTTTCAAATGTCAAGCAAGTTAATATATATATAGATAATTTGAAGTCATTTGCCTCGGAATATAATTGTCTGATAAACACAAAGGTTTTAAATTTATCACTTTAAGTATATGTCATAGTTCATGTTTAATTAATAGATTAATGTTCTTTCCCTTGTAGTTTACAAGATATATGTATATATAATGTGGATATAAAATATACTATTGTATTTGAACATTTTCCATTAAGAGGTTCCTAAAGTGATATTGTGATATATGTTTTGTCACTTGATTAACCATGCTATAAGGTGTGTGAGTGAATGCCCTATATATTTTTTTACAAAAGGAGGTATGAGAAGGAAGTTATCCTTTGTCAAAAAATCGAGAGAAATTAATTTTTTATTTAATCAATTAATTCTTTTCAAGGACAAATACTTTTACTGTTATCTATATCAGTAAATTGCATAAGTACTTAGACTACTTTTGATTAACAAAATATCAATAGTGTCATTTCGGTGAAAATTACTTTCAAATGTTTTGGAATAAAAATGGTAAATCTTATCACAATTTATTGTAAAATGTTAAAGAAGTTGAGGATGAATAATCAAATACTTAGTAATATTGTTATGGAGTAGTGTTTATTTGTTTACTTGATAAGATAAATATTTATTTTAGCTATCAATAATATAAATATTATCTTCACGACTGTTATCGCATATTGAGACTGTTAATTTAATCATAGGCATTGTCGACTGTCGACGTCGAGCTTACGTTTACATGCCCAGATTTCGCTGGGTATATTTTAGACCAAACTTAGCAGATAGCGAGCCAACCGTCGTTCTCGGTTTATTATTATTCGTTATCGGTGTTTTCATAGCCGGAGCTACAGTTAACAAATATAATTTAACAGTTTTTTGTGTCGGTCAAATCCATTTCACGATCTTCGGGCCTAAGTTAGGTTGCAAACCAATACACCAAAACGACGTGCTTTAATCATAAATTTTAAAAAAATCAAAACTCTTACTTGGGCATATATTTGCTCGTTTTCCGCCATGATAGATGTGTGACAGCACGCGGATGTGCGACATAGATGAATGTGTAGTTCAATTCAGTCGGCGAATGCTCTCCATGTGTTTGTACAAGTACTAGAACAATAATACATTAATATGATAACGGGCATAGGATCACTAACAACAGTAATAGGTACAACATTATTTATATCATAACAGGTCCCATTATTTATATCACAGAAGTTGTTCTGTCTGTTGAGACACAGCGCCATCTAGTCCCATACTAAGCAGAGTTACAACTAATATAAATATATTTTTATATAAAAATACCTACGTACATAATATACATAGAACACACCTAGGCCGATACCCATTATATATTGATGAATAAAAATGTAGTACAGTGCGAGGAATCAAACCCATGACTGTAGGCTGTAAGATGGTGTGCTAAACTTTTAGACCACCCAGGCCGTACATTGCTAACAATGTATTATGAATGTGTAAATCCACTACAATGGACTAACATCACGCTTAACGCTGATACGCTGACGGAACACCTGTGGAGAACCACAGGTGTTCCGTCAGCGTATACTATTAGCATAGTGCGGGTGCACCATTCCATTGACATCCATAAATAAAAATACATTATAATGTTATCAAAAGATATACAATTGGAATTATATATGACGCACGTACCGTGACTAAACTGTCTTAATGACATTCTTAAAATGTGTAGAGTGTGCCATTGAAAATCATATAAAATTATTCATTTTTTTAACTATCTTCAAAATATTGGAGTTGAATACGTCCTTTTTATATGATTTTTATGTACACTATAGCATCGCCATATTGAGGTATCATTGATAATTCTCAAAATGACCAGGACTTATCGTATAAGTTCAATAATACAATTGAATTACTTTTGAAATCGTTCTTTTGTTAAACAAACTCTGAAACTGTATGTTGTGTATTTTTATTACCTTTATTCTGGTACCAGATCTTAACTAGCCTGTCGTTGATGCCAGATGTAGCGAACAGTACGCCGTCTGGAGAGAATGCAAGGTGATGGGCAGGCGTGGCCGTGTGACATCGCCACACGCAGATCCAACCCTGAATAGACAATTATATTTATATACTTAAATCCTCAAATCCTTTCAACATTTTAATGAAATTTTATACATGTATGAGTAATATGCTAGATTACATTAGAATATTATAACAAGAGAAAGATTTTGTAAACAATCGTTTGTGTGGATGTCATCTAAATGTGCATAGCAACTTTCTTAACTGTATGATATATTCTGGTTTGTAGGGTATATGATAAGTGTTTGAGTAGTTAAATTACGGAGCCCAAGAACATAGTCCACATAAATTTATTTCTTTACTTTATTGACCAATAAAATATTGTACAAAAGGTAGTGTTGTAGCCTTCTCCCGCAATCAACCTTTGAGAAGTGCAGAGATACTTGATTGTAATAAATATGCGTATTATTCATAAAATAAAGCATTATAATATAATTATAATAACGAATTACACAAAAATGTCAACAGATGGCGAGTATCAATATGTATTTTGTAATACCCGTCCTGCTATTAATGTATGTAAGCAACGGTTAACGCCAACAACAATTATCAATCAGGTGAAAAGTCAAATGATTGACATTCTAGGTATATATAAAAAAACCTACTTTAAATTAGAATAACAGATATTTTTCTGTTAATTTTATGTATCCATAGCATCCCTAACGAACACAAACAAATATACACAAAATACTATTACGTATTGAGATTAAAAACATTATGGTAAGTGACGGACGAATCATTTTAAAGTAAATAAATAAATAGATTGTGTTTATTTGTTATAAAGATAATTTTAAACTGCGCATATCAAAGATGTTAGGTGATCACAAGTCGAAGAAATCTAGTAATATCTGAATCGCAATCTCTTTAGTTGGATAAGAAAAATAACATAGTAACATAGTTGGATAGTAATAAATAATTAGAATTTATTAAGAGCATCAAACTATAAATATTCCTAGAATACAAATAAATAAACACATTCAGGTGCCTTCTGGGCGCATTGTTGTCTCTTATCTTATCTATAATATTAGTAGCTAGCTCGTGCGCGTGGCTATTTGTCACCGAGATACACTTAACTTTGTGTGTTCTGATTATGACGCAACCATCATAGCGTAGTTTTCATGATATGGGATCTTAGGTTATATTCTCGGTTGGGATACTACAAAACAAACTCACGATATCTTTTCAGTTCAAAATGTCAATGTTACTTATAATAAACTAAATCCGTATATCCCTATTGTTAGTCTAGAAAAATCTGTATTCTTGTGTACAATAAAAAATGAAACTATTCTATCAAATTAAATTACAGTTATCAGGGGAGAGGTGACGAGGAGGTACCTGTGGATAAGTGTATATACACTTTTTAAATCATAACATAATGAGATAAACAAAGGTAGTGAAACTAGGACAAATGAGAATAGATGTTCACTGTATCAGGTCATAAATAATTTTACTTACAGGTTCTTCATCTTCTTGGTGTTTAGGTTTATCGTCCTTGTCGCTGCCGCCGATTTGAAAGGTTACACCAGAATTTGCTAGAGAAAAAAACAAACTTACTTTAAAACATTAGTTAAGACATGCAACAGTTTTTACTGTTCAGGTGTAACAATAGCATCTTACATCAATACTGAAAAAACATATTGATTGAACTAATCCAAGTTATGTTTATTTACTAACTCAAAAGCGAAAGATGAACCATTCTTCATTCTCAATGGTTCTTTTGAGTCACTAATTAGTTTATTTTGACAGTTACAATACTACAAAAAAGACTAAATAATAGCTATGTAATTATATGATTACAAAAACTAACAGTAGTAGATGATTTTAGTGAATGTTCCTAAAAGTATAATAGGAAATAAAAGTTATTCATGATCCCATATGATAATCAATGTTTGGTAGAGTATTGCCTTTTTTAGGTCTATTCACGAAATTATATTTACTCTTATTATGAGCATAAAATATAATATCATACTTTATTATATACATATAAAATATAATATTTACGACAGTTGTAGAGTTGTCAATTTTAGTTCAAAGATTTCTTCTAATGATTTAAAAGGAGATGGATGAATTGAGTGAATTTATAATTCCTAACAATGAAAAGAAAACTTTACATTTCAAATTGCCGCATACAACTCACGTTGGCTATCCTCCTGATAAAGTGACGCTTGGTGCCAAAGTTGCAAGATCTTTCCTCCAGTCAACAGCCGAGTGCCTTCAAGGTTCCACGAGAGGGCTGTGATCGGTCCGTCGGCAACTAGTTTACCGGTTTGCACCCACCGATACTCCAAACCCTGAAAATTACGGTCACATGTCACATCTAACTGAATAATAAATGTAAACTCAGGGAAAATACAGAATATAATACATTGTTGCAAAGCAAAGCCCGATTAAGATTGTTATAGGTAGGTATAACATATTGTTATACATTGTCATTACATTCAATGATTCTGCGGTATTAAATCATTGCATGTAGGAAACATTTCATTGTATTACTATGTTGTAATAACTTGATTTTATAATCCTCATATTTTTATATATATAAAAATCTGGCGTTGATGTAAGTATGGGATAAATTTCGAAATCAACTTCTTAACGAATTTGGCACTGTGTGTTATTTGGTCCAACTTAAAATATTGACCTCAATATTTGAACTACTAAGTCACAGCGACGCTTGGCCGGGTCACAGCATCGTGTGGCCGGGTCAGCCAGTAACATATAAATTCCGCATTGCGAATACTAAAACTTTACTCCGTAGATAATTTTCATGATTGAGACAAAAACATTCATTTGCGAGTTGGGTCGCATACTAAGGTCTGCGTAAAAAGAAGCTTACTTCTACTTGTCATTAATGGAAGTAATTTTGTATAAATGAAATGGATGTACATTTTATATGCGTGTTACAAAGCATAGTACATATTAACCGTTGCAGTCATATTCGTCAAAATGTCGATAATTTTGAATCCATTTATTTTGACCTACATTCACAGACAGTTGAACACACTGATATTGCAATAAATACACACTGAGTTTGGACAATTACCATACTAAATCAATATTATGAGGGTTATTGTTCCTTGCATAAAATTAAAACTTGACTGTAAGTTGCACTTAGACTGTGATTGAAAAACAAATTGTGTGGAAAATAAATGTGGATTGAAAATTATCCGTTTAATTAATATACGTAATGGAGTACTAGACATCCAATAACTCCACAAACTTACATTTACAATATTATAGAATAAAAGACTGTATTGTTAACATATCTTCACGAATTTTACATATTATTATATCGCCTCGGCGGCTAGCAGCAACTATTAGCTATTATTATGTTAATACACCTCTCTGTTTCGTTATATATGTACAATAACATGAATGTAATTAATTTTAAAGTATATGGAATCGGGGAGGGGATTTTTAGTAATGTTGACTCCATTGATAAGTGCCATGTCAAGTTAACCTCTACACGGTTCCCCCTGGAACCCATCATGATAAATTCCTGGCGAATTTTTCACAATGGGCTGACTGACCTGACCTCATCTTCAGCATAGCATTCTTCACTAATGACCTGCCATAGTAAACCGTTAGCGCCGACGGGTGCGCCATTATAGAGAGAATATAGATATTGGGGGCGGAAGGGGATTATTAGTAATGTGGGTTAGGTAACCTAACATGGTACATTGCTAGCAATGGGGACAATTGCTAGCAATGTACCATGTTAGGTCAACTTCCAAGCGGTTTCCCCTGAAAACTATCGTGATTAATTCCTGGATATTTAATCAGGATGGGCAAACTGACCTGAGCATGAAGCTCATCTTATCATCCTCTACTGGTGCCCCGCCAGAGTAAACCGTTACCGCGACGGGTGCACTATTCCATTATAACTATATATATATATATATATATAGATATGTAGTAAATAGACATGTAGTGTATAAATGTTGTAGTCAAGTCATTAACCTATGCTATATAAATAAGACCAATTAAATACCAACTGTTCTAATTGATTGTGGACGACAAATTACATTTTATACTAGGTTGCATCTACTGCAATTACACAATACAATTTCAATAATGTCTTAAAGATATTTGTAGATTACACTGTCTGATACCACAGCCATACAACTATTAGATTCTTGCAATTATAGTCTGTCTGTGTGCAAGACCCACACACCAAAACTACCTGAACATAAGCAACTTTTTAATGTGCATAAAAGCGCTGGTCTGTCCCTTTTTTTAGTTACGAACACTGATTAGACTATTTGCTTTTGCAATAGCACAAGCTGGTGGTCACTCTATTCTCCCAAATTCGAATTATAAAATAAATCTTTATTATTGTAAACATTTATTTAAATAAAATACAAGCAGGTTCTTGTCAGTTATAGATTTGACATATCAGAAGAGTCTGTAATAGACCTAAATGAATAAAGATAGATGATTTGGAATTGGAATTCTTCATAATAATGCCTGAATGGATATTTTTTAACTGCTTAATCAAACCAATATAAAATGTTGTGTATCAATCAATCATCTTGGACCTTATCTAAGTTATGTAAACATATATAGTTATTTTATAACATTATGTGTCTACAAGTTAAGCTGGTCTGTATAAAAACCCCTGAAGAACCACATTCAAGAACTAGCATATCATCACATTTCCTTAATGTAAGGAATATATGCAAAAAATAAATTCATTATAGTGTATACCAGTGTTTTCATTAATATAAATGAGATTGATACTGATTGATAATATTTAGTATAAGAATTGCACATGAAATTTATGTTCTCAAATATTATTTGTATGCCAAATTTTAAAGTAATGGCTTAAAATCTAAAGGTGTCAAGAGATAAGAAACAAAGAAAGTTGGTTTGATCTTTTAAAATATTATTTCTCTGTTACCAGGCTTCTAGCTCTTAGGCAGTCAATTTTATTGATATAATAACAAACATAAATTGCAACACCATACTGTGATCACTATCTGTAATGGTTGAATAGTCCTGCATTTTCACATTTCAATGAGATTGTTTCATACATATACTGTTTTGTTATTCGTAGAGCATAACACAATAGTGTGCCAAACTACAATGTTACTATTATTGCAACAGAATGAAATACAAGACATAACTTCTAGTGGCATTTTAAAATAGTAAAATCATAAATACTTACATGGGTTGTAGCAGCTGTATGAATCAATGGTGTAGGTTCAAATATGCAAACTTCTGCACCATATGCAGCAGCAATCTTTCCAGTGTCTGTACTGCAATCTAGAGATCCTATGCGTACATAGCCATGTATAGCACCAGGTATTATCTGCACTCTTTCAAAATTAGATGCCAGTATAACTATGTTACATCCCGCAGCATATGCCTAGAAAGAAATAGAATAATCCTTACTTATATTATAAATGCAAAAGTGGGTTACTGTTGCAATTATAGTCTGTCTGTGTGCAAGACCCACACACCAAAACTACCTAAGAAAGAACATAAGCAACTTTTTAATGTGCATAAAAGGGGTTGAAAGCAGAGATATATGAAAGGCTATATGAAAGTACTGTCATTTTTAAAGCTAACTTTTTTTAGTAAATATAAATAAAAATGATATTCAAAGTTTGTAAAAATATTTCCCTTAAGGGGGTAAAATAAAATAGGGGATGAAAATTTGGATGAAAAATGGAAATTCATCATTTTTGAAGCTAATATTTTTGACTGAAATATTTTATAAGTTATATCATTCAATATTATTTCTTTAATTGTTCAAGGTATTACAAGGTACTATTCCATATTGACAAAGTCACAAGCACATCTAGTATTATATATTTGTCAAAATTAAAAATATTCTCTCTGTTTCATTTCCCTTGCAAGTTATTACAATAATAAACCTATATACTAATACGCTGTTGGTTTCTAATAAAGAAATAAAAAAAAAAAAAAATAATAAATAAACCTATATACTAATATGTGAACATAACATTTTGGCTCTAATACTTTATAAATAATTAACAGAGGTATGTATGAAAAATATTCTTATACATATCAATAGAAAATTATATTTGTATGTCTAATTTCATTTTGTATAATATTTTAAGAGCAAAATCTATCCACTTCAAGCAAATGAGGTCATTGATTTATCATGTATCTATGAGTTGATACTTTGTTTTTTAGGTATTTTCGCTTACATGAAATAGAAATAGAAATAGATTTTTGTTATTTAAAAATAATATTCATTTTGCAAGAGAAATATTAATTACATCAGCTATTTATACAATAATTAATACCCTTTCTAGAACAAAATCTTCTGGAATTTAACCTAAAATTTTAGAACACTGAAAGTTCTATATATATAATTTTTATAGTACAAGAAGAGCTATTTTATTCCAGACTCAATTGGTTTTTCATACCAGTTAATCTCATGGGCCTATTATAATGTAAGATAAATGTTATGTAGTTACTACTACATCTAGTGAGATTCAAGTCGTCACTTTTGATATTGTTATTTAAATAAACATACTCTAATGACTAATGCAAATTAGTGTTCAAGGATAAAAAAAACCATAGTGGACATATGTATATTTGTTTAGATATGACTTATGCAAAGAAAGCAAATGGCTTAAATCCAAAGGCAATGAATTGTAGATAACATTTAAAGCTACGAATAAAATTCTTTATGCTTGAAAGTAGGCTAATGCAAATATTCGTGTTTAAATTCAATACTTCTCAATTCCAAGAATTCGCTAGTCTATATCTAGTCACGAGACTTAGCAATAACTGATCGGTAGTCTTAAACGTTTTACTTACTGTGAAAGGTATACCCTCGACTGAACCGACAGCAAAACATTGATCTCCTGAATTACAGGCGCCACTTAATACTTGATGGCAGTTCATAATGAACTAATTTATCAAATATTTTAAAGGCTATATTCCTTCAATGTTAAAAAATGTAATAGTAAGAATTTAATAAAATAACACATAATGAATACGAGAATTAAAAGGTTTAAACATTTCCAGAAATAATTTTCGATTTAATTTAATTGATCAAGAAATACTTAATTGATCAGAATGACATCTAATGACAGACAATTGCTTTTGTGTAGATCCCATAAACCGATATATACCGTAGGTATTTAAAACCGTAAAACCGCACAAAACGTTAAAAAACGGTAAGTAATTCATTAACATAATTCAAATACTTTCATTTATAATAGTTTGATTTAAATTTCATAAATCATCAAATTTACCAACTTTTTTTAATAGAGAACAACTACTACAATATACATTAAATAACTAATTGCATTGTAATACAGTATCGCCCTCTGTCTGCCTGGAGTTGCTTCCTTATTGTATCCACAGATTACCTAACACTGATCTTGTTATTTTTTTCATCATATATGACAGTATGACAAATTGACAGTTGACAGTTCGTTTCAGGGCTAGATTTTTGTGTATTGATCTGTTAATTTGTTTTAAAGAAATTACAGTGGAATTAATGAATTCTTTCGTGAATTCTAATTGTGATTATTAGAATTAAAGAGCATCGAAATATATTCCATAAAAAAATACTGTATTCCGAAACTATTTGTAATTTGAAGATTGACGGTGCAGTCCAGGGGCCTACTAAAAAAGTAAGTGATTTTATATTACCTTTACTAGTTCTTTATTTACACTTTATACGAATGTTTATTACCAAAGTATTTAGTAATGTACCAATTCACAATATAAATCTTTATCTTACATTGTTAATTAGACACATCTTTTGTCGAATCATCTGCCTTTTTATGATATCGATTTACATGATACACGTACATAATACAATGTTATTTAATCAACACCGGAAGATATAATCTTGTTTTGCTAAAAAATATTGTCTGACTGTTTGTAGCCTAATCAACCGTTTACCATTAGGTGGCCCGTGATTGCGTGCCACCAATGTAATATAAAAAAAATAGTATGTACACTAAAAAAACTTCAGTTTTTTTAAATTAAATATCACCAAATTACTTTATAAAGACATTAATACACAATACATCTTTACTAAAAGTTCAATATTCTAGTAGTACATAAGTTGAACCTAGGCTATCAAGAGATGTTTATTTTTATTTTATGTTATGGAAAAAACAAATTGTCTTCGGATGGAGAGAGGTGCAAATTTGTAATGTAGGGACCTATTATTAACTCCTGTTTGTGTTAGTTATGCATTTGAGTAAACATTTTTGCCAATAAGCTAAATCAACTCTCAACTACACTAGTCTAATCACAAAGGTCACTGAAGTATTGGATTTCTAACTTACCTATTTTCTTGTTTGTATATGTTTTTATTAGTATGTACTGTGGATACTCTTATACATATATGCTACTATTTTTAATTAACTAGCTGTTACTCATGTCTTCAGCTGCATGACACTTTCATCTTCCATTAGATCACACCTTCCAGAATATTTTTTATTTAATGAAAAATCACTTAATGCCCTTTTGATATATTCTGCTTAGTTTCGTCTTTAGTTTTGTAAACAACAACTGGAAATACTTTCCCATTCATACTATTAATAATATTAATGTTGGTTTGATTCTTACTGATTCAATATTTCTTTTATAATATCACATTTCCTATTACACTGTCAAAGGTTTTCTATAAAAACTTATATTCAAGTTTAAGTTGCTGTTGCATTTATTTTTTATATTTACATAGAGTAAGACATCTTTGTATTTTATTACAACAATACAAGAATATATTATTAAAAAAAAATATTATAAATATTAAGTATTGATATAACATCATTGTGAAATTAAAAGAATCATTCATGTATAAAATGTTAATTATATGGGCTCTTTTGTAACAGTGGTATCTCTATACATCTTTACATATAAATAAAATTGAAGTGTATGTTTGTAATATTGAAATAACGGTTTTTTACATATGAATATAAATGTGGTATATACACCAAAATAACATTTTTTACAATTTTTGTCTGTCTGTCTGTCTGTTTGTTCGGGCTAATCTCTGAAATGGCTGTACCGATTTTGACGGGACTTTTTTTGGCATAAAGTTAAATTCCATGCAGACAAAGTCTCTGGTATAGCTAGTACACAATATAAATATTGTCCATACAGAAAAAGAATTTTTCATTTTATTTTGTGTACATATGAAAGATAGAAGTTTAACTTAATAATACAATAATATGTACAGTTAATAAAATGACTAGGTAACACTCTTTTGTTCAAGAGAATAAAAATCTATGTACTACAAGAAATCTTAGTACATAAGTTCACTTTGTATTAAGTTGTAATATAACACCGTTTATAATTAAAATAAATATATTTAATTCCCCTTTAGCAATTTTCAATTATTCCACTACTAAAAATTTACATGAAAACAGTGTTTTATTTATCTGAGCTCATGTCTGTGCTCTGTTACTGTATCAATTAACATAGTATTAATATCATTATGTTATCTGTCAGTGTTTTATGTTGAATGAAGTTTTATTTCGGGTTAGTCTTTTTCCTAATTGACACTAATAGATGTGTAGTACCAGATGTTTGTACATCGAAAATCTGCAGAGCAAATGAAACTCTAATGCATTACTATTATTGAGTTAGTTTTTGAATGAGCGGATGTTAAAGCTTTCAATGAAGTCATTCACTTTAAATTATTCTCCAGGGTTATATTCTACTGTCAGTCATGGGTAGTTACATATAATACTGTTTTATCAAATGTAAGATTTTTCTTCTTACATGGATATTTAGCATCATACCCAGCTATCATAGTAAGTATTTTTTTTTTGTGGTAATATTGAGAAATCAGATAAATGGGTGGATAGTAATCTATGCAAACTATACATACATTTGCTCCATTTGCAAATTGATGACGTATTGTTACACATAATGTATTTCTTAAATATAAGATTTTATAACATAAAAAGCGACTTTAATTGCGACTCATTCTATATGGAACGAACATGCACGTGACTGCTATTAAACGCGAAAAGAATTATCTGAATTGATGTAGAACATACAAAAATTACATTGTCGAATTTAGATTGTTTCTTTGAAGTAAGTAATACTGTAAGTATTCAAAACAGAATTCTCTTAACACTCATATTATCTTTAAAAACAAATAGTTACATAAATATAGTATGTATTTAGAATGATGACTTAAAATGTGTCCTTGTAGCTAACCATTCCTATATTCTATCACGCGTTATCACATTCCTTTGATCATGTTTTGCTTACTGTCCCTTTTGTTTGTCTTAAATATGTTCTCATTAAGTTTATTTGTCTAGCCTTAGATAAGTACGCAACCATAGTGTTTTGTTGGGTGAATTATATCAGTTCAAAGGGGTCTAAAGTGACCGTGAGCAAATAACGGGGAAAGGGATTGTTAGTAATGTGAACTAATTATTCCATCGCTAGAAATGTACCCAGTCAGGTTGACCTTACCGCTATTCCCTCTGGAAATCATTGTAATTTTTTTTTAATAGATGACAATGGTACGGTTAACCGCTTACGCTGACGGTTTACGCTGGCAGTGCACCAGCGGAGGATGGTAGGGTGAGAATGAAGTCAGGTCAATTAACCCATCGTAGTAAATTCACCAGGATTTTATTGCTATTTTTTCCAGGGGGAACCGCGTGGAGATCAACCTGACAAGGTATATTGCTAGCAATAGGGTCATCAGTCCGCATTATTAACATTTCCCTTCCCCCCAATCGTAATAAATTGCTATTTGTCAAGATGGGTAGGTTAGTGACACCTAACTTCATGCTCATTTGTTCATCCTCTACCTGTGCCCCTCCAACGTAAACGCAGGTGCGTATATAAAAAAATAACACGTACGTGAAAGTATTTCTTTTCACATATTACACATCATATCATCATCATAGTTCAGTATATTTATCTATTGACTAAACATACATATACTTAAGGATACAAGAACAGTTTCATTTGTAGAAAACAAAACGATTTGTAATTCATAATACATTAAGTGCGCTTGATGCAGTATCAGTTTTATAATAGTTTCATGTGGATTGTTCTATATTTGTACGTTCACAGAAACAACGTGGGGGTTCGTCAGTTGTTTTCTATTTTTAGTATGCGCAGGGGGAGCTCTCAATTGCCGCCTACACTCGGGTGCTTAGACAATATGCACATTTTTTTGGGGAGCGCGCTCTTATCTTTTCAATCAATTAAAAAAACGAGGAGATAATTAATTCTAGTGTTTATAAAATTACAAACAAGTCTCGCTGTCTGTCTGTTTGTTCTTTCTAATCTCTGAAACGGCTTAACTGATTGATTTTCACTCGCTAAAGCTTATATGGGGTAATTTAGGCTTCTTATTTCAGTTTATGTTATTTTTATTTAAATAAATATAAAGTTACGTTCCACGCGGCCGAAGTAGCTGTTAACAGCTAGTACTGACTAAAATCGCATATTGTATTACCGCTCTACGAATGTATTGCAATACGATAATGGAATAAAGGCACGGCAATTGATGACAACTCGTTGACTGAACCTATGTCACGTTTATTATGCCATTCCTGCCCACATTGTGCGCTAGTAGTGCAGATGATACTGATAAATATATGTGTAGGCGTTATCGGAAAAATGTAGCGTGGCCGTGATTATTTTATAATAATATGTATATTGTATATATTTCAGAGTAGTCGCAGATTTGCGTACTGAATTTACTTTAGTTACTATATATTGTGATAGATACTATTAGTCATTATTACGGAAATTAGAAGAACATGTATTATACAATTAAAAACGTGCGGCTTGCAAGAAGCGTGTCGTCACAATTCTACACTTGTATATGGAATAATATAATATATTTTATAATTACACAGAATAATAGGATAGGATTATTGAAAGTCCCGTTAGAGCAACACGGTTCAGAAAAAAGTTATATAGAATAAGGAAAAATTATTTCTTTCGAACTAAAAATCTTTTTTATTTGGCAATATCATAAAAGAACTATCTTATATATAAATGTAGTCAATTTGATGTAGTCAGTTTTTCACTACAATCATATTGTGCAAAAACTCTCTTATTTCTAGTTCTTTTGGGAAAGAACCTTCGTACCTGATTGATCGAATCCATTACCTATATTGTTAAATAAGGAATGTACCTTCATAAAATTAGATAGTAGATATCTAGCTTTCAATCAAAGTTTTGGCGACTATCCCTAATCTTTTATCCTAGTATTCAATTTCAAGCACTGAAATGATAATAATAAACATTATTTCCTTTCTGAACTGTATATATACTGGAACAAGTTTTAAATATTTTGATTTTTAATTTTTACAAATATAACTAAAAAGAGAGTCAGTCAGAGCGGATTTAGTTTTGGGGTATTTAAATTCGGAACCACTGCACTGATTTAAGAAATTATTTCGCTGTACATTATTCCAGAGTGATATATGACTATATATGTCTACAATATCATAAAGTTATGAGAATAGAAGTGCTATCGGCCTGATGGCGTCATTTTGTCTACGGAAGAATTAAATTATCATCGTGTTTATCACGAAATTAATCCTATTATGATCTGCATTTCGGTCTTAACTCGTGATATTTAGACAGATGTAAAGCAAATATACAACTCAATACTTCGTCGACCTAAAAACGA